GTAGTAGTAGTAGTAGTAGTAGTAGTAGTAGTAGTAGTAGTAGTAGTAGTAGAGAGAGAGAGAGAGAGAGAGAGAGAGAGAGAGAGAGAGAGAGAGAGAGAGAGAGAGAGAGAGAGAGAGAGGAAAGAGATACACCTACAGGTACTCTTTGACCAGCTGATCAGGCAGACAGTCAGGCAGTCAGCAGTACAGATAGTCATGCCATACCTTACCTTACCTTACCTTACCTGTACCTACCTTACCCACATACCTACCTGACTATCATGCCATTACGAGGTACTACCTACCTACTATCAGTATCAAGGTTACAGTGTGGTGGTGTATACATCTTAGATACTTTATCTCTCCAACATGTACGGGTAAGGTACCTAGTCAGAAGCTATGGCCACCTCACCGATAAGACCGATTATACCTTATGTAAGACTAATGTGTCTAGACTAATGTAGTTTAGACCAGCCGAACCTGCGGGCCGGGCACGCGCGCGCGGGGGGGATGGGGTGGGGGTGGGGTGTTCACTGTTCATGTGAAAATACCTATACCTTCTAATAAACACACATATCATATCAAATCATCACAACTACATATATTAACTCCATGTACATAAAAAAACACTACAGATTCAAAACCCAGAAAAATCATCCTCCTCGCCCAAAACAAAACAACACCATAACCTCTCCTTGTCCTCCCCACCACCACCACCACTCATCGGCACCACCCTCAAAGCCTGCCTCACCCTCCCCCCTTTCTCCCAAAACCCTTCAATTCGAAACCCCTCCACCTCACCCGCCCTCTTCGCCACAGCACTAACAATTCCCCTCTGAAAGCCCCTCGCAGCCGCACTCTCTCCAACCTTCTCACCCGCCTGACTGCCTCGAGGATCCGTATACCAATCTTCGTACAAGCGACGAGAACAATAGGGGATTTTGATCGTGTGCGGCGTCACACCATCCGCGTGCCAACTCGTGGGTTGTAGAATCAGAATGTCGTGATACTGGTCTGCGAGGTGGGTGAGATGGCGTAAAAAGGTCAAGGTGGATAGGGATGCGGTGGTGGCATCGAGGTGAGAGAAGACGTTGACGGCTGTGTCGATCATGGTGTGGATGTGGTCGCGGTGTTGGAGGTCGTCTGCTATGGCGATCCAGTAGTCAATGTTGTTGCTGCTGCTGCTGATGCTGCTACTACTATTACGATTAACATCCAGACTGTTCGGCGTGGATCGGAGAATGCTCGCGCGAGAAGGTGAGGTCGGGGATTCGCAGACTGCAATATCGGAGATGGCGAGGCAGGTGCCTTCCGCTAATTCTGCAATGGCGGCGTGGGCAATGTGTGCGGTGACGTCGATTTCGGCGGAGAGCAGAGATGATCGGTTGCCGGACTTGCGGTCGACGATTTGGTTGACGCATTGGAGGAATACGCGGACGTTCGTGTGCTGGGTGGTGGAAGCGGGTTGGAGGCGAAGCGAGCATTCGACTTCACTTCCACCGGGTGCCATGAGGAACGTTCGTGTGCCCACGACTGTTGTGGTATTGTGGGAAATGGATACGCATTTCGCAGGTGTGCCGTAAATCTTGGGGTCACAGATGACTACGCTTTCGGAGTGGCGAGTAGCTGGTGTCGCCAGCTTGACACGGCTTGTGTTCTCCGGAGCAGAGCCAGACCGACTCTCCTTGTTAACCGGAGGGCCATGCTCGTTCTGTTGCGAGTAGAGCGTCGATGCAGACGTGAGTGTGGGAGCAGAGACGGTACTGGAAGAGGATGCTTTACTACCATCATCATCGGGCACCTCGTCGGGGTCGAACCAGTCTTGTTGGAGGTGTCTTCGGACCAACTTCGATCGAGCAAGCGCAATCACGAGCTGATCAAGCTGCTCGGGTGTGATGCGTATAGTTGGCTTGGTTTGATCTGGTATCTGCCTGCGCTCATCCGCGTGTACATCAGCAGAACTTTCAGCGGGAGGCTCCGCCGCGACAGGTCCCACGTAGATTGCGCTCGGAGGGCGAGTCAGAGACGCTGAAGTCGTGGCACGAGGCGTAGGCAAGTCGTCGTCGTCGTCATCATCATCATCTTCCGCATAGTCTCTTGGTAGTGTTGGGCTATTCAATGGGCTTGACAAACAGGTCCTTGACGAGTGCACATCGGTCGGCGTAAAATATATCTCTTTCGCACCCGAACTAGATCTCTTCCTGCGAGGTCGATCTGAGGACGAAGCACTGGACGTGTTGCTGAGATTTCGTTTGTGGCTATCAGTATCAATATGTAGCTCAGTGGTCAAAATGCTCTTCGTTTCTGGCACCTGTGGAAGGACTCGAGTCGAGTATTCCAGCACACCAACTTTATGACGAACGGTGTCTGATCGTATGATTCCGGAGGCCAGAGCAGCAGCAACTCTATCGTCCGTCTTGCCCGCAGCGATAGGAGAATAGACCACTGGCTGAAGCAATTCTGGGCTCGAAGGCTCAGTCACGCTGCCCTGAGAGAGCTGCTGTTCAGGGCTAACCTGTGAGGCATGTTGAGACTGAGTGAAGGTGTCAGTAGTGTCGACAGGGTCTTCCGGTGACGAGTTGTCCTTCTCACTGCCCCCAATCGCGCTCGGTACGAAACGCACGCTTTTCCGGACTGCCGAAGACCGCTTGAGTTGGGGGGTTCCCTTGCTCTGATGGGAACCCAGGATCTGCGACTCATATTGCTGTGTTCTGATGTCAAGGTACTGTGGTCTAGACGAGGATGGCGTGCCATCAAGGAGCTGGCTGGCAGTAGCCACCGCAAAGTCCTTGGTGCTGACCATGGTGGGTGCCGTAGTAGGTAATGTCTCAAACAATGTTTGATTTGGGTATATTAGTGACTGACCTGCAGTGTTCGATTTTCAATACTGGTCGCAGACCTAGATTGGGATTATTATGAGGCCGTCAAGTGCAAGTGAAATGGTACAGACTTGAAAACATTAGGAGCGTGCGTGGATACCACATCTCTTGTGATAGTTGCCATGTCAAAGACCATTGTCTGAAGCCTCGAAATTAGTGGCTTGAAGGATGATGCACTGGTAACAAAGAAAATCAAGGGATCCGAGAGACGAAATAGCATCAGAGACAAAGGCGCCGTTCTATTCGTGAACAATGAGTGGAAACACACCTCGGTCCAGGTGCCAGCGGAGACAGAGCTCGTCATTCGGTATGGTATCTGTCTGTAGCGTGATTCGTGTACTCAACCAACTCTTCTTCTCCTATGCCCTTGTAAGTCATCGCTGCATGCTAAAGAACGCTGTACACAAACGAATCGTGACTGCTGGATGATGCTTCACTCGACGCTCTTGGCATCTGAGATCGCTTCGAGCTCCTCGAGCACCGCGCTGTCAATGTCACGATCGTACTCGTCGCGCTCTTGCTCGGTCGATGCGCCGCACTGGCGCGACGTATGAGTCTCATCACGGATTTCAAGAGTTCGGTCTCCGCTAAACTCCCGGCCACTGGGATTACGTATTGGGCTTTGGCCATGCCGAGATACCGCCATACCACCAAAGTGAAGCTTGTCCCACTGCGTCGCCTCCAGACGAGCCATATTAATGGATGCGCATCTGTTGCAGCCGAGACCGTCGTCACTGGTCTATTGTGAGAGAAGATACTCGACAGCACCCTGTACACTGCCGCCACTTCTCCGTAGCGCAGCCACATTTCTGTCAAAGTCGTAGAAGCCCATATCGTTCAATGATCGCAGCTCATTCTCATATCGCTCTTCTGGAGGTCTGGTATCGGCAGGAACCTGTGGTGCCTGGGCACCACCAAATCCGCCCATACCGCCGAATGGGTTGAACCCTGCCTCTCCGGCTCCTGCACCACCGCCGTATGCTTGCATCATCTGCTGCATCATCTCTGGATTCTGCATGAGATGCTGCGTCATCTGCGCCATGGGATTACCCGCGCCTGGTCCCCCGGCCTGACCACCGAATGGGCTGCCAAATAGATTCTGTGTATTGGCAGAGCCAGTGTCTCCTGCCGCTGGATTAGCAGTGCCGCCAGCCGCACCTCCTGGAAAGAGGGCTGCGAAAGGATTGGGTGGTGGAGCTCCGGCTTGGCCGGCCGGTGCAGCAGCAGCGTTCGCGTTTCCACCCTCGGTCGTGTCCGTTTGTCCTGGCATTGGAAAGGCGCCTTCGCCGCCTGCTCCATTACCTCCCATCGCCCGTTGCATCTGCATCTGCATACGGATCATGTCCGGGTTCAACATCATGCGTCTCATCTCGGGATTTTCGATTGCCGCACGAGCCATGGGATTGTTGCGAATGGAAGGGTTGTTTCGAAGCATGTTGAGGACAGCGGGATTATTCATGGCTTCGTTCATCTGCTGCGCGAAGTTGGGATCATCAAGCAATCTAAGCATCTGATCAGGGTCGGGCGGCGCACCCATACCACCATCGGCGCCGAACATGTCTGCCCCAGGAAGCCCGTGAAAGCCTGCGTATCGAGCACCTGTAATCTGAGCAAGTGGATCGCCGGCACCTGTTCCAGCTGCTATGTTGGTAGGCACATTCGATGCAGGCTGCCCAGCTCCAGGTGGTACAGATGCCGCGCCACCTTGATTTGCAGGGTTCTGCCGGACGTTGCTCGCCGCACTCTTGACGAGATGTACCGTGTTGCCGTCCTTGATTTTGTAGCTGCCTAAAGTATCGGCGTCCTTGAGCACTCGCCCGCTGTAGATCAGTCGCTGTCGGTCGGCTGGCGTGTCGGCGTAGTCGGAGGATGAGAGCTTCTCTTTCAGCTCGGCGACAGTTGTGGTTGCTGGCAGGGTGAAGGCGTACTTGGAGTCGGAAGAGGACTTGACATTGAACGTAACGTGGACATCGCTGTCTGTATTACTGTCGGCCATGGTGGCCACACGAACCTGCGAAGGGCGGGGCGGTGGACGTCTGGGTGGGAGAGGGTGGTGGGTGGTGGGTGGTGGGGGTATCGTTTGTGGTAGCGGTGGTGTTGCCGGACTGCCGGCTGCGAAAGTAAGAATGAAGTGTGGCGGTGGTCTAGACGAATGACGAGTGCAACGATATGTGTGTCGGAGGAGGTGGAGGAGGTGGAGGTGGCGGTGATGGTGGTGGTGGTGGTGGTGTCTATGTGCGATTGGAAGGTGTCGAAGAGGTGATGTGGTTTGCTCAGAAAGTGGTGGAAGGTCCTGGACGTAGAGGATCGCGGTCGCAAGCAACAGCAACACTGCAATAGCAACACCGCAGCCGAACCTTAGGCGAACGATGACGCCGGCCCGTGCTGGAGGGAATCTACCCTGATAATTGGAAGTGCAGGTGGCGGGGGGGACGGGAAGACTGACTGTTGCGGCACTTCCCGCTAGAGTCCGCTACTTTCCTCACCTACCTGACTCGGTGGTGATACGCCCCGCCCCGCCTCCAACAGATCCACGTGGCTGTCGAGACGTGCTGCTTACGTGCCTACTGTAAAACTGTCCCCCTTGACCTCGATCATTTGGGGCTGGGCCAGGAGAGAGAGGGTATATAGTCAAGCAAGCGGTCAGATGACAGTATTGTTTTTAAAAGGAGAAAAGAAAAGAAAAAGAAAAAGAAAAAGAAAAAGAAAAAGAAAAAGGCTGCAAGGGAATAAGAACACAGCGAAAAAGGGAGGCAGCGCTGGGGGCGTGATCAATAATGTCTCCTACTAGCATTTAGAATGTATCTTCCCTCGAGCTTTCACCATGCGTGAAGTCACCACGAATGCCACACCAGTCAAAGTAGCAACTGCACTCCACAGCTGAGCGCCCAAATATTTACCACCCATGGCATTCTGAATAGCTCCGCCGATGCTCGGTCCCGTGAGGGTCGCAAAGGAGATGGCGCCAAAGGCCATTCCCAGCCGGGTGCCAAACGCATTCATATTCGGAGTGATGGATGCCACGGTCGAGGGCAGGAGACACTGAAAGGCGGAGCTGCCGATCCCATAAAAGACCGCAAAGGTATATGTGCCCGCGGATGTACGCACCGCGATCCAACTGAAGGAGACGATGGTCAGGTAGACGAAGATGGGGATCATGGTATTCAACTGTCCAAATCGACTGGCGAAGAGGGGCGGGATTAATCGGGCGGGTACGCCGACACCATTGACGAGGATGGTGATGGTGATTGCCGCATTGAAAGGCATACCGACCACTTCGATGCCATAGGAGGATAGCTGCCGGAATACAGTATCAGCGCAAGCATCAGGGGGGGATGGGGCGATATCCATGTACTTACATAGTAGAAGGTGAAGTAGACGGCCCACATGACGAGGCACAGACCAGCGACGAGGAAAGCATATGTGGGCTCCTTGAATGCGGAGAAATCCACCATGGGCCCGGACTTTCGAGGAGGCATCCGGGGCCGCATGAACACCAGGACAATGCTGAGCATGCCTAGGTTCAGGAAGCCCAGAACGCGGGTGGTCCACGCAAAACCCAATTTGGGCAAAAGCTGTTGCACCAGGACGGGGTAGATCATGCCACCCACGCTGTTGCCCGTCGTGACAATGCCAATGGCCAGCGCTCGCTTGGTCGAGAAGTAGGTGCCCACGACTCCCATTGCCGGCGTGAAGAAGAGACCTCCGCCAATGCCAGTCATGACTCCTTGCGTGAGCAGGAATTGGTAGTACCGGGTCGACAGACTATCACAGCACGTGTGTTCATGATTAGCCTCGGCAGATGGTGCAGATGATTTGTATGAGCACAAGAATAAGGTACCTCATCAAGAATATGCCCACCAGCTGAACCAGGATTCCCAGGATGACGACGGGCATGAAGTAGCCAGCATCGGAGGCGCGGCCGGAGAATACGCCAATGAAGAAGGTAAAGAAGTTTTGGAGGGAACCAATCCACGAGATGGTAGAGCCGGGGCGCTCAAGAGTGAGAGTGTAGTAGGATTGAACTGAGAAGCGTCAGTCCATCAGCGGTCCGCACAACATCGAGGATCTCATCTCGCAATGCGGTCAACAGGGTCGAGCAATTGCTGATGGGACTTACAGGCACCGTATGAGTTCACCCAGCCCCAGGACGTGAACACCACAATCCATCCCATGGCGACCTGGGTCCAGGCGGACACACCTCCATCGGGTGCAGGTGGCGGGTTCACAATGGAGCGGGTGGTGAAGCGGGAGGCAACCTTGGTCAGAACGTTGCTCGCCACTCTCTTGAGATCCTGAGACGACTGGCGGGGCACGGATTCGTGCTTGGAGCGGATCTCGTCCGCATCCTGTTCATCGTGGAGGGAGACTTCCTCGAGTTCGGCTTGATCATCTCGGATGGAGAGTGATTTGTGGCTGCCCGCGGTCGTAGATCCCGACCTCACATCCTCCGTCCCTTTCTCGTTGCCGTCCTGATGGTCATCATATTCGTCGGACATGGTGACAGGAGCAGCATCGAAGATGGAGAGGCCAATAGTGTGATATCCAGGTGGTGGTGAGAGGATTGTACCCGAAGGTTCTGACTAACTGGAGCATTCACATGATGAGAGATGAGGTTGCCATTCAACGCTTCGGTCGTAAATGTTGCGGCCAGTAGCTCCGTGGTCGGCGAGCGGGTGCCGTGTCATCCTGCTGTCCAATTGACTGATGCGCAGAGTGGGAAGATCCATTTTTCCCCTGCCTGTTTCGGCTTCACAAGGCACAATACAGCAGCGGGCCAGTGGCCTCGCCCGTCCGCTCCGTCGCGCACTCGCGGCCGACGGTGTATTACCCGAACAGGATATTCAGCCCAGAATACTAGAAGAGGTGGCGAATGTGCAGCATTCTGGAGACCGGGAGACGGTGCAAAAAGGGCATATAGCACCCTGCAAGCGGCGGAACAAAGTTGGCAGATGAATTTTTTCCCTGGAGGCAATCCGCAGTCGCAGTCGCGTTGTGGCATACGCCGACGACAACCGCTATCCAGTGGACCGGTGACCGGTTGTGGAACGAGACATGCTCACGAATTTTTGTTGATACCTAATCGCCGAATAGGCGGACGTGCAGTAGCCACGCACGTGTTGCTCCTCGAGACGGGGCAGCGAGTGGGCCGCCGGCAAGGGCAGGCGACGCCGACACGGCCAACAGGAGGGACTAGTCTGTTTATCTGTATCATCTATCATCGTACTCGTTATTCACTGCCCGGGAGGTCAGTGATTCATAATCATTCATTGGTAATTTCAACTAATTTGTTTTATAGATCCTGCAGCTAATCACAGCTGGAAGTGAATACTATTACAGAGACTAAGTCTGAGAGTCTGAGAGTCGTCTCGGCCACGTGGTGTATAGTTCTCCGATATGTAGAGATGGAGTAATCATCCTGGATGGCGTCTGTGCGTGGTGTGTGTGCCCTAGGCAGTGTATCCCTGTTGTGGAATACGTACAATGGCTTCATCGGGGAGAGGGAGAGAGAGAGGTCGATGTGAAGAGAAGTGATGGAAGTGATGGAAGAGAAAGGTACATGACCTACTACATGTACCTACAGATATATCCAAAAGGAGCCGTTCAAGCGGCTGCAACGCAACACACGCTGACACAAGCAGACACACGTCACTCCATCACTCATCATGACATCCATATCCACCTCCAGTAGAGTCAGAATAACAACAACATCAACAACATCAAAATGTCCAAAGAATCACCCATTACGGCCTTTGGCTGGCATGAAGTGCCACGCAATCGCTCCAATATCCCATCTGCAGCCGAAGCAAACACCATCCCAACCGAACTCACCTTCGACACCATCTGGCCCCAGACTAAACTCGTCCAACAAGCACAAGCACACGTCAAAGCTCTCTTACCGCAAGAGACGTATAACCACAGTCTCCGCGTATATAGCTACGGTCTGCCTCTCCCTCTCCCTTCTTCTTCTTCTCCTCCTCCTCCTCCTCCTCCTACATCATAATAGCTAACAGAGACACTTCCTCCCTCCAGGCCACACCATCGTTACCCAACACTTCCCCTCCTGGCTGCATCAAACCTCTCCCGACCTCTTCTTCGAAACCTGGGCCCTGACATGTCTCTTCCACGACATCGGCACCACCCCCGCAAACCGCACTTCCACCCATCTCTCCTTCGAATTCCAAGGTGGCTTCATCGCTCTGCAAGAATTACAAAAATTCCACGCACCCCAATCGCAAGCCGAAAGTGTCTGTGAAGCCATCATTCGCCACCAAGATCCCGGTGAGACGGGAACGATTTCGAGAATGGGCCAGTTGGTGCAAATCGCTACCGAGCTGGATAATATGGGCTGGCAGGCGTATTTGGTGCATCCACGTGTGATAGAGCAAGTGGTTCGGCAGTATCCGAGATTGAAGTGGTCGGCGTGTTTCTCCCAGGCGATTCAGGCCGAGTTGGATGCGAAGCCGTGGTGTCATACGACTGCGATTCCCGGGTTTAAAGAGGCTGTTGCTAATAATGAAGTTATGAAATCTTATGATTAATGTAGATTAGATTAGTTACTTGGATGTCACATACCGTACGCAGTGAAAAGAAAAAGAAGAAAGAAAGAAAACCAGTCCTCAATCCAACCATCACCAACCCCCAGCTCCCTCGCCGAGACTCTTGAAGCTAAGGTACATGTAGGCAGTGACTTCTACACAGCATAATCCACCAACTTCATCCTCTTCAACAACCCCTCCCATCCACCGCCTCCAATCACATTCAAAGGCGCCACAATCGCCATTTCCGACCACGCAAACCTCTCCCCATTCACACCCACCACCGTCCGAAACTCCATCTCATCATCCATGCCAGCAACAGCAAAAAACGTCCGATTCCCCCTCCCCATCAACTTGGCTTCCACCCATTCCCCAATGGGTAAACTATAATTCAACGCAAAAGCATTGCCCGCCGAAACAAGCATCAATTGGGTTGAAGTGCCATTTCCAGAACGTAATTCACTATCCGGTCCGGTGAAAATTGATCCTCCTCCTCCTCCCTCCCCTCCAGTGGTGGTGGAAGTCTGCTGGAGGGTAAAGGATAAAGTGTAATTCTGTCCTTTGGATGTCAAAGGTGTAGAAAAAGTGCAATTGGGCGAAATGTGTATCGCCGTCGTCGACCCACCCTCATCATCATCAGGAGTAGTAGGAACGATATCGCAAGTAGAATTTGCATCGTAGCCATTTCCAGAGAGATCAGGAATAACCATCATCATCCCATTCTCATTCTCATATCCCGCCACCACTTCCGCCAGAGAAATTCTCGTAAAATCATATTCCACAATCACATCCCCCTTCGAATCCACTCTGCGATCCAAATTCTGTCCCGGAGCCACTTTCTGCAACTTCTCCCACACTTCCTCATATTCATCCTCCAAAATGTTGCCTCCCCACTGCTTATCCGCCAAAGCAGGAAGATAGTCTCTCCAAGGATAATACGCTTCCAAATACGTCGACGTATTGGGTCCGTAATCGTTCCACTGCGCTGCGACATGTCCGAGCACACCGGGGGAATTTCGCGGAGGGTTGTTGGTGGCGTTGTTGGGGTCGAAGATGTGGGGGGCGAACGCGGTGCCGTCTTCCGGGTTGCCGTGGAAGAGGAGGGTGGTGTTGTGGAGTTGTTGAGGGTAGGAGGTGCTGTATTTTTGGACGAGGTACGTGTGGTCGTCGGAGTTGATGACTTTGTACCCGTTTTGGATGTAGTCTTGATAGGGGTAGTCTTCGAAGAATTCCCAGTGTTGGAGTGTGACGTTGGTGGAGATGTTGTTGGTATAGTTGCTTTTGGGGGGAAAGGTTCCCCAGATGCGGATGGTTTTGTTGCCTGTGGCTGCGATGTAGCTGTTCATGGCATTGACAAAGTCGTTGTACACTTCGGCGAGGGCGCTGTGATTTGTGATTGTCAGCACAACTGATGCCTCCCATCTAGCAGTAGAGAGAGAGAGTGGCGAAATTATAGGTAGGTAGGTACTTACTCTTTACTCAAAGTATTATCCACATACTCATCTGCCCCGATATGCACAGCCTTACTGTGAAACCACGGCAAGAATGTCTTCCAGATCGTCTCCATCAGCGGTATGGTATCCGGATATGTAATATTCAACAAATCAAACTGTTCCGCAATCGCAAGTTCGGGCTTCCACTGCGTAAAAACGAGAGCATGTCCCGGCATTTCAATTTCAGGAATCACCGTCACGCCTCGAGCCGCACAACTCGATTGGATATAATCAAAGTCCTGACGAGTGTACGATTCATTTCTCCGCCGATTGAGGCCAGCCAGCGCGGGTTCGTCAGACCAGAGTCGAAACGCAGAATACAGCTCTTGTTGTCGCTCCATGGAGTAAATCTCGATATTGTTGTAGAGATTATCGCTCAAATGAACATGAAACGTGTTCTGTTTGTAAAAGGAAATCCAACTGCACATTTCAATCAGGAATTCCGGGGGATAGTAATGTCGGCCAGCATCGAGCTGATGAGAGAAAAAAAGACTTGATCGTCAGTGTATGTTCTGCCCTGTTTTTTTCTTCTTTGTTGGGTGCATTTGCATCTTCACCCATTCGAACAACAACAGGCTGCTTACGAAAATCCCTCTGGTTCCCCAACCAGGACTGTCAATTCCATATCCCGCCTCAATCCGGCCATCGTGCAAAGCGGCTTGCTGCAGCAGCGATCGCGTTCCCCACCACACTCCCAGTGGACTGGCGCCGGTGATGATCACGCCCGTACTGGTCACATTGATCGCATAAGCCTCCGAAGTCCATCGATCAGCCGCATCTCTGAAGTCACTGTTGTTGGCCACAGTCAAGAAGACCTGCCCAGCTGCAGCGTGCTTCCCACATTCCACAGAGATGGCCGGAACAGATGGCGATATCGCTGCCATGTCAGCCGCGAATGTCTCCGCAAAGGCGCGGAGTGAAGGTGGAATCAGTGTCCAGCCATCAGTATCCTTGGCATCGGCATATTCAGTGTCAACCACAATCTTGTTCAACTGCGCGAGATCGAATGTGCCACCTCCAGAGGCTGTAAATGGTACGGTGGGCAACCCGGTCCAGTCTGCTAGACATGTCGTGCTCAGGACGAGCACAGCATAGACCGCTGTGAGCATTGTAAGCAAGATGAGGGGAAGAAGTGCCTTTCTCTCTCAGCAGCGGAATGTGGTACAGCTCAAGATGGATATCTCCCTACAACTTGTACCTGTTCATGCTCATGCTCGTGCTCGTGCTCATCATGCTCATCCTCATCACCGTCGTGGCAGTGCCGGTGGGGTTCTATAGTTGTTCCATCATGATGTTGCACAAACTAGTGAGTTGACCTGCAGGTACTGTACCTGACTACCTGTAGACCGCGCACAAGGGGGAGTTGGATAGGGAGAGAAAGGAGGTATGTGATTGGGGGTTTGATGGGAAGTTTGATTGGGAGTTTGATTGTGGTGTGACATTGAACGGGTGGGGAAATGAAACTTTGGGCGACTCCCGCCTATCAACCAGGATGCCTTCTTCCTAGATAGGCACATGGCGAACTGCCACGGTGCTACCCTTCACCTGCAGCAGATAAGCAAGCCACTTGCGCCGTGGAGCACTTCCAAGAACCATGGAGCAGCATTCTTTCGACCTCACGCACAAAGCCCAAGCAGTAATGTAACATGTAACATCAATCGTTCAATAAGGGTTCGGGAAAAGGAGAGCTGCTGCTGCTGCATAACAACGTCTTCATCTTCGGAAATACCAGGGCGGTCTGCACCAAGGGGATGCTCGTATTCTGCTGACACTGATCCCGAGAAGACCTCCTCCCATCACCATCGCCAGACTTCAGGGTCAGCGTCGGGCCTTCCTGAGACAGACAATTCAGTACATTTGGCATGGGACATCCGCCTGCTATGCGTGAATCGCACTATTCACGATCTTCCCAAGACCGCGTTTCGGCTGACCTCATAGAGTGGCATGATGTCTGTCCACAGCTTGAACTGGTGTACACCCTGCGCGACCAGCGCCTCCAGACCAGGCACAGTGTTCCATCCACTCTTCTCTGCCAGCTCCATGAGTTGCGTGACAGCGGGTTTATAGGCCATTTCGAGCAATACCTTGCTGCGTGTAGTCGCTGCACTCTGCGCGAAGACGGTCTGCAAGATACTCTCCAGCGTCGTATCAATAGGCAGATCACCAGGAATCGTACCCACAGCAACAACAGGTGGGACAGCAACTTGCCTTGCTTCTTCGGGGCTGGATAACAGCGTGATGTTGTACTCTGCTGGGAAAGAAGCAGTGAGTTGTGCCAGCTTGGTCTTGTTTCTGCCAAGTAAGTAGATGGGACTATATCCCATGTTTTTCAAAGCGTAAATCGCAGCTCTCGCTGTACCGCCTCCACCGACCACCATGCCAGCTTCGCGGCTCACTGCAGCCGGCGTACTTTGTGCGCCAGCGTTACGGAGCGCGAGAACCATGCCTTGCCAGTCTGTATTGTGACCAACAAGCATGTTCTTGCCAGAAGACGATTTGGTGGGCACGATGGTGTTCACGGCGCCGATCGTCTGCGCCGCAGGATCAATGGCATCGAGCAAAGGCATGATGTCGAGCTTGAGGGGAATGGTGACACTGGCTCCGCCAAACTCAGGCGAGCGGATGATGTCTGCAGCCGAGGATGCTTGATCCGTCTCGTGGGTTCCGTAGATATGTGGTAAGCCAGTCAGGTTGAAGAGTGTATTGTGCAAAGCTGGTGAGCGCGATTGCTGCACAGGCTTTCCGAATAGATAGAACTTCTTCGCAGGTATCTCACCGACGATGCCGAGCACTTTTCTGATCTCGGCCGCCGATACCTGACCAGGCGCAGCTTTGACAGGCAAGGCAGGATGGCTGACGGGTGTCATGAAACCGTTGGTGACTCTGCTCATTTTGCCCAACTCGCCCATGTTCATAGCGATGACAGGCAAGTGCGGGAACTCCTTGGCCACTGTTTTCTTGAATGCTTTGAGATCATCGTTGGCGTCAGAGTCCTTGGCCACACCGATGAGCTTCACAATGTCGCCATATTGGCGCGCTGCATCGAAGTGAGCTCTCCACTCTTCTGCACCATCGGCCCAGGAAAGCTGGCCCTTAGGATCGTGGTGCGAAGAAATTATGGTGCACATCTTCCTGTGGCTCAATACATATTCCTTGAGCTCAGGCGCAGCGGTCAGTTCCAGGTCCACGAAATCGAAGCCCATGCGCAAACCTTCCGCATAGAGCGCAATGGCTTGCTCGGTCGCCTCGTCGGGAAACTGGCCACCTTGACTGACACTCCTCAACGTGAAAATCAAAGGCAGAGTGGTCGAAGCTCTCAGGAGGGCAACCTGCTCGCTCAGGAACCCAGGCCTCCAGTGCGTTTCTCCTGGTTCTTTGTCTGGATCCACGAGCAAATCGACTCTGAGCTCAATAGCATCACTGCCCATTGTCACCTCCGGCAAGATAGGAACAATTTGTTGTATCGTAGGGCTTGTCAAGGCGATGAAGAACGAATGCTGCTTTGCCAAGATCTTCTGCAATGCTCCGCTTCTCCCTGTCATGGTGTTCAGGAACCTCGTGAAGTCGTCCAAGGGGCTGGTCCAACCTACAATGGCAGTTGTCTCGTCCACAGTCTGGCTATGGTAGTGCAAGTTACTGCATTCCTCAAACCACGGCTTACGCCTGAGGTAGACGCCCATCATGTCTTCGACATACGCAGGGCGAGTCTTGTCAATATACATCGATATGACTATTGCCATGATGGCTAGCTTTGGCGTACATGTGACGAGAAGCAAGACGGAGGAGAACGTTTACCACATTCCCAAGCAGAGCTACATCAACCCAGCTGAATACGAGGTTGAAAGTGATGCGAGTAGCGCGACTTACCCCCTCGCTATTGCGGCCATTACCGGGACAAAGTGCACGGTGCCAAACATCGGGTCTTCTTCCTTGCAAGGCGATGCGCGCTTCGCTGTTGATGTACTCCGCCCCATGGGATGTACGGTGGAGCAGACGGAGACGAGCACAACAGTCACAGGACCTCCGGTCGGCAAGCTCAAGCCCATACCCGAGTTGGACATGGAGCCCATGACTGATGCTTTCCTGACTGCATCTGTCCTCGCTGCTGTTTCTGAACCGAACAAATATGGCGCGACAACAAGAATCATCGGCATTGCAAACCAGAAAGTTAAAGAGTGCAACCGCATTGTAGCGATGATCGATGAGCTTGCAAAGTTTGGTGTGACGTGCAGAGAGCTGGATGACGGTATTGAGATTGATGGCGTTGGTAGTAACATTCAGGCGCCCTCTAGCGCCATAGATTGCTACGATGACCACAGAGTGGCGATGAGTTTCAGTGTCCTTGCTGCTGTTGCACCGAAGGGCACGCTGATTCTCGAGCGAGAGTGTACTGGCAAGACTTGGCCTGGCTGGTGGGACGTCCTGCACCAGACTTTTGGCGTCAAACTCGAGGGTGTCGAGCCTGAGCAACCTCACGCTAATGGTCACACGAACGGCCACACCAACGGCGTCGCTGAAATCAATGGTTATGTGAATGGAGAAGTCAAGAAGTCTGTCTTCATCATTGGCATGCGAGGTGCTGGTAAGACCACGACTGGAGGCTGGGCTGCACGAATTCTGGGTTGGCCATTCATCGACATGGACCTTGAACTTGAGAAACAGGAAGGCATGTCGATTCCTGAGATGCTCAAGGATAATGACTGGGATGGATTCCGTCGGAAAGAACTGGGGCTGCTGAAGCGCCTCATGGCGGAGAAGCCAAACGGTTACGTGTTTGCAACCGGTGGCGGCATCGTCGAAACTTCAGAAGCTCGTGCCTTGCTCACGAAGTGGCAGGAAGACGGTATGGTGCTCTACGTCACGCGAGACATCAAGGCAATCATAGATTTCTTGAACAGCTGACTGATGACCTTGCCGCCGACAAGGCGCAGAGTCACAGGCTTTTTCGCATATGGAGCTGATATGAGAATTGAGGAGACGTACTGCGACGAGACCTTTGCTGTGAGCTCAATGTCACCGCCTTCAAAGCCGCCGGCTGCACCAATGCGCAGAGGCAGGCTTTGGCTGCCCGGCTTACCGAGATACTCCATGTCGACGCCGTTTGATTTGAGGGCATCAACCAGTGGACCTTGCGGTCGTTCTTGCATGCGAGCGTTCCCAGTCAGGATAGTGTGAGATGCTTCTTTGGAAGGTTCTGCCAGAGTCAGGGCTGTCGTCAAGAAGCGCGAAGCAGTGCCAGCATTGCCAATAAAGATTTCATCTGCTGAGGCCTTCAAATTTCCACCGTTGCCATTCACAACCAGCACACGGCCTGAATCTTCCCATGCATATGTCGCACCTCGTAGACTCGCGATCGCAGAGAGCATGTATTGTGTGTCATCGGAAGCTAGCAAATTGGTAATCCTGCATTCTCCCTTGCCCAGCGCTGCCATTAGTAATATTCGATTCGAGATGCTCTTGCTTCCGGGGGGTTTGCACACTACGTCCAAGCCTTCGGGCACGCCAGGCTTGACCAGCACAGAGGGACAAAGAACAATCCTAATATCTTCATCATCGCACTTGGCTGCTCCTGGTCCAGTCTCTGGCTCATAGCATTTCCCGATCGATTCCAGCAGTGCAATCTTCTTCTTCGACCCAGCGTTCTTTTTGTCTACTGCCATCTTCCTGAGCAGCTCGTCCGCTTTGCAGACTTTCCTCGTCTTCTTGGTAATGAACTTGTCCTCCAAGCTCGTCGGTAGTCCATAACTCTTGATGGCCTTTGTCAGCCTCGCTACAGCAGCAGGCTCCAGTATGCCCAGGTATCTTGCCAGCTCTGCCTCTTTCACCATACCCACAGCAACACACTCTCCATGTAGAATTTCCGGAGTCAGAATAGCCTCATAAGCATGGCCAATAGAGTGTCCAAAGTTGAGCAGATTTCGTAACCCACCTTCCCTCTCATCTGCAGTAACAACTTCTGCCTTGACACGTGCACTGCCCAGCACGATCCTCTTGAACACATTCTCGATGCCCTCAAACCGTCCTCTTCCCAGCGGCCTCTCCAAAGCAGCCATGATAGCATCGGCGCCTTCTTCCAACCTCTCAAATTCCCTCTCATCCCAGATTGCAGCAGTCTTCACCACCTCAGCCATTCCATTGCAAACTTGCCTCTTGTCCAATGTCTCCAAGAAAGCCAGATCAATGTAAATCCTCTCTGGTTGCCAGAATGCTCCTACCAAATTCTTTCCCATAGGAACATCAATGGCCGTTTTCCCGCCAATCGAACTATCGACCATGCTCAGCAGACTCGTCGGGATCTGTACGAACTTGATGCCCCGCATGTATGTCGCAGCAACATATCCGAGTAAGTCTCCCATGACCCCACCGCCTAATGCAAGCAGGATAGTATCCCTCGTGCATCCTTGACTGAGGAGCCAGTCTTCGATTTGGGCTTTGACCTTACGGCTCTTGCTCGTTTCGCCGGGTGGGATGGTGTCGTAGACGAGGAGTCGTACATCCTCCGCTCTCTTACCCAGCTTGGCGCGCTCGGCCTCGAAAGACCGGATGAAGGCGGGGACATAGGGCAATTTGGCGAGGTTGGAGTCGCAAATGAGAACATAGGTCGACGAGGGAATGTTAGCGAGGAGATCATGTGTTGCGTAGTGAGGCCACAGTCCATAGTCGACTATGATGGTGTCCTTGCCGAGTATGGACACTTTCGTGGCGGTTTCTGAACCTGCGCTGGGCGCCTTGTTCGACGCCATATTGGGGCGGTGTGAGTTTGTATCGTGTAGTCTGTATTGGGGTCTCGCCTTTACATGGAGCTGAAGTGCTCAGTCGATCCGAGCCAGTGCAGACAGACCGCACAGTCACTGCGAACTCGCCAAGACGGCGTTGAAATGAAAGTGCAGTCGTGTCGGTCCGGTGCCAGGTGCCAGGTGCGAGGTGCGAGAAGTCTCTGCATAAGGTACGGCAGGTCAGGCAAGGTGAATGTGGGCGGGAGAAGCACAAAGAAGGTCAATGGCAGGTTGACTCAGACTGGAGGTATATTTCCGGCACAGAAATTCGCCGATACCTATTGAAGCATGACGGTTGACGAACTCCCGGGAGACCGTAAACGCACTTTTCTGAACAGGGATCACAGTGGATCGCCAATGCGGAACGCAGATCATTTTCAGGCACAACCCGCCGAGAGTCCCGCCATGAGGTAGTATATGGACCTCCTGGCGATAAAAACTAACCACGCTACGACATCATCACAGTAAGACGTGGAACGATACATGTACAGTGCAGCGACTGCTTGGTAATGGAGAGAGTACACGCGCCTGAAGATATCTTGTATGACTCTACAGACCCGGCAACTTTCGTTGACCGATCGGGCTTCCTAGCACAGGGCATTCTCCTCCATCGTTGCAAACAAGCTGCACCGACAGTAGGCTTCTTTCCCTCGTAAAGCGCCAGTACTTTCTCCTAGCCTGTGAGGGCGAATCGCATTTTGGTAATAGAAGGCCAAATCTCTAGCACATGTCTACCACTGGGTCTCAGCGGGAGCCGAGGACTCAGCACCGGTAGTGCCATCAGCAGCCCAGCCCTGGTTGCCCGTCTCGATTGGGGCGCTTGCAGCGGCCCAGTCAGCGCCCTCAGCGTCCCAAGTGGAAGCAGCTTGAGCACCAGCAGTACCGGAAGCAGCAGCGAAAGCCGAGCTGCCGGCATTACCGACCTCCCACTCGTTGTTGAACCCGCTCTCCACTGCGCCGGAGCCAACCTCGTCGACACCTGGCACCTTGCCTTCTTCCTGACCAGCAGAGTCCTTGTTCTCCTCCGCTTCTGGGTCGCGATAGAAGTACAGATCGGTCATGACATCCCACTCAGTCTCACGACTGGCGAGAGTGCCACGAAGACGGAGCACCTCACGGGCAAGCATCCACCATACGAGACCAATCGCGTGACGACCCTTGTTGTTGGTTGGAATGGCAACATCGACGTACTCGGTTGGTGAGTCGGTATCGCAGAGCGCGATGACTGGGATGTTGACGTACGAAGCCTCTTTGATGGCCTGGGCATCGGTGCGTGGGTCGGTCACGATGATCAAGCGGGGCTCCTTGAACGAGCGGGTGATGTAGTTCGTGAAGTTACCCGGGGTGAAACGACCAGCGATTGGAGAGGCACCAGTGTGGGCAGCGAACTTGAGGACAGCACGCTGACCGTATGGGCGGGCAGAGATGACAGCAATGTCGGCTGGGTTGTCAATGGCGGCGACGATGCGGGCAGCGAGCACAATCTTCTCCCTATCGCAGGAATTAGCATATATGTAAATGTGCCATAAGTAACAAATTTGCAGAAGCGCAAGAAGCGCCACAAATCTGGTCGTAAGCGCCCAAGCAAGTCTCCCTGATCTCGCGCTGTAACGAGAAAGTGCCCACTTCCACATACCAGGTCTTGCCAATGTTGATCACGTTGATACCGTCTGGACGAGTCTTCCAGAGGTATGGCTCCATGTGCACCTGCAAGTTCTTGCTGCCAATGTGAGCCTGCGCCGACAGGAGCATCTCAATGTCCTGGGCAGTGGCGTTGAACACCGGGGGGAGGTTCTTTGGGGATGCCATGGCGAGTGCGCGTCGATGTTGTCGGTGTTGAAGAATCGCCAGTCGCTGCAGCTTGTAAACTGGAAATCTGAGTGCGAACGTGGGTCGGCATGACTAAGACAGCTGAGTGGTCTTGGCGCGCTCTTCTCCCCCGAGATCCGCACCAGGCGATCGTACTGTCCGCGGTCTATCCGAATATGCTCGATTGCTGTGGCTTGCTATTTATTCTTGTAATGAAGCGGGTGTAGACCATCATCATGCCGCCTCGAATACCCGTTGCGCAATGCCTGCGGGCTTCTAGCAGTAAGTCGATATGCAGGAGAGATGGATGCATGCGGCAATCGCTCACAGAGACTGCAGTAACGCCCTCGCCCGTTCCCTTTGTGTCCATCACGCGTTCGTTCTCGGCGACTCCCAGCTCGTCCGCCTCGACCGCCAAGCAACGAAGGAGGCACCGCGATCCCTATGCCATTGCGCAGGCGAAAGCGAAAAAGGCCGCCAACCTGAGCAGGCAGGAGGTGCTGACGAAAGAACGAGTGGGCAGTCTGGGCGATCCCGTTCGAGGTGTTACAACGGCATTCGTACAGTCTTTTGACACTGCTTTGCCCCCCGAGTCTGGAGCATCTACGCCCTCATTGCAGACGGGAACTGACCCGGCAGTGAAGGCGGAAACGGACAACCATCTCAATTTCTACCTGACCAAGGAAGAGCTGGCGCGAGGTATAGGGAGGAGCCAGTGGCTGAGTAGTCCATCGATTCAGGATGAGCCTGACGAGTCTGAGAGCCGTAGTGAGCAGGATGGCGGCCAAAATCGTCCTCGCGGAGACAGCGCCGATATAATGGAAGCGATGTTTGCCGACGAGTCTAGAGGTTCTGGCACGAGGAGCTCAGACTGGACGCGTTCAATGTCTGCTTTGGCGGACTTGACAACGGATGTCACGCCGGAAGCACGCCAGAAGAGACTAGAAGAGGAGAGTACCACCGCGGAAGAAGCATTGCGACGTATCTCCAGCTTATCATTGGGGAGCAGCAAGGACAGGTTGAGAGTGAACAAGCAGAGATGCATAGAGGTCTTTGGGCGGCACAACACGGAGCAGACACTATCCCCAAGGCTCGCTTCAGCAGCGACGACGGGCGGCGAGCAACAAAAAGTGGAACGCGTGGGAGCAGATACCGGTAGTAGTGAAGTGCAGATCGCCATTCTGACTGCCAAGATCCGAGCCGTGGCCGACTTCTTGGAAACGAGAGGCACCATGGACAAGCACAACAAGAGAAATTTGAGGCTGCTGGTGCACAGAAGAGCGAAACTGTTGAAATATCTGAGGAGAAAGGAAAGAGGCGGTCCACGATGGCAGAACCTGGTGGAGAAGCTGGGTTTGTCTGATGGAACATGGAAGGGCGAGATCACGTTGTAAAGGAGCGGGCATTTGCACATCACGGTGCTCCTGACCACTTATATATGTACAGATACCAAATCCCGCTATGCACAGCAAGGCGGAGACTTCGCCGTCAACGTGCACTTTGTTTTTGTCTAAGTGGCACCGTAACGACAGCAAAGAGGCCTCCAATAGTGTTGAAGCCGTTCATCATCCAAGCAAACGTTCGTACGTTCGACTAAGTTTGAGCTAATAGCAGCTTCACTACTAACCTACTGCCTATACGAAGACACATCTGCCATGACAGACAATAATACTGGCTGAGAGCAAGACGCGATTCGCTTCGAAGAACGGCAGTGCAACTGTGCGCATCGCTACAATCCTGATCAAGCTCACGAGAGGACAACAGCGTCCATCGAATTGTGAGGTTTGTTGAAAGTTAAGCTATCTGTCGAAATCGTACTCCAGGGGCGTGTGATGGATGGTTTCAAGTGGCCATGCGGACCAGGCCAGGGAATGCAAGTCCTGAGGATCAGCGGAGACAAGTCCGTTGTTCTTCTTCTTCTTCGAATCTTCTTCTTGGTAACCCCTGTCCCTGACCTGACCAGCCCAGGCTCGGCGACAACCAGCCCAACTCGACAACTACATGATCATTGCCGCAGTACCCCTTCGAGGAAGAATTCCCCCCTCTTTTTTTTTAACAAATACGCTATCGTTCCCAACCCCTCGCGAAGCACATAGGTAGTAACCGATTGGCACCTTTTGAAAAATCTCGGTTCCATATGTATCGTATACTAAGGTAAGAAAGATACGATATCTCGGTCCAATCCTAGTCTGTTAACTAGTATACAGGACCTTCCTTACTACTGTATTACGAGACTTTCTCTTACCGAAAGAGCATATTACTGTATTTACCTTAAGTAAGGACAAGGTAGGTATAAATCGTCCCTACCGAGGTATGTAGGTATCTTATCTTTGCGTTGTCGTCCCGTATATGAATATTTCGTCGGGAAGCCTCTCGAAATACATCTAGGTATCTATCTCCTAGAGGCTTTTTTTTTTTTTTTCTTTTTTTCTTTTCTTTCTTTTTTTTTTCTCTCGGCTAGTGTTACCGGGTTAAGGCTAGAGATCTAGTACAAGGAAGGTAAGTAAGAGGTACCTAACATTACGATAATCCAGATCTTCTCTGCTTGCCCTAACAATATATAGTTCGTTGAAGAAAAAAAATAAAAGGGATTCAGATATTGGAAGCTAATAGGTTTCGAGAGGATGTATACATGTAGGTAATAAGTACATACCTACCTGACCTGCCTACATCCTAGGTAGGTATTGATTGTTTGCTAGGCTGCAGATATGTACCTAGGTACTAAAGCGATTATAGGCGTAAGCCACTCACTACCTTATTGATACCTACCTCTAGAATTCCTTTTTTCTTTTAACAACGTAAGAATTGATTTTCCAACGAAACGAAAACACGAGAAACGACCTATTTTCCCTTTCTAATAGCGCTTAAAACGACTGATCGATCGGGTTGTGAGAGAGAGAGTCTCCAAGGGTGCTGTGCGATTCCCATTGCTTCGGTTCGGTTGTAAGAAGGTACGAAAAAAATCCCCTGTGTGCCTTGTGTACCTAAGGTACCTACATCTAGGTACCTTTTAGTCTTTTGTATGGTTTACAGGAGGTTGAGAATTGGGTAGAATGTCCGTATAGCTTATTCTTGCATTTGAAGTGTATTAGTGCTCATATGTCAAAACGATGTTAGATCGACGGATTAGAACTTTTGAGAGGTGCGATTGATGGGTTCGATACAGGTACCTAAGGTACAGGTAAGCCTACATGTAGGAGATATCATGGATGATGACGGGATGCGTCTTGAAATGCATATCTACATGTAGGTACATAACCTGGTACCTGACATCTGACGACAGGTGGTCATGCATACAAGGAGTACTACCAGGTACAGCCCCTATATGCTTGCAAGAAGAAAGAAAAAAAAGAGTATAGTCCACCACTTGTCATGTCACGATGTGTCCGCAAGACGTTTCAATTCCCCATTGCCTCGGATTCTCATCGAATCAATCCTTCCTTCGTCCTCCGACCTCCATCTCCTGTCAACAGATTTGTTATCATCAAGGAGGTCGTTGCCCAGTGGTACAACGTCTGCCGGCTAGCGGTACGAGAAACACGGCAATGGCAGGTGAATAAATACGATCCCATCGAATTCGCCACGACTGGTGGCGATGCCCACGATAGGTCTCCTGTGTGACCCGCATGACGAATGAAGGTTCCGTACCTCGCCAGTAGTAATCGAGACCATTGTCCGCGCCATTCGGTGTAGTCTGCGCCGGCGATCTGATGCGGACTTCGACGAACGTGTCAAATGGACCGGCCCCATCCCCCCGAGGTCGGGGAGGTGGCACCGTGCGAGCGCGGACAGTATAAGATGGCGATATGTGTACGCCATCACCGAAGAACTCGACCCCTGCTGTTCTTGCGTGGTGGGTAACGGGATCAAGTACGATTGTGAAATATCCGCTGAGGCCTTGACGGCGGGAACCGACGTCGAGAGTAACTTCTGGGGATCTCTGGTTGACCCAGAACACCGGTCGATCTGCCGGGCACGTATTCGGTGGAGCATGGAATTCGGCGGGTGTGGGCGGAGGGGCAGCAGGATGTGTTCGCTTGCTCAGTTCCACTGAGAAGCTTTCCTCTTCCAGTGAGTAGTCCAGGGAATAGTTTTCCACTGGAAAGCTGCCAACAGACAAGATGGCGGGAATGAGCCACAACGCGGCCAAGGTGCTTTTCATTGTAGCTGAGTAGACGGTTTCGAGGTCCAGAGAGAGAGAGAGGTCCAGAGAGAGAGAGAGAGAGAGAGAGAGAGAAGTACACGGAAGTGTTGGGAGGACCGTGTTGCGAATGATGAGCCGATCAATGCGATGTTTCGACCCTTTTATATACATACCAGGTACCTAGAAAATGTTGCAATGCCGTCCTGTCTGGTGCCTAGATCGTATGCCAAATCACTATCTTACTGTTCGAATTGCGAAGTATTCCTAGACTTACCTGGGCTGCATGCTACATCCTTCTCAAACACTTTCAGCAACACTGGGGGGCATGCAGAGCAACGTGATATACGAGCACAATCTCGTCAGCGCTCACAACCGAATGCTTACCTGACTGTCTTTTTAAACGAGCCGACCTGACCATGCTCTAGTTTCTCGTATTAGAGACCGGGATGCCAGCTTTAACAATATCCTCTCTCTCAGCTCTCAGCGCGGCAGCGATTATCAACACCAACAGCTCGAGTTTTAATATGGTATGAAAACAGCGGCATTTGAGAGCAGAGAGAAGATACTGTAAGAGATGGGATCCCGGTCTCGACTACGTATTGACGAGTGCACACTTTACACCCGTTTCTAGGACATGGTCCCTCTGGACTTGCACTCGAGCATAGCCAGATTCTTGGGTTGTTACATTACTGACTGTTCATTGTTCTACACGGCAGTAGTAGTACCGCACTGGATATTCGAGGTCTGTTTTTTGGCTGAAGACCGAAAAATAAATGAATGCAGTGCTCACAGGCTAATAGCTCGTTAGCCCCAACTCTGAAACTCAACTCTATTAGTGTTGTAAAGACTTCTACCGGAGGCATACTCGGTGTAGTTTTCGTCTATGATTTGGATAATTCTGCATCTCCGCAGCTGGTGGGCGAGAGCGTAGTCGTAGTATACCATGTCGTTGTGGTTCTTCGGGCCCTCAGGGCTTATACTGGGAGATCCTGATTTCTTGCTCTAGCTGTATGACCAGGCAATGCGGACGTTCGCTCGTATTCCTAGAACTCCTAATCGGGTAGTAGTGTGGGCGACGGCATGGTCTTGATCGAGTTACTCCGTCCAGATAAGGGCGCGCGCGCCTAGATTGGCGTGCCACTACCACGTGCGACACCAGTGCGCTCACGTAGGGCTGAGTTGAGTCGTTAGTGCCTAAAAGGCATATTGAAAGCTGACTAGCTATGTGCACGCACTGGCAAAGGCTCTATCGGTAAAAGGTGAATGAGCAGCGGCTCGAAGGGCTTCGCACGCTTCATCGCTTGGTCGCATGCACTTCTGGAAGAAACTTGGTGATATAACTGGGAGCGCTAGCAAGCTGCCACTGCAGCGAGCGCAGCATGTGCCTGAGATAACTCTTATATCAAGGAGTGTTTCGAAAATGGGCTCCACGTCCGCGTAACCCTCTGCCTTGGATGAAGGCATGGTCTCCCACAACCGTCGCCGGGTCTATCCCTCGCTTTTTCTACTGCCTCTGCAGTTCTATCGAAGTCTCAAGGCTGGCAATCATCCCCTTCGGCCACGATGCTCTTGTCTAGATACGCCAGCGCGTGGTAAGCGTGACATGGCCGCAGCCGTGGCTCGGGACAGCTAGCTGATTGTGTCTGGGAACGGAGACTGAGGTATTAACTTGGCTCCTTTGAGCGATATTGCGGTTGGCGAAGAAGATGGAACAAATTGTCTCTGGTCGGTGGTGTTAGAGCCAGCAGGAGCAGGCGGACTTGACTTCTCTGATGTTGAGATGTATTAACATGTATGTAAGCGGCTTACTCAGCTTGTGGGATACATGAATCCATGGATCTAGGTAGGTACCTGAGGTACATGTACCTTACTTCCAGTACCTCCTACAAACACACCTCACCGTTGCTGCATAAATTCCAGGTTGACTTGCCTTTGATAGATCATAAATGGAACGTAATAAATCTCACAAGATCAAGGACCGCGCAACTCGATGGCAATAGATCAAGAGATACACCAACACCCGCAATGTGCCTCTTCCTTCTCACCCACAAAAGCTCACATGCCAGACTATTGCCCCTTATTCAAGATCCGACTTGCGTGGATCATACAACAAAATCGTCTATAAAATAAAATAAATTCGTTCTGATCAGACTGGCGAAAATCTGGGCTATACAATTTTCCTCAAGTGCGGCAAAAGATGCCATTTTCCGACGCGAAGGGGCTGGGAGGCTGAAAGTTGCTGCCATCAACGTAGGTAGTCCGCGACCAAACCGATATTCCTGTACCTGAGATCCAAAGCCTCCAGCTGGAACTTGCATACGATTAATGTGAACTTGGTCTGGGACCCTTTTCTTGATAAGCACGTGGGTAGATGGGGATCAGCTTGGGCGATATATTGACTCAGGGCAATCGATGGAACTTCTCAAGATCGAATAATACCTACCTCACACGAGAGTCTCTCGAGCGCTACCTTACTATCGAACATGTTTGAAGACAAATTGCGTGCTTTACGCTCCAGTTGTCATCACCTCCAAATCGTCCACGAGAAAGCGTTGCTGATTTCGATGAGCTTGCTGCGGTGGTGTCTGCAGAAGCCACAGAGGCTTTTGTCAAAGTCGAGATGTCTTCGAACACAAAGCTGCCTCCATTGTCAGAGATGGCGCCTCAGTCACCTCGTTTTGGCATTCCGCCAAATATCTCAAGCCAGGACCACTTGAAGCGCTACGAGGAGGAGTTGTCGCAAACGAATGTGATTGCATGCCGAGTTTGCGTGACTGCAACCAACAGAAGTGCCGGTTGTGTGAAGTACCTAATGTAATTGATGGCGACGATCGTGTTGGTCTGAATTCAGCTGAGAGATATCTCCTTGGTACTACACTGGAGACTGGACGCTCACAGCAAAAATGCATCTTGCTCGCACAGCGAGCCCGCCACCGTTTGTGTCTGCCTCCCAACTGTAAAAAGAAAGAAAAAACCGCCAAAAAAGATATTTCATAGGAATAGCCGAAGGTGGGGCTCGAACCCACGACCTTGAGGTTTTCTGAACAACTTGCGCTGTCATAAGAGCCACACGCTCTACCGATTGAGCTACCCCGGCAAGGGGCTTTGTCATTGGTTTGATGGAGGCATTATCGACAAAATAGTATATAAAGCTAAAAAAACTGCAGGCCCAAGTCACCCGCAGCCCTACCTGATCGTGCGCGGCGCACAGCAACGAGAACGAAAAGTGTGGCTCAGGCTCTTCCTCCCCCATCCAAAGAAACCCCCCATTATTTGACGTGGTGTTTTGTTTCAAATCATTTCATGTAGACGTATTACTATCGCCTCCGTTACTGAGTATTGCTAATTTCTGGGGCACCCATGCGCTCTGCTTTACATCAAAGTAATGTTTTTCATAATACACATCAGACAATGCCTGATTGCCATACTCTTTCGCCAAAATATCTGCATATGCATACGGTACAAGTGCTGAAGTGTTTTCAAAGACTGTGTCTCGTAGAGGGAAAATGTCGTCGAAAGTGTAGGAGTGGCCGTCTTTGACCATCATCATATCTTTGCTGTCGTCGCTTTCACTGTCGTTGTTGCTGTCGTTGTCGCTGTCACTGGCAGTCGCTGCGGTTCTGTTTCTTCGAAGAGTGGTAATATCAATAAAAATCCCGGTATTGGTGTCGATCCAGCGAGCATCAATTTTGTTCTCTTTGTCGTAACCACTCTCCTTGCAATGTGGGTTGATTTCGAGAAGATAGTGGTGAATCTCTTGGTAAGCTGTACCTTTCCAGCGGTACATGGTCATGTTGTGGTAGGCGGCTAAGAAGCGCATCGAGTTCTCTGAGACCATGACATCGATATCAGAGTCCCAAGGGAGCACCAATCGATTCCAGTACCAGCCAAGAAGCGTGCCATGCATCAACCACGTTTCGATGCCAATATCACTCATCGTTGACAGATATGCCTGGATCAAGGCTGTGAGGTGCAGATGTTTGGCATCGTATTTCAGCTGCTGGTCTGCAAAACGGCCGTCGTAGTGCATGTGGAAGCTACTTTCGTGGAAGTATTTGTTTGGGTGCTTCGAGTCTTGTTTGACACGAGGTCTGTCCAGTCGTGTTCGCACGCTTGCGAAGTCAGCATCCCTTTTAGCGATGAATGGTGATGCTGTCGAGATTTGGAGAGACAATAATGAGCACAATATCAGCTGGAAGGGCAAGTGCATCGTGCGTCCCGTTGTCGCCGAACAAAATGTTTCTCGTTCCAGATCCAGAATGGTATGGTATGGTAGGGAGCGCTAGAAAGGCCCAATTCCCAGTAATGGCCCACAGGAACACACGAGACTCCGCAAATGCAATCAAAAAACTCTGAGAAACGCCTGGTAAGGTAGTAGGGACTGTACAGAATTTATATGTCCTGGAGCCGGTGGTCGAAGGTCTGGTAGGGGAGGTAGGAGTTAGGGAGATACGAGAAGCTTGGCCGCGTAAGCTTCTTTTCTGTTGCACAAGCCATCCCCCATGAATGAACCAACCTAAAGCTTCGCGCGGTCGGTCGCGTCATGTATAGCCTACGTACTCTACGCCGTCGACGGCAGTGAGGTCCCGGTGCGAATCATGCTACAAGGTTGAATGATGCATTCCTGAGACCTCACACAAGTATCTAGAGGAAATCTCTGGCCATGGTCTAGACCGCACTGATTGTGCGACACTGCCGGGGCTTCAGGCGCGAGACATCGATCTGTCACCTATTATTTGATGGCGTCTACAATGGCTGTCCGTTCATGCAGGAGGAAGAGGTCGCGGGGAATGTGTCATGAAGGAGGAGGAGACTGCTGAGCAACACCAGCGCACTCCTCTCTTGCTTGCTACCTACACTGCAATCACCTAGCATTCATCTCATGTTCCTCCTTATCAGTATGCTCCCAACGCAGCTCTTTCTCTGGCTTTCTGGTATCTAGGTATATTCAACTCCAGACATCGAATGCACTTGGTACACTCCATCTATTGGCAACCTCACCACCCGTCCGCTCCTCCGTATCGGACGTCTCATCTTCCTCTTGGACTATTCTGTTGACCGGTATGGTATGCTAATCTTCAGCTTCAGCTTCAGCTTGGTTACTTGCCGGCCAAGCGTTGCGCGAGCTCTGTTGGCTACGGGTGCACATGTTAGATCGGACTGCCGCGGCGCAGGCTCGTCGATAGATGGCGGCATGGAGCCAGTTGGAGTCTGTCTGGTTGCCTGGTCCTTATCAGTGAATCCATACCTACCTACCTTAAGGTACATACGATGGTGCTATGGGGCTCGTCATCCCGCGGGATGGCTAGATGGTCACCGTGAGATGCATCTCGTCGTCTTCGAGCCACAATGCTGAAGTGGCATCAAGGCTACTACTTCCTTCGCTGGTGTAGGAGGAGAAGGGTCACCTAACGATGTGTTCAGCCAGCTGGTATGCTCCGGGACAAGGGTAAACAGATCGACAACGACAACCAACAATAGTCGAGACGGCAACCAACAACCATCATCATGCCTCGTACGAAAATTGGCACACATGTTCTTATGCCTGATAGGGCAGGCATAAGCGGCTTATCTAGGATAGGGTCAGGTAGGGGAGGATAGGATAGGACGGGGAACGGGATAGGATAGGCCATGTGCACAGGTTGCCCAGGCTTTGGGAGCCACGCGGGGCAGATATACCCACATGAGTACCTCTTACATGTACCTTGGATTCCCATCGATCAGCTCTCGACTCTAGACGGGCCCGTAGGTTGTTCTTCAGGTATTTAATACCTTGCCGCGCGCCCTGTCAAACAACAGCAAAGCAATTCTGGACAGCCGGGCTATTGTCGGCGATTTTTGCAATGCTCCCTCCATTCGACTACTTCGAGCATCGTGCGGCATGGTAAGTCTCAAGTCTCACATTGTTCATCGCACTTTAGTGCCCGCCCATCCCGCGTTCGCGTCAACTCGACGCGCTATCATGAAGCCAAAAAAAATAATTGGCAGCTGACTGAAAGCTGATTTCGTGGTATAGCAGACGAAAGCAGGACGAACGAGCGACACGAATCGCGACTCTACCGAAGCCGTACCTCCTTCCCATTAGTCCTGACGAACGAACTATCCTCACCGCACCCATCGATCAGCTGGTGAAAGATGTGCAGAGTAAAACCACTGACGCGGTCGATGTGCTGCGGGCATATGGGAAAGCGGCCGTGAAGGCGCAGGAGAAGACCAACTCTGTGACCGAAGTGATGATCACAGCTGCAGAAGGATGGATTGAGAATGGAGAGATCAATCTTGATGGCCCTCTTGCTGGGATACCGGTCAGTTTGAAGGACAGCATCGTCGTGGGTGGCTTCGATGCCACTGTAGGTTACTCGTGCAAGGCCGGCAAACCGCACACTGTAGATGGAGCTATTGTGCGAATGCTGAAGGATGCCGGAGCTGTGCCTTTCGTCAAGACGGCCTTACCTGTCACACTGTTGAGCTTCGAGAGCTTCAATGATGTTTGGGGACGATGTCTCAATCCGCACAACCCCAAATACTCCCCAGGTGGCAGTACAGGCGGTGAAGGCGCTATACTTGCTTTTGGTGGCAGCAGAATAGGCATTGGATCCGATGTCGCTGGTTCTGTTCGTGCTCCCGCGCACTTCTCCGGTTGCTACTCACTTCGATGCAGTACTGGTCGCTGGCCCAAGTATGGCGTGGACACTAGTATGCCTGGTCAAGAAGGAATTCCTTCAGTGTTTTCGCCCATGGCTCGCACACTTCCGGACCTTGCATACTTTACACGCTCTTTTGTCCAAATGAAGCCCTGGAACTACGATCAATCGGTGCACCCACTCGCCTGGAGATCTGAGGTTGAGGAGGAAGTCGCCAGCAAAAAGCTCAAGATTGGCGTGATGCGCTCTGACCTGGTCGTCGATCCCGCTCCTGCTTGCGTTCGTGCACTTGACATTGCGGTGGCGGCTCTGCAAGCCCAAGGTCACGAAGTCTTCAATGTCTCCCCACCGAACCCCTACGAGGCCATGGTCATTGCGAGCAACCTCCTCAACGCAGATGGTACCAAAACTTTTCGATCCTTCTTCCGCACTGGCGAGTCTGATGATGCCGGTGCTCGCGAATTCGGCCGATATATGCGTCTCCCTCGATTTCTCAAGTGGTTCTGGTATGCTTACGTCAAATACATCAAACGCGACGAGATCTGGGCCGGATTGTTGGAGCACTGGCATGAGAAGAGCGCATACGAGAATTGGCAATGGGTGGCCAAGCGAGAGGCATACAAGGCGAAGTTTCACACGTGGTGGAACTCTTTTGGCACATTCGGCGACGGTATGGACTTCCTCCTCACACCACCCAATGCAACACCCGCTGTTCCACATAACGGCATGAAAGACGCCAACGCCTCTTGCGGCTACACCTTCCTGTTCAATCTGCTCGATTACACGTGCGGTATCGTGCCGGTCACGCACGTAGACCCGGCCAAGGACGGTCTGTCGCCGGATTTCCAGATGCGCAAATTGAACGGTGTGGCCAGAGGAGCATACAAGCACTACGATGCCACCGCGATGGCTGGTCTGCCCGTAGCTATCCAGCTTGTAGGCAGGAGGCTCGAAGAAGAGAAGGTGCTTGCGGGGATGAAGCGATTGGAGGATGCGCTGGATGCACGAGGTGAGAAGTACGAGCTGATGTATGGTTACGACCAGTAGTTGGTTCCCATGTCAACCTTCTTGTCATTGGTGGTTCTAGCCCACCGAGCACCTGCACGACCAGCCGGCATAGTGTAGATGTTCGAACAATGCAGCAAGTTCACCACCAATGTCGTCGATATACACTCCGACTGCCCGCCAAAGATGACTCTGCGATGACTCTGCGCTCTGTGTTGTGATCTCAAGCTCCAGCCCGTCGTGTGTCGAGAGGACGGTAAGGTTAGTCACCAAGGAGTCTAAGTATTACCGGTCCACCAATTTCCGCAGCAGCCGAATTCAACCGGCTCCACATGAGGGTCGAATTCATCCGTCCACAGATGTGCAATGTTGCGCATGCACCAGCTTATGATTTAGCCAATCTTGCAAGCCTCCCAGTAAGAGGATCACGGGCATCACGGGCCCCCCGACCCAGTCAAGCAGTACAGATGTACTTCTCCGCATCTTCACCACGCGGAGTCTAAGCGGAGACGTATCAGAAGCCTCGTGACGCTGTCCCGCCAACCAGGGATCCTGTTCTCCACGTTCTACCACTGCATGCGTGCATGGAGCAGCCAGGCTCGCCCCGAGTAATAATGATATAGAATCGTTCCTTGCAGACGAAGCATGAACCCTGAGAGCTTATAATAATAATAAGAAGGAATAAGACCTCCGCCAATGCCCAGCCCCAACTCCTCCTTCGCTCTGCCTTCCCTTCCCTTCTCTTCCCTTCGCGCCGCATAGCAGTGATAGCACCATGTTCGTCGCCTCCGGGACTGCAGTTCTCGCTGCAGCGGCATTGGTCTCCGCCCAGGCCGGCTATGGTAGTGCTTCTGCTTCTCCGTTTGCGCCCTTCTCCGGCGACCCTTTCCAGAAATACGAGTTGAGCGCAAATGGCATCAGTGCGACTTTTATTCCGTACGGAGCACGACTGACCAGTCTCGTGGTCAACGACAAGAATGGCAACCCTCAGGACGTGGCGGTCGGCTACGACGAGGGAGCTCGGTACCTGGAAGACACCGAGACGAACCACACCTTCTTTGGCGCCGTCGTGGGTCGATATGCCAACCGGATCAAGAATGGCACTTTCGCCATTGATGGAGTGCAGTCTGACATTCCCAAGAATGAGCACAATGGCACCAATACGCTGCACGGAGGTCTCGTTGGCTATGATCAACAGAACTGGACCGTCGCTGCTCTGTCCAAGAGTAGCATTACCTTCACCTTCTACGACGAGGCTCAGCAAGGTTTCCCCGGCGATGTGCTCAATGTGGGCACCTTCACTCTCGAGGACGACCAGACGTTCACGTCACGTCTTGTTTCAATCCCCTTCAACGATGCCACTCCCATCATGCTCTCGCACCACATCTACTGGTCTCTGGGCGCCTACGTCAATGAAGATGCTCTCACCATCTTGAACGATACGCTCTATCTCCCTTACGCGAAGCGTTACATCCAAACCGACGGCATCCTCATCCCAAATGGCAGCATTGCTGTGACAAAGGGCACCGGATTGGATTTTACTCAGCCAGACACCACAATTGGCAGCAACATCCCCAACACCGCCGGCTTCTGTGGTACGGGCTGCACGGGCATTGACAACGCCTTCATCACCGATCGCGCACCCTCGACTGGAGTGCAAGACAAAGGTCTGGAAGTGCTCCGGATGTGGTCTCCTCACACGGGCATTCAGCTGTCTGTAGAGACGGATCAGAATGGTATTCAGATTTATACTTGCGTGGGACAGAATGGGAGTATCAAGTTGAAGAAGAGCCAACAGCATATTGCTGGTCAGGATGCGGCGCTGGAGAAGTATGGCTGTATCGTGATTGAGACACAAGATGTAAGATTTCCTTTTTCTTTTCCTTTTTCTTTTTTTTTAATCCAGCCTTTGTTTCATTCATGCAGAATGTGTGCGTTTTTTTGCTAACCTCAAAAACCTATCTACCCAACGCCACCCAAACAGTGGATCGACGGAATCAACCATCCTGAATGGGGACGAGAAGAATATCAAATCGCATCTGCGACGACGCCACCGATTGTCAATTTTGCCAAGTTCAAATTCAGTGTTGTGAATCCATAGTACGTAAGCCAAAACGCGCGGGAGAGAAGGGAGAGAGAAGAAAAACAAACACCGAAACAAAAACCAAAAAAGACAGCCTCTCTACCCTGTAAAGTGTAAACGATCGCACGAAAAAAGTTAACGGAAAACTTGTGTTACAGTGCAAGTGCCAAGGGCGAGTTGTAATACATGTATCAAGAGCAAGAGGTACAGGTAGTTTTACCTTAATACAACCCAACCCATCATTGTATTATCCAAAGTTTGATGTGTGAACATCTATGTCTTCACGCCATCATCACACCAACTCAAACACCGCCGCCGCCCTCCTCGTCCCTCCTACCTCCTCCTTTCTGAAATCTTACAACTTCCAACCCTCCTCCTCCAACTCCCCATCTTCCTCCCAACTCCCCAGTAATAACCATAAGAAGAATCATCCTCGACCAAAAAATCCGCTCCGGCAGCAATTGCCATGATACATAAAGATGCCGCGGCTTGAATGTACAGGGGAGTTTGAGACAAAGGAATTTGGGCAAGAATTTTCTGTCCTTTCTGTGCCTTTTGTTGTTGTTGTTGTTGTTGTTTCTCCTTCTCCTGATGATGATGATGATGATCAGGCATCATCACATCGATATCAAAATCATGAATAGAAGCATGCAAAGATTGGATTCTGTTGCTACTACTGTTGCTTTTGCTCTCGGGTGGTGAGAAACGATGATGATGATGAGGAGGAGGAGGATGAAAAAAGTCATCTTGATGCACAATATACGACGGAACATTGTGGATGCGTAAAATGTCACTTCTTCTTCTTCCTCCTCTTATTGTTGTTGCCACATGGTCAGGAGTAGTCGCTGCTGCAGGGTATTTTGGTGGTGGGACTTTTGGAACGGGTTTACGGCGGATGCTTGACTTTGGTTGTTGTGGTTGTTCTTGTCGTCTTCGTCGCTGAGGAGGCGATGAGATGGAATTGTTGGACATGATGGGTAGCAGTAGAATAGAGTTTGAGGCGCCGGGAGTAGAAGTTGGAAGTGTTTGTTGTTGGGAGTGATGGCAGCAGCCTGGAGGAGGATTTCTCATGGGTATGGAACGGGCTTTTTTCTTTGGCGGCAGCTGGATTGGTCTCGGGGCTTCTTCTTCTGCTTTTGCTTCTTCTCCTCCTCCAAGACGCATCTCGCGTAACGTGTTGTCCCTGCTCAAGCGATGGAGACCTCGTGGGACGATAAACTTGATGGTCTTTTTGAAGACGCAGCTTGCTTTGCTGAGCAGTGAGCGGTTGAGGGGTTGCTGTTGACGCTCCAGGTCCGTCGGTGCTGACGAGTTGATACAAGGTAGAGCCAGCGTTTCTTCTCCGATAAGTTCAAATCCTTCTCCTGAACCGAAGACGTCTTCTCTAGTGGGCTCGAGAGGCTTCTTTTTAGAAGGTGAATAGAGGAAGAGAGACAGATGCTTGCCATTACGGATCTCTGAGCGCTCGACCACTGTCTCTTCTTTTGACTTGACCAAATCTTCAAAGCCTGTTGGTAGTTCCCCGATGAGTTTGTCGATATCTTGCTTGATATCGTGGAATGGGGTAAAACTGCTGTGGATCCCGACATCGACTCGTCTTTGGGGCGTCTGAGGAACTGCATTATGCTCTCCTCCTCCTCCGAGCAATTTCAAAGGTGCTGGCCGTGAGGTCGTTGCAGACTCGGTCTGATGGCAAGCTTGCCAAGGACTAGATTCCGGTGGTGTAGGATAGATGTTCTCAGGGGAGAATGGAGTCGTCTGCTCACGAGGCCGGTCGACTGCGTCTACAATAGAGGGTGATCTTCTTCGGGGCGTCATGTACGCGGTGCGCTGTAGCCTCAGCAAATGATCGCCCGAGCTCGCCATAAGTCCTGATTTCGGTAAGTAATTGTGATGTTCTAGATAAAGTCTCACATTTGGATTGCTAGAAGTAGGCAAGTCTCGAATTGATCACAGGTTAATGCCACCTCGACACGACTCAGCAGGTGAATAGACGCGCCACATACAGAGAGCAAGTGACTTGGAGCTTCGATATCCTACAGACCGCGTGTATAGAGGGGCACGTGCCATTCACGTCCATAATGTCCAGTCCACGTGCCGCTTCACATTTCGATAGTCACAGTGTTTTCATAGCCTCCGGTTTGGCTAAAGTTGACGCTGGTTTTGACGCAAAGATCGCTCGTCCAAGACCTATAATGAAGCCAGAATGCAGGAAACATCCGAACTGGAACCACCTGGAACTCTGGTGCTATAGTCGACGCTATCGTTTCGGAGAGGCTGCTGTATTATGCTCGCTGTACTACAATACCCAGCAAAGTGTCGTTATAGAGTACATTAGTAAGACAAGATGTGAATTACCGAAAAAGCGAGCTAAAGAACCCTTTCGACTTCGGCTCAGGCTCAGATTTCCTACTCCGTCGCTCACCATCCTTGCGCTCTCTCTCGTTCCGACTACTGCGAGGACGATCACTACCATGTCGCCTGGACTCTGTGCGATCACTGTCTGTTCGATGGCGATGGTGATGCCGCCTTCGTTGAGAAGAGCTACCTGTATCTTGCGAGCCCGAAGCTGCCGCGGGTGTGTCTTCTCTCGCATCAATATTTGCATCGTCAATGATGGCGATCTCTCTGGCGGCACTGGATACCCTGCGAGTTCTCGGACGCTCATCTTCGCGCCTGCTGCTTGAATATCTGCTAGTGCGGATTGGGAGACTGTCAGTACGGGAGATAGTGTCTTTCCGGAGCCCAAATAATGTTGGCACAATGTAAGTCGACTTGCTCTCGTAGCGAGGGCGTTCAGCATACGACTCACGTCTACGACGTCTTCGTTCAGCATCATCGCGAGCCACAGCTTCGGCTTCTTCTTTAGCAATGCGACTTGCTTCTGCTGCAGCCGCCTTGCGTGCAGCTCGGCGCGCTTCATGGCGGATTCGGCGCAGCTCTTCTTCCTCGGCCAATCTTCGTTCTTCTTCATAGGCGCGAGCGGCTTCTCGCGCTTTTCGTGCCTCCCTACGACGCTGGCGCTCAATATCGTCTTCCAGACTCCGTGACTTACTGGAGCGAGAACTGCGACTACTACTGTGCTTACTGGAATGAGACTTCTCCGCGGACTTCTTCTTGTCTTCGCTTGAAGATTTCTTGGGAGATCTCTCCCAGTGATCAGCTTTGCTACGTCGACTGGTGGTTGGCGAAGGTGGAGGCTCTGCAGATGGTGAGGTCTGCTCCTTTGTCTCGTCTGCATGGCCAACCTCGGCCTCCGGCGGAGACTCACTGCTTGGCAATGGCGTCTCTACGATATTCTCGACAACAGGGGCATCCGGTGATGGCTCGGCTATAACCTCTGGTTGCGAGTTGTCCTCCCCATCATGCTTTGAAGCGGGTTCTTCAGTCTGTTCGCCGCTATCAGGGCCCTCAGGACTCTCTACGGCTGCCCCTCCGGAGCCCTGTTCATCCTGGGGTTCGTCCTTTGGAACGGCCTCAGCCGGCTCGTCGCCCGTAGCGTCAGGTGTAGCTTCGTCGTTGGAGACCTGATCCACAACCGCCTCTGCCTCTTTAGACGGTTCAGCATCTGGCGTCGTCGTAGACTCTTGGGCGGCATCTGGAGCGGGAGCCTCTTCGGGACAGTTTGTTGGCTCCGTGGCGCAAGACTCAGGCTCAGCAGCAGGAGTCTCAGGCTCAGCAGCAGGAGGCTCGGGCTCAGTAGCAGGAATCTCGGGCTCAGCAGCAGGAGGCTCGGGCTCAGCAGCAGGAGGCTCGGGCTCAGCAGCAGGAGGCTCGGGCTCAGCAGCAGGAGTCTCGGGATCAGCAGCAGGAGGCTCGGGATCAGCAGCAGGAGGCTCGGGATCAGCAGCAGGAGGCTCGGGATCAGCAGCAGGAGGCTCGGGATCAGCAGCAGGAGGCTCGGGATCCGCGGCAGGAGTCTCTGCCTCAGCGGCAGGAGTCTCGACCGTGGCCTCTTCTGGGCTCTGCTCGGTCTCGACGGAATGCGCAGCCTCCACGTTGGTGCCGTCTGGGGTCGCAATGTCTTCAACATTCGACTCCGCCACTTCCGCAGTTTCTTCATCTGGGCCAGCTTTCTCAACTTCAGCTACAGATTCGGTCTCGGGCGGATCTTGATCATGAGTCTGCGTCTCAGTCGTATCTGCTGTGGTTTGCTCTTCAGAAGTCTCCAATGGTGGAACATCGCTCGCGGTCTCATCTGGCGGTTTATCGGCGACCTCGATCTCGGAGGCTGATTGGGCTTCTGCAGACTCTTCAGGCACTGAAGCTTGATCTTGCGATTCTCCTGCCTGCGCATCTGTGGCCACCTCTTTACTCTCCTCGATCTCTGCATCAGCAGTCTTGTCAGTCGATTGCTCGCCCGACTCAACGTTGCCGTCTCCTCCACCCTCCTCTGGTGAGCTTTCCGCATCTTGCTTCACCTCTGCTTCATCTACGGGCTCGGCCTCTGCTTCGACGGTCTCCTGAGGTGCTTGTTCGCTTGGCTCAACATCAGGTTCTCCACTTTCTTCGGGTGAGCTCTCCGCATCCTGCTTTGCATCCGCCTCCTTGGTATCCTGCGAACCTGCATCGTTCGCATTCTGGGTCGGTTGCTCGCCTGGCTCTACATCGCTGTCCTCATCTTCTTCTTCTGATGAGCTATCCGCATCTTGCTTCACATCCGCTTCATTCACGTTTTCGGACTCTGCGCTAACGGTCTCCTGAGTTGCTTCCTCGCCTGGCTCAACGTCGGCATCTCCTCCACCCTCCTCTGGTGAGCTCTCCGGATCTTGCTGCACATCCGCCGCTTTGGTTTCTTGTGACTCTGCATCACTCGTGTTCTGGGTCGATTGCTCGCCTGGCTCAACATCGCTGACCTCACTGTCTCCGTCCCACGAGCTAACCGAATCTTGCTCCAAATCTGCCGGCTGATCACCTGAATCTTCAACAGCAGTAGTCACTTCCTCTTCTGCTGGATTCTCTACCTTCTCAGGAGTCTCATCTGGTATCGTCTCTGGTGCTGCTTCGGTTCCGTGGTCTTCGGAATCTTCAAGATCAACGGCATTATCCTGAGGCGTTGCCGCCTTCTCGAGACCTGGGTCTTCGGCCTTATCGGCTTCAACTTCCACGTCTGTTGCATCCTTAACATCATGGACCTCTTCAGTGACCTCGACGATGGCCACATCTACTTCAGGAGCGCTCTCGGCTGGAGGTTCTGCGTTCGTCTGTACCTCGACTTGATCGGTCTTATCATGTTCCGCTGGGGCAGCGTCGGGCTCAGTCACCTCTGGTGCTGGCTCAACCGCTTCAGTGTCTTCATGACTGGGTGATGCGATGGTATCCTCGACGGCTGGCGCATCTTCAGTGTCAGTAGGAAGAGCAGGGTCTGCTTCGTCTGCCTTCGCTTCTTCGACGGTGGCATCTTCTGTTTCCTGAGACGGCAGTGGCGGGTCTTCGGCAGAGGCAGGAGCCGCAGGAGTTGCATCACTCAGATTGATGCCCAGTCCCAGAGATTCGGCGTCCTTGGACTGAGATTTGTTGGACTTCTTTGACTTCTTGCTTGACTTACTTGACTCAGGCTCAGATTTCTTCTTGGATTTACTTTTGCTCTTTGAGGATTTCTTGTCCTTCTTCTCCGATTTCCCCTTCGGTGGTTCCAGCTTAGCGGGTGGTGCTGGGTCGCCAGCTATCTCTTCGACACCTCCTTCCGGTACAGGGTTATCTTGAGAAGGGGCTTCACTGGCGTTGACGGCCTCAACAGGTGCAGCTGAGGCGTCTTCTGAAGCTGCTTCAGGAGCAGGGCCCTCTTCGGCAGGAACGGGCTGAGGCGCATCACCCGGACCGTCCACGATGGCAACGATGTCGTCCGGATCCCCGCTGTCAACTGCGGCAACCTTTTTCTTCTTCCCCTTTGTGCCTTTCGCCGCTTTCTTCTGTCGCTTGGAAGATTTCGGCTCCGAGGTACCAGGCGCCCACTGTACACTTTTCTTCTCGCTGTCATCCTGGTCTGCGCCAGTCGCTTGAGGTTCAGTCTCACCACTTGCGTGCTTAGCGTTGTCTTGATCGACCGCCGGGGGTTCGGGTGCTTCAGGAGGAACGTCCGCTGGTACATCCCCTTCGGAACCCGGTGATGCTTCGTTGGTTTCCTCGGCTGCTTTTTCATTAGACGGCGCCTGCTCCTCTGCCGTAATGGGAGCTGATGGTTCTGGCGCTGACTCTGGCGCTGACTCTGGCGTTGGGTCATCGGCTACAGCTGGGGCATCGTCGCTTGGTGTCGAAGTCTCAGGAGGGGGCTCGTTCTCGCTTGTTGCGGCCGGACTTTGTTCAGATTCGACAGTCTCCACCTGAACAGGTTCGTCTGGACTTGATACGGCTGGCTCTCCTTCTCCTGAATGCTCTTTCGTCGGTTCGGCAGGGACATCTTCTTTGACAGAGTCTACTGTTTGCGCCGGGGCCTGATCGCCTGTCTCAATTACAGCAGGTGACTCTGCAGGCTCCGGTTCTTGCGACTCTCCTGCTGCCTGTGGCGGCGTTACGTCCGCATCAGTCTCCTGAGCGGCTTCGGCGGGAGTATCTGCTTTTGGGATAGGTAAGCAAAGTCTATTGAAGGACAACGTTGGACAGCATACCTGCAGGTTGGGCTTCGGCTGCCTGAGGCTCTCCGTCTGTTTTCTTCTCTTCGTCGACGTCTTGCTTCTCTACTTCGTCTTCTTTCTTCGCTTCGTCGTCTTGCTTCTTTCCTTCATCTTCCTTGTTCTCTTTTTCATCGTCTTCATCTTCATCATCGGTGGGCTCCGGCACCGGATATCGTACCTTGTATCTTGGTATGAAAGGCTTCGCTGCACTTTCCGGGGAGATGGTTGGCGTCTTCGGTCCACCTCGTGCTGGATGCACGCTGAGCATTGGGTCTCGCCATGTTGCTATCGAGATCTCCTTGTAGCCATATCTCTCCTTCACGGCATCCCACGACATCTTGCCGTAGATCAAGTCGAATGATGTCTCTCGCTCTCACATTCACGAGGACAATTTAGCAGGACGGGTTAGGTATCTGTGGTGATCTTGTGACATGACAATCTCGGGTGAATATGAGCTTCTCGCTGTGCTCGCGACTGCGTGGTATATTAAGACACTGTGAGCGCGAAGAGACGCGGCTTACTGAGGACTCTGCAACACAGTGTAGAGGTAGGTAGATGATGTAGAACGATGCCGTTTGGAGCATTCCGTGTACGCTCGCGGGCGTCTCTCACCTCTGATGTACTCTCTGACCTCGATGAGTCGATGGCAGGCAGATAGCCGTCGCTGCACGATACGTAGATGGAAATTGAAGCGTGAACCACTTGAGCACGCAGATATGAGCCGACTGGAACCACGCTTCACAGCAGGGAGACGGCGCCTGTCCGCTGGGTAGCTGCTGACGAGACAGCATGGCAGCTAGAACTGCAAGCGCAGACCAGAACAGCATAGAAGCAGCGGGACCAAAGAAATGAGTTGGGTCCTCGTGCATCGGACGAGTGTAGCAGATTACCCGATTCGTGCTTCTCGTACTCCGCGAAGCCCGCGAGGCCATCGGGAAAAAGCCCTTTATTTCTCTGATGCTCACACTGTCACAAGTAGTGACATGCGCTGCACAGAACCGTTCGGGGGGTGTGGGGGCGCTGTCCAATGGCTGATGTATCGCATCTTGCGGCCCGAGTAGAAGGCCTGCGGTGGTCGGCGGCGAACGACCAATGGCGCCACGACTAGGCTTGGAGGAGGCCGAATCGTTTGGGGGTGGGCGGGGGGTGGAAGCAGCAGTGAGGTGAGGGCGGAACTACGTGGCACGCTGTCGAGAGTCGAGAGTAATAAGGTACCGACCAGGGCGGGCCCGCTGGCGATGGCGATGGCCGCTCTCAGTGGAGCCCCGACGAGAAGGGTCAGGCTAGATGGATATAGTTAGTAGTAGTGGTGGTGAGGTAGTGTATACTGTATATCGTATATTGTAATTTGTGTATTGCCATTTGCGGGTGTATTGTGTATAATAATGTGCTACGGAGGTAGTCTGTAGCATCTGCGTCTGCGTCTGCGGGTGCGTGTGGCTGTCTGCGTCTGTGTCTATCGGGCAATCTTCGGCACTCCACAACGGCCATGACAGCTCCAGACATGCGCCAAGACTTGTGAATTGCCGGTGCGTCCACGTCACGCGTCCCGTCCCTTCGTCGCACGTGTAGCACCTGTAAGTGGTCTCATGTGGAAGGACAACAAAGGACAACCAACATGTGCATCCTGCATCGACACCCATCGCCTACGAACGCCGCTCTGCCCTGCCCATCGCCCATCGCCCAACGCCCAACGTCTATACCTTACTTCTATACTCTACTTCTATTCTAGTTCTGCTCTACGCGAGCCGCGCTTCATTCGCCGACTGCCATCCCGACTCGAACACCTCATTCACATGCCACGCGCCGCCAGCGCAGCCGAGAACGTCCTCGCAAACCCGTCGACATGCTCCTCGTCCAGCATCGTGTAGTGCTCGCCGCCGACCTCATGGAAGCGGACATCAGACGCTACCTCTTGCCAGCGGCAGAGGTGGTTGTCGAGCCACTCTCGCTTGCTCTGTGCCACAATGGCCAGTGGCTGGCAGTAGAAGACGTCCATCGTTGATACTGCACCAACGGGCTCGTAATCCCGAGCCATCGACTGCATGGAATGCGCCAGGTCTGCCCACTGGGCAAAGTCTTCCGATGTGAGCTCGAGTTCTTGGAGGCGGTCTGGCGGCGCGGCGTCGAATACGGCTTGGATAATCGACGCTCGTCGCTTGGAGCCTGTGCCTTGCGAATCGTCTTTGGCTTCAGGGTCATGGAGTAGTCCGAGGAAATGACTGAGATGGAGAGCACACGATTTCCAATCCAGCTGCTGCATGCGGAATTTGATATGTGGCGGCAGATTGAAGCTCGCCAGAAACTCGACTCGTTCTCCCTGGCCTTCGCCCTGGAGCATCTTTGCCGTCTCAAAAGCGAGCATTGCACCGTAACTATATCCCGCGAGTGCATACGGTCCGCGAGGCTGTTGTTTCTTAATTGCTCGATAGTATGTTTGGACTGCTTCATCGACGCTCTCGAAGAAGCTCTCGCCCAAGTTGAAGCCTCTCGCTCGCAAGCCGTACACAGACCGATCATGAATGCGTCTGGCAAGCTGTATGAACACAAGGATTTCCCCTACGCCTGGATGAAACAGCCAGAGTGGTGTCTTGGAACCCTGGGCACGCAGCTCTACCACAGGATCGTAAGTGACAGCCGCGCTTCCCTCATCGCCGCTGTCCGGCTCCGTGACGCTGTCTCGTCGTCTCCGTGGCTGCAGTTCCACGCCCAATTTCTCGATTGTGGAACATTGCAGGAGCTTGACTAGCGGTAAATCCAGTTGCAAGCCAAGCTCGATCTTACGCCTCAGCCGGATGAGGTCGATTGAGGTGATTCCTAGGCTGTACCAAGGAGTGCGCACGCCAATTGAGCTCGCGATGGTTTCCCCAAAGGTCTCGCGAAAGATGCCGAGCAACTGAGCTTCACATTCGTTCCTGGGCTCGATCTCAGCATGATCAGCATCACTCGCGTTGGCAAGTACATGACTCTTCAATTTGCCTTGCTGAAGCGCCTGTCGTAGCTTTGCTCGGGGAAGTTTACCCAGCGTAGATCTTTGGATCTCACTCTTGTCCACAGGAACCACATATGGACTGATGCCATGACTACGCAGGGTCGTTGTCACGATTGCTTCGTGAGTAGCGCGTCTTTGTCGTATGTCATCGTTGGCATAGGTAGTTGCATAAACAACAGCCAACTTCTCGTCATCGGTAGGACTTGGCCGGAATCCAAAGCAAGCATAGAGGTCGTTCACTGCGCCAGGCAAAGACAGAGCGCTGAGCTGGCTCTCCAAGTCAGATGCGACGATTGTGACTCCGTTGATGCGAATGTGGTCTTTGATGCGGCCGATGAGGTGCACGTTGCCAGAGTCATCTACAAATGCTTGATCACCGGTGTCAAACCAGCCATCTGAAGTGAAGGCACTCGCTGTGGCCTTGTGGTCGTTATAGTACCTGGAAAACACCTGGGGCCCTCTGATTTGCAAAGTACCACGGTCGTCCTCGTCCTGTGAAGACATTAGCTCCGGCGATACTGAACGCCTGTGCAGACTCCACGCGGGACTCTAAGCTGTCGTAGGATCCAAGACTCACCTCGCTACCAGCTACACGAACCTCGAAGCCACCAACAGGTTCGCCCAACGAAGCGAATTTCATGCCACTGTGTACATCCCGAGCGGGGCACTCGAGGTTATACGTGCATCCAGCACAAGTTTCCGTCATGCCAAATGCCGGCTGGAGCACACTCGAGGGAGCATGAAGCCGACGCAACGCCTGGTCCAGCTCGACACAAAGCTGCACCGGATTAGCTTCTCCTCCAGAAACGAGCTGCGTCAGGCTCGTCAAGTTGATATCATTCAAGCTGAGCTCATCCGCATCCTCGATTGACTTCAGCAAGCCCGCCAGAAGAAAGTTTGGCGCCACCGTTCTTGCGACTCTGTGCTTTGTGATCATCCTCAGCAACAACAACGGATCGGCTACGACGTCGGCAGGCTGAATGTGAATTTGATCAAGTCCTCGGTACATGGCGAGAAGGTGCGTCTCGGTCAACGCCGCAACGTGGTCCATCCCAATCCAGTTCAGGAGTGAAGTTCCTGTAGTCAGACAAGTGACACTGTCCTTGCCAGCCAGGGAGGCCAAGATTTGTCGATGCGAGAGCATGACAGCTTTGGCATTGCCGGTGCTTCCAGACGTGAGCATCAATGCTGTCAAGTCGTCAGGCTTGGCAGCTGTGCGTTGTTGTTGCAAAAGATCAATCGTGCCGACCGAAGATTCCGCTGCTTCCAGGTGCTCTACTGCCAGCAGAGACATGTCCGAGTACCCAGTGAAGTTGGGGAAATCAGTCTGTCGGAGTAGGCACATCGGATCGTCGAAGAGCTGGTAGAGGTGTGCGAGATGCAGTCGACGCTGATCGCTATCGATGGGTAGTGGTGATGACAATGCTGGGACACAACCCGCCATCAACACGGACCAGAACCAGACCACATTGTCCAAATGGTCCCTCAAGTGCAACAAAATGACGCCGCCCGTCTTGAAGCCGTGCTGTTGCTGCAGTGCGCAAGCCCTCCTGGTGCTCAGAGTTTCCAGCTCGGCATATGAGAGATTGCGTGGATGATCCGTGTCGTGAAGGGGATACGACACAATTCCCGTCGAGTCATCATTGCGGACAACCTGATCGAGCAGGTCGAACAGATTCTGGACTTCTCCCTCAGCAGGCATGATGTATGTGGGTGGGTAAGGGATTTTGAAGAACGTTGAGTATAAGTTTCATTCAATGAGTGCATATGCCACCAGGGACGAGGGGTCTGTGTGGCAGTGACGGAAGTGAGGAATTAAATACTGACAATACATTTCTTACCCATAGCAAAAGCTCCCCGGTAACATACATATCCCCGTGCCGCCTTCGAGCCGCCCTACTCAATGGGAGGTGGATTCCGAGGAGTAGGTAGTAGCATGGCATCCACATGTGTGCAGAGGCCGAGAGGCCGGTTCTTTGTCCTTGATAGCAAGCGAGAATCAGCCACGTTCGTGTAAGTAGTCTTTGAGCAGACTCATTTTGTGGAAATAACGTGCTCGTTTTTTCATTGTTTTGCCACGTTGGCGTATCATCACCATCATCCTGTTCAGTGGGTTGAGTGAGTAAGTGGATGAGTGAATGAGTGAATGAGCGTGCAACAGGGTTCTCTCGCGTCATAACCTGACTGCGGCCTCAATAGGAGGCACGAAGAAATTTCGCCAAGTGAGCGACCACTTTTTCCCGCAAAATATTGATCTTGTCTGTCCACTGTGCCTGCCTTGTGGTCCCCGAATCCTAGTAGCTACATCCTGAAGGTTCCAGTTGCAGTTCACTTCCATTTCTCCGAAGTGATTTCTCATTGTCGTCACCTTGGGCTCATTTCTCAGCAGCGGGTGCCTACTACCTTCAGGTTAGTACCTGATCTTGCCTTAGGGAGTCAACATCTGAGCCCCCTGCGCCCCCTTTTGCAACTTGCGATATCGATATTCCGGCCTCTTCCGCAATACGGCATTTGCATTCTCTCTCTCCCTCCCTCTCTGTCTCTCAACATGCCCTTTTCAAAGGCCTTGGCCAACTTGGAATTTCTTGCGCAAAATGCAAACCAAAACAGCTTCAAGAACGAACACGAGCGTCGAAAGGCAGTTCAACTGGTCCAGAAACTTCTCGCCAACATTGAAACCCCCTGGGAGACGGCGTCCAGGTTGTTGTTGATCGATCCCTTCGCCATCGCAGCGTTGAGGACACTGGTGAATCTGCAACTGTTCTCCAAATGGATTCCAGCAGACAGTCACAAGAGCTTAGCTGAGCTTGCACAATTGACTAGCTGTGACTCCCGACTACTTTGTGAGTGCTCTTCGGCCATTTGATTGGACTCGCCTCATTCCAGCTGCTGACACAATGTTCTAGATCGTCTTCTCCTCACCATGGTGCCTCACCACTGGCTCCATTACTCTGCACAAGACCAGACGTTCTCGCTCAGCACTTTTACAAAGGCGCTTTGCGACCCATCTCTCGCGGCCACGTTGACTTTTCATGCCCACGTCGTCTCACCAGCTGCCCGAGAATTTCCAAACTTCCTCGCTGCAACACACTACGCGAACCCGATGGAGCCACAGCTCGCACTGTGGCGATATACTGCTGGATCGGAGCTGGTACCGTGGTTTCAAAAGAACTCGGAAGCCTTCATCAGCTTACACCATGTGATGCGACTGCGAGGTAACCACAGCGAAAAGTGGACCGAGTTCTATCCCTGGGAGCGGGAAATCGTGAACCGCCTCGAACCAGGTGGAAGGGTCGCTTTCGTCGACATCGGAGGTGGTGTGGGACAAGACTCGGAAGCACTGAGGCTCAAAGCCCCTGAAAGCTTCCCAGCAGGATCCATTATCCTTCAAGATCTGAACGAAGTCATGGATCGCGCAGAAGCAGCGGGCGAGTCCATTGTGAGAGCCAGTCACGATTTCTTCCAACCGCAGCCCGTCATCGGTGCAGCCGTGTATTTCATGCATCTCGTACTGCACGACTGGCCTGACGACAAAGCCGGCCAAATTCTCGACAACCTCAGACCGGCCATGAAGCGCGGATACAGTCGTCTTCTGATCAATGACATCGTCTTGACAGCATCCATGGACGCCATGGTTTCGGCTTCGGACCTCCATATGACCATGAATGGCGCGCAAGAGAGAACCAGAGAAGAGTGGGAGTCGCTGCTCGAGAAATCGGGCTTCACCGTTCGCAACTTCTACTTCTCGCCACTTTCTGAACAGGCGTTGATTGAAGCAGAGCTTACCGAAGAACCTGTCGCTCCGCCGTCCAGGCTATGACCGGATAGATGTTCACTATCCCGGGGAACAAAAGGGTCCGAGGAAAACGTAGGAGTTTTTCCAAGTAAGGGGGAGGGGATCTGGATTGATGATACCTTGTACCACTATCGAAAGTTGCTGTTTTACACCGTGATACAATTAGTTCCTGCGGCTAGCTTATCATTTATGTTTGTTAATGACCACAAAATTGACTTGATATCGCACTTGGCTGTTCGAGCTCGCCCTTATCATACCAGAGGGGCTTCTTTTCAGGTTCTTGTTATAGCCATAAGGTACATACTTCTTTCCCGAGGTAATCTACATATACTATCCTTGTTGCGCCAACGCCTCCGTAACAAAACCATCCGCCTCATGTGCTCCATTGCATGTCCACGCCAGAATCTGTCTGGTTTTCACAGGAATTGCGTGTTTCTAAAACAAAGAAAATAGTCACGGACTCCTAGTTGTCCTGAGCGGCCTCGGCTGCAGCAAGTTTCAACTGCGCAGAAGCACTCTGGAACAGCAGACCAAGTCTGTCGCCACCAATGACATACAGTTCCGCAACCATGAGGTGTGCACTGACGAAGACAACACTAATCTGAAGGCCGACCATCTTGACGTAGAGCTTGATGAGTCTCCATCGAGAAGCGTTGTCGAACGATCTCCAGGCCTGAACAAAGATCGAACGAGCGCTGCCCTTAGCAGTGATGTCGAGGTTGCCAACAATGGCCTGGCGATCGAATGGGACGATCGTGTCCTGATCCTCTGGCAAGAGGAGTGCCTCAATACGGGTGAGTGTAACAGTGGCTGGTAGTAGAATTGCGAATGCAACAAAGAGTCCAGTAGCCGGCACAGCGAGGTACTTCAAGCCCATCGAGATCAGCTTGCTGCAATCGTGCTTGGCAGCATCCGCAACATGACCATGGTCGAGTTCAGGCAAACCAAGAGCGAAGGCGACGACGATAGGCAGGATCAAGGTCGCTTGCTGTGCCACTGCAAAGACAAATGATGGGAGCAGGATGGCTCGGCATTGATCTCGTGCAACAAATCGACGGTGGAAGGGCTGATCGGATGAGTAGGCAATCATGGAATGAGTCCAGACCATGTGAAGCCTGGCAAGGCCAACAGATGCCACGACGTACATGGCGGCGTTACCGAAGAGACCGAATCCGAGGAGTGCAGAAAGGAAGTTGGTGATCAAAGAATGCATGAAGTGGTAGACAATGCTGACGCCGGCGCCTCTCCATCGCGCGCGAAAGCCCCCAATACGGGTCAAGTGCCTCAATGTAGTGCGAATCTTGCTGGTGATGGGCTGGTTGTTGATCAGAGTGACCTCGATGTCAGCTTCAGCCTCCGAAGGCATCAGCGGCTCTTTCTCGGCTGGTGCATCTGGCTGGTCGGCGTAGGCGGGCGGCTTGCTCTCGATGATGGCAGTGGTGGTGCGGGACTCGATCATGGCCAGAGTGGTCATGACCTCTCCAACGGTGTACTTGATCTGCGACTGGTCAGCGTGTGCGCCTCTCCTCAGGACATTGTGGCTGCTGCCTTGCGCCGCTCAGTGTCCTTGTGTATTACGTACCGATGCCACCAGGAGAAGCGTCAAGAAGGCGGTAACGACGACGGGCAACATCTCCCATGGCTGCACCTCCATCTCTGGCGCCGAGTGCTGGTACAGGTGCGCGTCTTGCTGCAACTTCGCCATCATCTCTGGACTGGGTCCGCGCAGGTGCTCTTGCGCGGCCTCATAGCCGCGCTTGGCCAGGTGGCCGAAGATCTGTCCGTGGATGCCGGACATGGTGACTGTGATGGTGGTGGAGATGGGGTGATGGAGGAGGAGGAGTGTCAGATGGGAGAGGTTGGTTCGAAAGAGAAGGAGAAGTGAAGAACAGTGAGTGCAGTGAGGTGGGTGTGGTAGACAAGGGAGTCGCCTGGTGCTGCGCCACAGCAAACAGGTGCATGACGAAGCAGCCGGCAACCGTCAGCCGCCCGTGGCCCAGTCACTCGGTGATCGGTGGTCGGTGATCGGTGGCCGGTCAGCTATGGCACTACCTCCTACACCCTAGGTAGTTCTACCGCAGTCTACCTACTTTTACCCGATAATTGACTACCTACATAATAGTGCCATGAAATTGACCCCCCAATTGCAGCCAAAATACCCAGCGTTCACGGTCTACAAATGCGAAGAGTTCTATGGAAAAAATTGACAAGCCAGCGCTGAGAGCCAGAAAAGCTGCAAGACTGGTCCATATGCTGTTCGGCTTGTTGAATACCTTAATGTCGTGAATGACGAATATCTCTGAAATCGATATCCTTTCCGTCGTGAATGTCGTCTTCTGTCGTGTCTCGTCTCTACCTAAACTTAGTCAAGAGTGTTGATATCAGTTTCGGCACCGTACTCCAGCACGACCCATTGACAGAATTTCTCGAATTCATCCTGCCATTCCTTTAACCTCTTCGCACGCAGATTCTTTCCGAAGCTGCCATCTTTAATCTCCTGCTGCCACTGCTTCGCTGGACACTCTTCGTAATTAGCCCATCGCACACTATTCTCTGCCAGACTGCCCAGTCCAGCAAGCCCAAGGTTCTCCCAGCCTTGCAATGCCTGCCAGAAGTCGTGTGTCATGCCGTTCGTGCCGTGTCCCAGAATTGCAGGATCGTCATTCGCGAGGGCGCATGGCACGCCTCGAGCCAGGAGACTGGGCAGATAGTGTGACATGATACCACCGGTAAAGCGAAGCACCTCATTGCTGACTGGACAACTCTCAATCAGAATCTTTTTCTCCTTGATCATGTCGACCAGGAGTGGATGCTTAGGAAGTGAAATCGCATGCCCGATCCGTCTCGTGCCAAGAAGGACAGCATCAAACAGATTCTCGTCAACTTCGTCACCATCGCCGAGCGTTTCTCCGGCATGGAAGAAGAATGGGATATCAATGCCCTCCTCGGCGCAGCGTTTCTTGAACCAGAAAAGCTCAGGCAGGAGATCTTGCAGCGGGCGTCCATTGTCTTCCTGGCCCACCAGATCGTAGCCAAGAATAGTATCTGGGAAAGCCAACTTGTGCTCAATGCACATTTTCATATCTTCCACTACGGCTTTGGGTCCAAGCTGTCGCTGGGTGGTCCAGATAAAACTTGCTCCCCAAAATCCCTTGCCGTCTTCCGAAGCCTTGAATGCATCAATCTCATCTTCGAGCACTTCGAAGAAATACGTGTAGTCTTCATCTGGAGCCTCCGAGCCCTCCCGATAGAACGGATATAGAAAGATATGCCTAATGTCAACCCACCTTACACCATCATCATTGAGGCCCTTGAGCATGACGCGAATGAATTTCCTGAATATGGGCTCGTAGTGATGCAGCGAGACAAGAATGCCAAAGCACGCCCTGAAACGCTCCCAGACGTCACCAGGCCCCAGATGATGTGATATAGCATCGGTCTGGGACAGCGACACTCTTGATTTCAGCCATTGCTTGAAACCGTCGACGCCTCCCTCAGGAAAACTCTCGGCAGCAATCGTGACAGGAATCAAATCTTCCGGCTTATATGACTCAGACCATAAGTGCGGTCCATTTGACTGAGATTCCTGCTTGGCAAACTTGAAAGAGAAAGGGTACAAATGATCTGTACGGAGTTTGGGTGTATGCATCGACCGCGGTGCTCGTATACACATTCCAGGGGTCGTAAGTGCAATGTCTGCGAGCCAGTCGAGGTCGCCCATGGCATCTAGATGGCAATGCAGTAGAGCTCCCTTTGGCATTCTTTTTACAATTTGCCACAGCTTACTGCTCTCCATGCGCTCCTTAGCCAGGGAAAACATCATGCCAGGGTAAATCGGCTGGTCGTTGATCTTCGCTAGAGCATTCTCGTAGCCTGGATGCCACAACGTGTTTTGTTCTTCGAAGCGAATAGCAGCTACTATCGCAGCGGCCTCGTTTTGCATCGGTGTCATTGCCTCTCGGAAGATGTGGTCGCTACGACGCTGCTTTTCCTGGGCAATGAGGGCGTCTCTGCCGTCCAGGTACTTTTGGATGAATGGTTGGCCCATGTTTGGGAGGCCTTCCTTTTGTGCCCAGGCGTCGAACTCTCGCTGTTCAATCTCATCTGCAGTCGCCGACTCGCCATCATCAATTTTGAGCTGCTGGACAGCCGTTTGGGCATCTTCGACAGGGTGATCGGACATGTTGAGTAGGAGGTAGCATAAGGTGTGTATCTCCAACAGGATGGTGTCGATACTGGGCAAGGATCACTCCGGCTGAGGTGCAAGAGCTCCAAAAGTGATGGCACGGCTCTTGGTCCGATCCGAGGGGTCGTCCCGATCCCGGTCAGGTGCTCAGTCCCGCCCAGTGCCCACCACCGTCATGTCAACAGGACAACATACATACATGGCCTTACCTACAGTACATAGATAAATCTCCTGTATTCTCGACACCATCACGCCCACGGTCGCTCATCCTACTAATAGTCTTCAAAAAGCACGCTGAGCCTACGGTCATCCTCCAATGATCCTTGAAATTGAAGCACCACCCACGTCAAGCCAAAAACAACCAGTTGACCGAATACAATCAACCACAAAATCCAATATCTCTCAGCAGAAAGTATAATCATCTCAATGTCTTCGTTTTTGACTTCTGCAGTGGCCAAGCTCAACCCGTTCGCCAAACGGGAACGAGACGAAGACGACCATGGAGAGCAGCTTGAGGCCGGCTCGATTGCTGGAGGCGGTCACGCTTCGAGAGTGTCTCACATCACCAGGAAAGAGCTACGAGTTAGCCATGCCCTGAAGGCGTATCTCGTCAATGCAAAGATCTTGGGTCCACAGGACGTGGACCTCAATGATCCACAGGCTGAGAACTCGGGCGCTCTGAAGGAAATGCTAGACAATCCTCATATTCAAGTTCCTAAGGAAATTACGGGTCGGGGTCGTCCTTTGACGGAGTACTTTATCAGCTCTAGCCACAATACCTACCTACTCGCTGGTCAATTGTATGGCTCCTCATCTGCAGTACGTAAGGCGAAACTTTAATCGGCACTCTTACCCACCCTGTTTCCTTCCCTTGCACATGTGCGGAGGATACGAGCTTTAAGCAACAGTCAAACTTTAATAGACGAGTTGAATTATCGGTTGACTTGAAATTGATTAGGTTGCATACGAGACAGCTTTGAAGGCTGGCTCGCGTTGCGTGGAGATTGATGCCTGGGACAATAGCGAGGATCCGGATGAGCCTAAGGTCACTCATGGTAAGTTCGTGGACCATAATTCACCCTTTAACATTCTAATTATTCTTCTTCCCAAAACCAGGCTGGACTCTCGCCTCGCGGATCGCCTTCAGAGCTGTTTGCGAGACCATCCGAGATGCGGTTGACAACGAGGCAAGCCAACCACAGCAGACAGGATATGCACCTGCCCCTATCTTGATTTCACTTGAGAATCACTGTGGTGAACATGGACAGCTTCGTCTATCACAGATAATGCGCGAAGTCTGGGGTAATCGTCTGCTCAGCAAGGAAGTGCGAGACGAGGGCGCTAGAGAACAGAACGAGTCCGGCAAACACGTGGACTTGATTGAGCTGGGATCCAAAATCGCAGTCATCGTTGAATACCACTTGCCAGATGAGGCCGAATCCGACACAAGCGATGACGAGGGTGAAGATGAACAAGCTCGCATGGACCTTGAGAAGTGGCGCCAGGAGAAGAAGGAATCTCCTAAGGGTATGATCATTCCAGAGCTCGCAGAATTAGGTGTATACGCGCAGTCTGTGAAGCCTACCAATCAATCCTGGTTCGATCCCGGTGAGCTGCAGAATGGCCCAAGGCATCACCTCATCAACGTGTCCGAGTCGGGTCTGCTTGGACTGAACCTTGAGCTCAATGGTTCTCGGATCAGCACGCACAACGCAAAGCATTTGATGCGAGTGTATCCGAAAGGCACACGTATTTCCTCTAGGAATTTAAATCCTGTACCATTCTGGGGTGTTGGCGCGCAAATCTGCGCGCTGAATTGGCAAACATTCGACGCCAGTATGCAATTGAATGAAGCTCTCTTCGCAGGATCCGATGGCTACGTCCTCAAACCGGCAGCTCTACGTGCCGGTGGCTCTGGCAAACTGGATAGTGGCAAGAAGAAGCATTTGCGAGTGCATATTGCAGGCGCTACTGATGTACCGGTACCAAAACAGCGCGATGCAGACGACGAGATTAAGCCATATGTGACTTGCACGTTGGTCCACCCCGATGATGTGGGAAACACGCCACCCAAGCGCAAAACCTCGGGATACAAGCAGCACAAGCTTGGACTTGTTCACAAAGGTGAACAGCCACCTCCTACCGATCCCATTTGGAATGAGCATCTAGACTGGGACTACGCAGAAAACGAGCTCGTGTTTCTGCGCATCCTGATCAAATCCGACGACAAATTCGCTCGCAATCCTGTGCAATGCGTGGCCGCAGTGAGACTATTGTACGTGCGAAGCGGAGAGTGGGTGTTTGTGCGGATGCTCGACCTGAAAGGCAAGGAAACACACTGCACTGTGCTGTTGAAGTTCGAGATCACAGACGCCTAGAGCAGGGGGGAACTGCCTCCGCAAAGAGCGAGGCGGTGTATCATTGACAATGGCCGAGCTGCGCAGTACGCAGTGAGAGACGAACCGTGCAGACACAGCATATCAGAGACGTTCATTTTGAGGTCCTCATAAGTCTCTACAGATATTTACGGGCTTCATCACGCGCGAGACAGTACAGAAGCAAATAGTGCAAGCGCATAATAATTGATTTGAGAACCGACCATCTGCTCTCATTGAGCGTTAGACATTAAGTAGGTAGGTAAGCTAGGCTCCGCATCTCTCGATGCTTTGCAAACGCCACGCAGGGCTACAACTCCAAATACCTAGCAACAACATGGTCGCCCTTCTCGTCGGCTTTCCGCCAGCTTCCAACATCGTTGTCGAGCGCTTAGATCAAGAGCAAGATGGCAACGCTGGATGGCTAGGTGTTTGTCGGGGCGTGCTTTTGCTGAAGAAAGCAGTCTTGTCGCGGAACTGGCCATTGCACACGAAGAATTTGCCGTCATAATGGTTAGTAGTACCCTTGCTCTCAGTTGTTGTAGGTAGACTGCAACTTACCTCGAAAAGAGAGATGAAGCGCCGTCCTCACAAGAATAATCGGAATCGAATGATACCCTTGACCTCCGCACACCACGTCTCGCAACGGGGTACGCAGAGGCTGCCAGGTATGCTGCGTATTGCACTAAAGTGATCGTACCTCTTTTTGAAAGAGCATACACACAATCTTCGCACCGGCTCCCATAGCCACAAACGAAACACCCGTCACCGTGAGGATCGAGATGTCCGAGTGGGCTGAGATTTCTGATGCCGAGTGCAACCATGAGTTTCATGGCAGGCCTTTGCAGGCGGTTGGCCAGAGGCGCTTTGCAGCACATGGCCGTGAAGGTTGAAGATTACTCCGAATTTCTCATTTGCCAAGAGGCGACGAGCTGCGGGATGGGCAGTGTCTGTATGTGAGCAAAGAAACGCAGCATTTGTGAGGACGGCGCTTGGGGAGAAGAGAAGAAGAAGAAAGAGAGATTCTGAGAAGGAAAGTTTTGAGACTGACTGCGAAATACTAGCGCGAAACATGACTCGCGCAAATAGGACTTGTCGACAGCACTTGGCATGCATGGTATTCTGAACCTCAGGCCGAAAGAGGCCGATCAACTCTCTTCTCCCTCTGTTCTGCATGTCTTCGCTCTGACCACCTCCACCACACCACCTTCACCACCATCACCTCACTACTCCATCCTCACCCGACGACTCCGTCTTCGGTTGATTCCCAATCAGGTACTTCGTGATGCCTCCTTCCTGTCGCACGGCCACGATCTGTCGCCCCGACCAGCCCTCAGCATAGCGACGCTCCGATGCCTTCTCGAAGAGCCATACTCCACGCTGTAAAAGCCCGAGTCGGGTCGCATAGTGAACAGCTCTCCGGCGCAAACTAGTGTGAACACCATGGCTATAGAGATGGTACTCTCGGATACACAGGCCGACGACCCTGTAAACCCAATCACGCCTTGTGCCCGGCTCATGATGTGCATTCCATCATTGTGCAACTGCAGCTCTCTACTGCATATGTTGAATGCGGAGTTGAGCCTTTGGGTATTCGCAGGCATTATTGACCGCATGTTGACCACACCGGATAGGTATAAGAGGGTGCAGTTGGCACCTTCCAGGTAGGCAGAATTTCTCATATTGACTCCGCACCTCCAGCAAAATGAGGCCTGGTCATTTGCTCGCTGCCTGCAGCTATATATGGTTGGCAGCTTCCACGCAGACTGTGCTGGCAACAGAAACGGAGCTTGGGAAGACGATCTGGGAGCTTGGAAGTGGCTTTATACTAGCTCGAGAGTACGATCAGCTGGAGATCACGAGAGAAGACCTGAGCATCTGGAGCACAACGTCGCACAAGCCATTCATTGGCGCAAGTGCTGGAACCGACTTGGCCACTGGGTCTAACGGAGCTTTCAACATCACACAAGTGGATATTGATCCTACGGATGGCCAGGATATTACATCCATCCAGCTCGTTGACTGGCGAGGAAGTGTGACTGGCTACGCAGCGCAAGTCAGTGGACACTTGATCTACAGCGGAAGCGTGTGCGCAACATATTCACTCCATTTCTGGGTGCCTCATAACCTCACCGACCGAGTGGCGTTCTATCTTACTATTGAGTCCTCAGTTACGGACACCTCTCGCCCTCTCAAGAAGCTCTACTTTCGCTTTAATTCCCGAGCAGGCGAGGACTTTTATGGACTGGGAGGCCAAGCATCTTTTGCATCACTCAAGAACCAGAGCATTCCGATCTTGTCGAGAGAGCAGGGTGTTGGTCGAGGCGATGAGCCGATCACTTCCATCCAGAACGCGAATGGATCGATCGCGGGAGGTGACTTCTACACAGCGTATACGGCCATTCCATCCTACGTGTCCACAGATGGCAACTTGTTTTACTTGTCTGAGAAAAGCACAGCCTACGCCAATTTTGACTTCATGGAGTCGGACACTGTCACGATCCGCTATGACTCGCTGAGCGTAGACGGTGCCTTCACCAGAAGCGATAATTTGTTTGATGCCATTGAAGCATTGACTGCATACACAGGACGGCAGCCACCTCTGCCCAAGTGGGTTGACAACGGTGCTATTCTTGGTATACAAGGTGGGCAGGACAAGGTCAATGGCATTGTCAAGCGAGGCATAGAGCTTGGCGTACCTATCGCGGGTGTCTGGCTCCAAGACTGGGTGGGCACTCACAGCCAGGTGGGTCCCTACATCAACATCAGCCGTCTTTGGTGGAACTGGGAGAACGATGATGTGCTCTATCCTACCTGGACTGACTTTGTGCAAAACTTGCGTGATGAATACAATGTGCGCACTTTGTCGTACATCAACGTCTTCCTGACAAATGTCTCGACTAAAAGTACAGGCTTCCGCCGGAACCTGTACAATGAAGCAAGTGCCAACCACTATTTTGTACAAAACACGACGACCAACTCCACGGCCATCATATCTAGTGGGCCTGGCTTGGAAGCAGGAATTGTCGATCTTACCAATCCACACCTCCGGGAATGGTTCTTCGATGTCTTGAAAGAGCAGGTATGGAACGCCAAGTAAGTAGATTTACCTGCCCTGGATATGGGGCATCCTGGAATGCCTCCGTATGTCTGGATCCCTCATACAACAGGGCTAAACCTGAAATAGGCTGATCTGAGATCTTCGCTAATGTTCTGGTGATCCTTCTAGCATCTCTGGCTTCATGACAGACTTTGGTGAATACACACCAGTCTCTGCTGACACCAAGATTTACGACGAGGTCAGCGATGCATTCTTTTACCATAACGCATATCCCACAGAATGGGCTGCGTACCAGCGAAGCGTCGTCGAGGAACTTGGTATGCAACACGAGGCGGTTCTGTTCCATCGGTCCGCTGCACAATCTGCCCAAAGATACATGAACCTCTTCTGGGTTGGCGATCAGAACGTGGACTGGGGCGTTCATGATGGCATAAAGTCTGTGGTGACAATCATGGCGCATATGGGCTTCTCAGGATATTCGCAGCAGCACTCCGATGTTGGCGGTTACACCACAGTCCTCACATACAGTGACTACAACATCACTCGCTCGCCTGAGCTGCTTGGACGATGGGGTGAGCTCGCGGCTGTGACCAGTGCTGTCTTTAGATCCCACGAAGGCAACATTCCGAGCGTCAATACACAATTCTACAGCAACACCACTACTTACGAGTACTTTGCCTACAACGTGCGCCTCTTCGTTTCTTTGGCCACATACCGACGGCACATCTTGCAGACCGAAAGCGAGACCAAAGGCTGGCCGCTTCTTCGTCCTGTTGTGCTGTACCATCCCCACGACCTCAGGGCGAGGGCAATCAGCTATCAGAGCTTCTACCTGGGAGCGCATCTCTATGTTGCGCCTGTTTTGGATCCACATACTTTCGACGTGACAGTCTATCTCCCGGCGGGGGAAAAGGGCAATCGGACGTATGAGCACGTGTGGACTGGTATGAGGTATCCGGGGGGACAGGATGTCACGGTGCCAGCTCCTTGCGGAAAACCAGCTGTTTTCCTGGTTGACGACGGTAGCACTATACCTGAGCTACAACCGTTCTTGGACTTTGTGAAGAAAGAGAATGCAACGAAGTTGAGCGTAGCGTAGTCTGAGCATGCAATTATGTCTGAAGTAGTTCCTGCTGATGCCCGTCCTATTCAAACAAAGAAGGAAAAAATGGAGCGAAAATAGCAGGATCCGGCTCAGATGAGTTGGATTCGACGAGCGTGAACTTGCCACTTGTGACATCTCGATCGTGTAATATAGGTAGTGTACCAGTTTGTGTTACCTGTTTCACGACGATACCTACTACATTGCAAGCAGAGTAGGTAACAGAATATGCCTAATGGTTTCACGAGGCCCCCGTCCCCATCCCATCCTGTCGTTTGGCGGAGCCCGTTGAGACACCTGACGTATTTGCACTGGCGCCAAGAAATGTATAGACATTACGAATACGGGTAGAGTAGACGAGATGCTGGTTGGCTTCCCAGGCTGCTGAACGGTAGACGTCGGTAGTGAACCAGGAAGTCATCGAGATGGAAAGCAGAAAAGTGCAGTGCTGAGTACATCGTTACGAATGGAAGCAGGGCACAGGCCGAAACTTAGTGATGTGCAACCGGGATGGGGGCAGTAACAGACGCTGATTGGCTCGCTTAGTCGACTCTCATTTAGAACCTCCTGGCACCAGGTGCAACGGCAGCGAGGAAGACAACTGCGTCTTTGACGACGCGACCGTAATCATAATTCACATCCACAATTCAACATACCGACCCGATCGACGACGGCGGCGACGACGACGACGACGGCATCATGGACGGCGACGACCGGGCCCCCACGCCTGATGCGGCTGCACGCGAGCGACTGCCGAATCTCTTCGAGGTGTTGTCGCGGAGAACACTGGCGCCGGTACGTAAACACAGCACGCTCTGCCGGAGCGAGACTGGGCGAAGAGACTGCCTTACTGACGGCAGCAGGTCGACTTGTTCTCCTTCTACATCTACATGCGCGATGTGCAGCGATCGGTGGACTATCTCGATTTCTGGTGAGTACGAACCAGCCTGCATAGAAGCGGCGGCGGCGGCAGCAGCGTAGCGAGGAGGGGCGGACGCAATCGGACGGGACGAGGACGAGGACGAGGAAGAAGAGCTGCTCACACCTCCTTCACCTCCGCAGGCTTGATGTCTCACAACACATGTCGCTATGTCGGCACTACGTCCGCGAACTGAGGAGATCCGTTCTCGTGTCGACGCCCGAGCTCGACAAGGGCAGTAAGAGGTCGTCGCAGATCCTGGACAGCAATGGCAACAACATGGAGCGCACCTCCTCCGCCGAACAGGGCCCCAGCGGCGTCTACCACGACAAATCTGGAGACCGTCAGACCCCCGATCAGCGACTTAGTGCATTCCTGCGGAACGATAACGGCACTGGACACAGCCCGCAAGACAGCGCAGGCAGCCACCCCAACTCCGAATCCGCTCTCGAACAACCCCGACCGAGCTTTATGGCAGGCCACGACGGTTCCCCATCCTCAGGAAACAATGGCAGCCCACAGCATACCGTCGCGCGTGCAGACATCAGAGCCTCCGCAGAGAAGATTCTTTACACCTTCTTGCTCCCCGGTGCCGAGCGCGAAATTATTCTTCCACAGGGCATTTTGAACGAGATCACCCACGCCATTGAAAGTGAAGGGCGAGATGACCCCGAGGTTTTCGATGCGGCCAAGGACTACGTCTTCCAGGCCATGGAGCGCGATGCTTTCCCAGGCTTTCTTAGAGCGAAAGCTCTCGGCAACATCGTACAGCCCTCCATGATGCTCCGGCTCATCTGCGGCCTCGTCGCACTCTTCGGCGCACTATGGACAGCATTCGTGCTTATCTTCCTTAACAAAAGTCGAGCCACCCGATGCTGGCTTATACTACCATTCACAGTCGGCATATATCTCCTTGCTACGCATCAATATATGCTGGATCCCATAATGGCACTTCTCGGCTTCAGTGAATACACTTTCTTTAGTTTCGCAAGGATCAAGGAGCCGTTTGTCAAAAAGCTATTACATCAAAGAGCACTGATGTGCCTGCTATGGATATCTCTCATCGACGTAGCGTTGCTATGTCTGTTTATTTTTGTACCTGGGAAACGACTTTGATCAAGGAGCGAACCCAGAGTCGGAGGAGCGTCGGCGTTTGGGCGAAGCTGCATTTGAAATGACACAGCCGACAGGATCATGGCTGGTAGTAGGCACTGCAGTACGCTGCTGTCAAGTCGTTAGTCCACAAACCAACATCATTTTTCTTTCTGCTATGTACACCTATCATGTGCACACTGTCGCTTTGCAGAGATGTGATGACCAAGTACCTAGTATACTAATTCCTCTCTCGGACCACGCTTTCTACCACATATGTGCTGCTGCTGCTCCCTTGCCCGTCCATCATCACCACCCCACAAGTCGACCGAGTTGACAAGACTTCTTCTCTCCGACCCGTGTCTTACTTTCGAGATACGAATGGATAAGGAAGGGTAGGTATATTAGGGGAGAGAGAGAACACACATCTCTCCCTCTCTCTCTCTTTCTCTGAGAAGTCTTATCGGTACTTCTGTTTGATCGGGTTAGCTGTCGTCATCGTCGTCGTCGTCGTCGTCATAATTCAGACCACTGGGTGGGCCGCATAGTGTAGTTGCTGGGGCCCGGCAATTCCTGCTCTCATTACGAAAAGACTTGGTTGAGTGATTGAGTTCCTAAAGTAGACTTTTGGAATGGAGAGGAAATGGAAATGGAATGGAATGCAAACAACTCGCGTACCTACCTTACCTTACCTACGTTAGGTATCCATCCCTGAGAGAAGTTTCCTGCACAGCTCCCGTAGGGGCGGTATGTTGAGTCCATTATTCCCCCTCCCTGTCGCTGGAGAATTGTATAGGTAGGTACCGCCGGAAGGTGAAAAGGGTAAGGTAAGGTAAGGTACTAGCATACACATTAAATTCATATCTGAGGATCTTCATTAACCATTATCGTATAGGATAATCATAACAAATAAATAGCATATCATAAAATAATGCTTTTCCAAACACCAGACCAGCCCAGCCCTGCCTGCCAGACCTACTGCTGAGAGTGATACTGCTGCTGCTGCTGCTGGCTGGACCCAAACCCCTGACTGACACATCTCTCTGGTGGTGGTACATGATGAGTCGTATATCCGCCTTCATCAGCAGCCAATGCAGCGAGGGCGTCTTCCTCTTTGATGACTACATCCTGTCCCGCACCTCCATATGCCTGTGCCTCGTGCTGGGAGAGATGGTATTCCTGGTTGTAGTGAGGATGATCATCATAGGCGGTTGCACTATAGTCGCTGAACGTGGCGATTGTCGACTGCGACTCGCCGCCGCACGTCGTTGGCGGTAGGTCAAACGGGTAAGAATGGTGTGGGCCATTGTGCGCCATCTCTTCCGAGGCGGCGCCCGCTGCGCTCATGGGTGCCTGTGGAGCTTGCGATTGCGGCTGTTGAGAATCTCCAAAGCCATCGTACCATTGGGGTTCAAACTCCTGCTGTGCGAAGTCTTGTGTGCGGTAACCTTCCAGTGCAGGATCAGTGGCGAAGTCGGCCCCCGTACCAAAGTCGAAAGCTGCTGCATCGAAAGCACTAAAGTCCATGTTATCATAGGATATATGGATGTTCCCGCCAGAAAAGTCGAAGCTATTCTCTCCGCCTGGCGGGAAGAGATCCGTGGCCGAGGCTGGTGCGGTGTTTGTTGTGATGTCGGTGGTGGCATCGAGTGGAGCTGAAGGTTGCCAGGCAGCTGAGTTGAGTGCGCTGCCTGACGAGGAAGAATTATCGTACTCGAACGGTGACTGAAGCGCAGTAGGTTGACTTGTGGCATATGAATCTCCTCCACTGAAGGACTGCGTGCCGTAGTCGAATACGCTGTCAATTCTTTCATTCTTGAGCTCGCTGTAGACTTCAGCCCGGTAAGGACTAGTCATTGTCACTGGTGTAGACGTGGGCAACTTCATCTGACGCCATTTGGTGCTGCCTCGCTGCGCAGAACTGAGTCGGAACTCCCAGTAGATGACCAGTAGGCGTTGCACGCTACCATCAGGTATGTTGACTACAACCTCTTGAATAGCCGTGGTCTCTCGGAGGTCTTGGTCAACCTCGTCCCGTGGGTTGTGCCCTTGTGCAATCTCAGCTTCACTCATTCTGAGCTTGTTGGCAAGTGATGCCAGTGTTCTGGCCCAAAAGGCTGATCCAAATTTGACCTGCGTCTCCACGCAGCTCCCATCATCTGACATGAGCTCCATCGGAACAGGGTCAGCGCCATGTCCTCGGAGCAGCTGACCTTTGCGATAGAATCGGTTGGTGCAGAATACCTGGGCGTCCGCTGGCAGATCTTGGGATGTGCAAGACAGACTGATGCCGAGCTCGACTCGCTCTCTATCTTTCCAGCTCTCCGTGGGGAAAGCAATCGATGCACTAGCGAACATCATATTGCAGTCGATTGGGCGTTGCGCGTGCATTGCAGCCAGCAACGGGAAGCCTGTGTTGAATTCATCCCAGCTGGGATGTACCTCCTTGACTGGTTCGTCCCATTTAGTGGTGTATACGTGCAATTGCTGGGTATTCTCGGCGTCAAATTTGCGTTGCACGAACATCGAGAATTCTTTGGGCTGAAATGTGGACAGCCGCTGCTTGATTTTCGACAGGCTATGATAGGCGTTGGCGGCGCTTCTGGTCGGGTAGACGGGTACGGTGGGATGGTACTGAGATGCTCTGCGTCCTCCAGTAGAGTACTGGCCATGGTTATGTGTATAGTACATATGTGAGTGGCCATAGTTGCTCAGATCATCTTTCGAGAGGTATCGCATGATGTGTGGATCGTCTCTGACGAAGGGTTTGATGACTTGAATATGGCTAGAAACTTGCTTCCGGTCACGCCGCTCTCCAGTGTGCTCTTGGATGTAATCCGCAATCAGCTCGTTCCGACCGCGACGCTTCTCCTTGTATTGGATCTGGCGACGTCGCATTGGCGGCCAGGTGACTAATGCTGGTCACATTAGTATCAGATAATTCTATAATGATATCTGGATGCACACCTTCGAAGAAAGCCCACTCTAGCTCCTCGGGCCACACATGATCTGATGACGGCTTCTTCGCTTGACGATCACGATATTTGCTCCATGCTTCAGAGGCCTTGAAGCGCTCAAGAAGATATTTAGCCTCTCTTCTGATCTGCTCGGGGTCTCTCTGGCCATGACGGTGTCCAAGCTGTGCGTCTCGGCTACGATTATGCTGTATTCGTGTCTGGTGGCTCACGTGTGCTGGCCTCGGGTCGTGTTGATATGCCACATAAGCATTCTCTGAAAGGCATGCTGACGGGAGCTTCTGTTCCTGTTCCAGTGACGCAGCGAAGTAGTCATGTTGTCGATTGCCAGAGTGCTCTTGGAGGACTCTTGATGACTGGCCATGGATGGCGTCTGAGTGAGATGGTGCGTTGGAGGGTACCACGGGTGCAGGAAGCAGTACCGCCATGATCGATGAGGAACGCAGGACAAGAATGCTGTATGTGAAGAATGTCTGACGGGCCTCCCCCGGCTAGGCCGTGATTCGTCGAGCAGCGTGATAGATATGTGAATTGGGGAAAAGGGACGATATGTCTGAGAGGGAGAGACTTGGGTGAATGAGAATGATCAATTGTGTTATTAAGGAGAGTGTGCCTCCCAGACGGAAGAGAATGATCGTGCATCACGCTGTCGTTGCTACGCAGTAGCCAGTATATACTGGACTACAGTACCTTAGCAAAGGGTGCCGCTGACTAGCCTTGTGTCGCCAACAGGAACCCAGGAGCGCAGGCAATCTCGGCCACTTCCTCTGCTTATGCGTGAGAAGGTGGGCCGGCTACTGTGCCGATTGCACGATCCAGAATCCACCAGCGTGAGCAGTCAGTTTGCGCAGACCGGACTGGCGGACTCATCAAAGCGGAGTGCAAGGGCACAGCAGGTGACGTTGCAACGCCTAGCAAAAAGGTCAATCGAGGAAGGGATACTGAAAAGTCTCGGCGTGGTGGCAATCTCCAGGCAAGACACTCGGCGTGGGAGCTGGAATGCGATATTGTGAGCAACGGAATGTGAGCATTGTTGTGATGGACCGCGTTATAGAGATACACGGGCAGCATCGTCCGGACCACGTTCGGTTCGACTTCTCGAAGACTGATCTTTGTCTGCAAGCACTTCAAGATTGCATCTCGGTAGGCTAAGGTTGCAGAAGAGCTCGCAGCAGTCATGCAAGGAGGTGTGTCACAGTGGCGATTATTGGGACGTTCACGTGACTCCACGGCTCTTCGTACAGAGTCACCTTGCGGCAGTCCAGACTCGTCTCGTGCAGGCTGATGAGAAGTCGGGACTGGCCTGCGAAGCTGACTATGCTGAGACTGCAAACCTCTCTCAAGACGTATCAAGACCAATAGCCCAGGCTGCTTAGCGACACCGATCTCACTGGAATTCTGCTTCGCTATCCATAGCGCCTGGACGGTGGACGACGGGATCGATTCCCATCACGGCAACTTTCGTCGTCCAGTTTGGCATTGAGCTAGCTCCCTCGCCCCCAAGTTCAGAGCGCTCACACAGCAGGCGTAAGACCGCACCGTCTTGGATTTTGATGTGGCATCAGGCCAGTTGTATGCTGTCGACGCATGCAGAGTCTTCGGGTGACGCATGCTTCAGTCCATGGGTATGCTACTGAGCCGCGGGCCAGCAGGAGAGACTGGCTGGAAGAAGAGAACCGCATATACTCGAATTCCGTCTCATGAAGCCGTGGTATGGTATCTCAAAACATAAACCTCGCTCTTCCACCCCGCCGCCATTCCGTCGATTGCGATCTCTTTACTTATACTGCGGAGGCTGACCTACCGGCGGCTGATACTGCCCGGGTCCTCCGCCACCTCCAGCGCCGCCACTCATCGCCGCTTGATCTGCTTGTCCATACGGGTTCCCGCTGTTCCAGCCCTGGTTTGCTCCTCCTGCCTGCGCACCTTGCGGTTGTTGATTGTTCATCGGCACACCTCCCTGATCGATCTGCTGCATCTGCTGTTGTACATCCGGCCGATATTTGATGTCCTGCTTGAACTGGCAAATGTGGCAGTTCACTGCGTGCCAGGGCTTCAAGCTAAATGGTATGATCGGAACGAAACAGAAGGTAAACCATTCCCTTCGTGGAGTTGTTAGCGATCATCAGACCATGACAAGTGAGGTCCGACATGACGATGGATGCGCGTGATGGGCAAGGTTTGTCGGTACCTTAGTCGGTGCATGTTCGGGAGTGTTGCTATAGCTTACCATCTCTTGACGACCTTGCCGGAGAAATTGCCACAGTTCTGGCATTGGACTGTGATGTTTTCGTAGCCCTTCAGTAGGGATTGAAACGCTGTGGGGAATCTTTAGCTGGAACCTGCGTAGGGACCGCCATGCACCTGGTATGGAGCTCCAGACCCAGAGTCCTCGCGTGGCGTTTTTTTTGGAGTGACGTACTGTGTGTTCCACACGTGAATATGAAGGCCATCTCGTACTGTGGAAGGACTGCACTCCTCACGCGCGCAAGTTGAGAATGTGCTCGAAGTCGTAGTGGCGAGTTTGATGTGATGAAGGAGTAGGATGTAGGTAACTATAGTAGGTCGGGGTTGCAGGTTGGCAGTTGCAGATTGCGCGTCAGGGCGTCTCGGCGCAAGAAGCGGAATCGGAGCGTGATGAGGCTGAGTTTCGAGCGGCAAACTCCGGCCTGCTGTCGATCTGATTATCTGGGGAATGGGGAAAATTGCTTGTGGCTAGGAGGTAGGAAGTACCTCCTAGGGTCGTCGATTCTGCTGTCGTTCAAGACTGCACCACCACTAGTATGGGAAAAAGGCAACTGGGGAGGCGACGAGTTCGATGGAGAGGCACGAAATATATTTATGAATTGTCAACCGGAATGTACAAATTTCAGCGACGCCAATGAATTTACGATATGGGATCTCATCTGCTCGGAACACGTTCAGGATGAAGAGGCCAGCTTGATTGATGTATCTCGCTGGTCTACTGAGTCTTGAACAGCAGGATAGCGCAATGTCCGAGGTAGAAGTAGATGAAGTGCTTCGTTTCTGTATCTCGAGTCAGTTAATCACTCTGAGTGGGGCTGTAGGAGTGAATGACGCGAGATGGCTCACCGTGAGTAACAAAGGAGCCAAAGTTCCGGCCGACAATGCAATGCCATGTTGCGCCCTTCCGTTCGTCGAACTGGTGGAAAGATTAGATACTGTTCCAACATGTTGGCGCGCAGTCGTGTGCGAGTGAAAACATACAGTGCGCTTGATGTGCTGAGCAATTTCCTGCAATGATTTTTTTAGCAGACGTGTATATCTCGTGTAGGCGGCTGCAACTCACCTTCTCGATGCTGTATTTGTTCATGGCCTCCTGCGCTGTGAAAATGTCAATTTCGGTCGTGTGGACGGAGTCGAGGCATCGCGTACAAACTTCAATGGCTTCTTGCTGCATGTCCTCATTCTGAGCGATATTTTGGTCAGAATCCGCGTTTGCAATTTGGCTTGACTATCGAGCGCATACCATGTCCACGGACTTGATCTGAGCTATCTGGGGAGTCAGTCACTGGCAATACATTACTTCGCGTAGGCGCAAATCTTACCCTCGAGCTTCTCATCCTGGTGTTTTTCGTCTGCCATGACTGCAGGTGATGCGCGTTTGGGGAGTCGACTGTACGGGGTGGAAGACCGAGGATCCGGAGACGGGTTAGGTCGAGTTGGCGCTAATGTGGTGGTGGTATGGGCGTGTCGGTTGTCGGTGGTGATGTAGTCAGGTAGGACGAAGGCTGGGCTGGCTCAGTCTCAGGTCAGACGGGGGGAGCTCGCGAGCGAGGACGAGGTTTTGTGGGGCCCGCCAAGGAAAGCCAAAAAGACAAAAAAGATTCTCTCGCGCCGGTCTCGAATCTGCTTGTGCATCAACCACACTACATGACCTCCTACCACACCGCGACATTCTGTTCATCGCCATGGCATCTTCACGCATATTCGTGAAAGGCCTGCCGCCCACCTTCGATGAAGCACAGTTTCGCAAGCATTTTGGGCAAAAGGGCCAGATCACCGATGCAAAGATCTTCCCCAATCGTCGCATAGGCTATGTTGGCTTCAAGACCAGCGAGGATGCCCAGAAGGCGGTCAAGTACTTCAACAAGACTTTTATTCGCATGTCTCGTATTGGTGTTGAGATCGCCCGACCCATCGACGAAAGCCCTGCTTCAAGAAGAAATCCCACAGCTAAGGTCACAGGTGCTAACGAGCAGCCCCTCGCCGAGAATAACCAGTTGAAGCGCAAGCGAGACACTGACAGCAAACCCCACGAAGATGCCGCCAAAGAGGACCCCAAGCTGAAGGAGTTCCTCGATTCATATAAGTCCAAGAGCGACAAAAAGGCTCTGGTGGCCGATGCTATGGCGCATCCGATAGCAATGGCTGAGAACGACGAGACCGCAGTGATAATCGAGGCCGGCGCAAGCGACGATGAATATGAACAGGTCCCGAAGAAAGCGAAACGCACGACGTCGATTCCGAAGCCGGTGCATGAAGACTCCATGCCCGATGCGCCTGTAGAGGTGGTGGTCGCCGAGCCTGCTGGCAATATTGAACAGCAGCCAGAAGCGAGCGGGAAAATGGCAATGACTGATGACGAGTGGGCACGATCTCGAACAAGTCGACTGCTGGGCTTGTTAGACGATGAAGATGAGGAGATATCGCATGCGAAACAGGACGACTCCGATTCCGACACTGAAGTTGTACGCCCGAGTCGTGCTGAGACACGACTCTCTACACCGGCTCCAGAGCCCAGGTCGTCCATACCGACGCCGCCTGCAGAAGAAGAGCGCGAGGACGATGTGCCCGATAAGGATATAGAGGCGGTGCGATCCACAATGCGTCTTTTCGTGAGGAATCTGTCCTACGACGTCAGCTATGAAGACCTCGAAGCCGAATTCTCGTCATTTGGCAACTTAGAACAGGTAAGCCTATCTGTTAACGTAATTTCTCTTTTCATGATGATCTCCTGATAGGGACAGCTTATGCTTCGGCACATGCTTAGACCAAAAGAGGACTGTATTTTAGTAGATGCTTCGTCAATATCTGATTACTCCAACACTTGGCACTTTGACCCTACAAGCAATTCGGGATGCAGTTGCTGACCATCGTGGTGATATAGATACATATACCGCTGGACAAGACGACGGGGTCTTCTAAAGGGTTCGCGTACGTCCAATACACTGACCCTGACTCCGCCGAAAAGGCGCTGGTTGATCGGGATGGACGTACTTTCCAGGGCAGGCTGATCCATATCTTGCCTGCGACGGCTAAACGAGAGAACAAAATTGATGAGTTCGAGCTGGCGAAGCTGCCCTTGAAGAAACAACAGGAGATCAAGCGGAAACGAGAAGCAGCCAATACAGTTTTCAATTGGAACGCCCTTTACATGAACCAAGATGCCGTTATCTCCAGCGTAGCGACTCGCCTGGGTCTGGCAAAGTCGGAAGTGCTTGATCCTACATCCAGCGATGCTGCGGTTAAACAGGCGCATGCAGAGACGCACATTATCCAGGAAACAAAGTCTTACTTCCGGCAACAAGGCGTCGATCTCGACTCGTTCAAGAAAAGCGCGCGTGGTGACACCGTCATTCTTGTCAAAAACATTCCAGCAGACTGCAGCCGAGATGAGCTGAGGCGGCTATTTGATGAGCAAGGGGACGTCAAGCGATTTCTCATGCCACCGGCCGGTACAATAGCAATTGTGGAGTATGGCAACGCTGCACAGTGTAAGGCAGCGTTTGGGACGCTGGCGTATCGGCGGGTGAAGTCGTCCGTGCTGTTTCTCGAGAAGGCGCCGAAGGACGTATTTTCCGCCAAGCCAGTCGATGAACAAAGCGCGCAGTCGACTCCTGAGGGCGTCAGTAAGCTTTCTACGTCAGAGTTGAAAGACAGCACGGTTGCAGACACTGCTGGCTCGGCCACGCTGTTTGTGCGCAATCTGAACTTCAGTACTACGACATCTCTTCTCACCGAGACCTTCAAGCCCCTCGATGGTTTCTTGAACGCTCGCGTCAAGATGAGGACTGACCCCAAACGTGGCCAGCTCAGCATGGGTTTCGGCTTCCTTGAGTTCCAAACTCCTAAGCACGCTCAAGCAGCTCTACAAGCCATGGACGGTTACAGTCTTGAAGGCCATAAATTACAGATTCGCGCGTCCCACAAAGGTGAAGACGCAGCCGAAAAGCGCAAGCAAGCTGATAAAGCCAAGAAAGCTGCGACAACGAAAGTTATCATCAAGAACTTGCCATTTGAGGCTACCAAAAAGGATGTTCGAGCACTATTTGGGGAGTATGGCCAACTGCGAAGTGTGCGTGTTCCGAAAAAGATGGATCGTGGGGCTCGAGGGTTCGCTTTTGCGGACTTTACTACTGTCAAAGAGGCCCAGAGCGCAATGGACGCACTGAAGGATACCCATTTGCTAGGGAGAAGACTTGTGCTAGATTTTGCCGAGGAGGATCCCGAAGATGCTGAGAAGGAAATTGAGAAGATGCAGCAGAAGATCGGAGCCCAGGTCAACAAAGTTGCGTTACAGAAGCTCACTGAAGGCGGAAAGAGGAAGAAGTTTACGGCGGCGGGACAGCAGGACGGCGAGGACGATGCGTAGAGGTAAGGTACCTAGGTAGGTGTACAACAGATGAGGTTGAGGATGCTATAATCCTCAGCCATATCCACGCCACGGTACCGACATAAGCACCAGCCACTGTATAGGTACCTGGTAGACACTCGTCCATGTACTCCATATCCCCATTTCTTATCGCTGTGGCTCGGGCCCTGCACAGAGATCTAGAAGACCCCGCTCTTCCTGTTCTCCACTATATCCTAGGAGGTACCTAGGTAGTTTGTACTTGTGCTGCACAAAATCACATACCACCTCAGACGACTTCACGTCACATATAGGAGGTAGTAAAAAAGGTTAGAAAAGGTACAACGTTGTCGACGGCAAGATGCAGTTGGCGCCGAAGGAGGTACCACCACATTTCCTACCGCCCATGTCCCGACTCCACAGCTACCTACCTTTCCCCATGACGCGGACACTAGAGATGCCGTACGACTTCATACTAACCTCAGTCCACCTGCTCAGATCGACAAGCTCCTCATCTCGCAGACCGGCTTTCTTGCTCAACGACGACTCGCCCGTGGTGTCCGCCTCAATCACACCGAAGCCCTCGCTCTCATCGCCTCAGTCCTCCACGAACTCATCCGAGATGGCGAGCACACGGTCGCAGACCTCATGTCGCTGGGCACAACCCTGCTGGGAAGACGCCATGTCCTGCCCAGCGTGCCCCATACCTTGACGGAAATGATGGTAGAAGGGAACTTCAGAAATGGCACATATCTGGTCACCATCCACAATCCCGTTGCTACAGATGATGGCAATCTGGAGAGAGCGCTGTATGGAAGTTTCTTGCCTGCGCCCGCATTGGAAAAGTTTCCGTGGCCGCCTGTGGAAGGGTTGAAAGCATGGGAACATGAAAAGATGCCAGGTGCAGTTGTGGCTGTCAAGGGTGCCGCTGGCAAGATCGCGCTCAATGAGGGAAGACGGAGGATCAAGCTGAAAGTGACGAGCAAAGGTGATAGGCCAATCCAGGTGGGGAGCCATTATCACTTCGTCGAGACAAACCCCAAGCTGGAGTTCGATCGTATCAAGGCGAGGGGCATGAGGCTGGACATTGCAGCTGGGACTTCTGTGAGATTTGAGCCAGGAGAAAGCAGGACTGTCACGCTTGTTGAGATTGCGGGCAACAAGGTCATTCGAGGAGGTAACGACCTTGCAGCTGGTGGCATACATGCTGTCAGTGAAGATGGACTAATACAGCGACTGAGGGAGGGCGGTTTCCTCCACGTCGAACAGCCACGCGCAGATCTGGTTTTGGAAAACTACACTATGGATCGCGAAAGCTATGTGGCCATGTTCGGACCTACCACCGGAGATCGAGTCAGGCTGGGTCCCACAGATCTCTGGATCCAGGTTGAACGAGATCTGACCGTCTATGGGGACGAGTGTTCTTTCGGTGGTGGCAAAACTATTCGGGACGGCATGGGTCAGGCCTCCGGACGACTGGATAAAGACTGCCTAGACACTGTAGTCACAAATGCACTGATTGTTGACTATACCGGCATCTACAAGGCTGATATCGGCATTAAGAATGGCATCATCGTTGGCATTGGCAAGGCAGGTAATCCAGATGTGATGGCAGGAGTTCACCCAGATCTTGTCATTGGCGGCGCGACAGACGTAATCGCAGGAGAGCACAAAATCGTCACATATGGCGGGTTTGACTCCCACATCCACTTCATCTGTCCGCAACAAGCCTATGAGGCAGTTGCCAGCGGCATCACGACCTTCCTAGGCGGCGGAACTGGTCCTAGCACAAGTACATGTGCAACCACTTGTACGCCAAGCACCAAAATGATAGAGTGGATGTTGCAAGCATGTGATGTGCTGCCTATCAATGTTGGTGTCACGGGTAAAGGTAACGATGCAGACCCGACTGGACTTCGAGAACAAGCAGAAGCCGGCGTGTGCGGTCTCAAGCTGCATGAGGACTGGGGCACCACTCCGAAAACGATAGACACCTGTCTGTCCGTATGCGATGAATATGATATACAAACTCTGATCCACACTGATACTTTGAACGAGTCTGGCTTCGTCGAGACTACCGTCGCGGCGTTCAAGGACCGCACGATTCACACCTATCATACTGAAGGTGCGGGAGGCGGTCACGCACCGGACATTATTAGCGTCGTGGAGCATCCAAACGTGCTCCCATCCTCCACCAATCCGACACGCCCATATACTGGCAACACATTGGACGAGCACTTGGACATGCTCATGGTCTGCCACCATTTATCCCGCAATATTCCGGAAGATGTTGCCTTTGCTGAATCACGCATTCGAGCAGAAACCATCGCTGCAGAAGATGTCCTTCACGACCTTGGAGCTATCAGCATGATGTCTTCAGACTCCCAGGCCATGGGTCGCTGCGGAGAGGTCATTCTGCGAACATGGAACACCGCGCACAAGAATAAGGTTCAACGAGGTTTCCTGCCAGAAGACGAAGGCACTGAAGTGGATAATTTCCGCGTCAAACGCTACATCTCCAAGTATACGATCAACCCGGCAGTAGCTCAAGGTATGTCTCACCTCATCGGGTCCATCGAGCCAGGGAAACTGGCCGACCTCGTCCTTTGGGACCCAGCCAACTTTGGTGCAAAGCCGAAGCAAGTGGTGAAGGGGGGTATGGTCGCTTGGTCTCAGATGGGTGATCCCAACGCCAGTATTCCCACTGTCGAGCCAGTGATGATGAGGCCCATGTTTGGCGCCATGGTTCCTAGCACCGGTATAGCTTGGGTCAGTGATGCAAGTGTGAAGAATGGTAAGGTTGGTGGGTATGGCTTAAAGAAGAGGATCGAGGCAGTGAAGAACTGCAGGTCAATTGGTAAGAAGGACATGAAGTTCAATGGGGTAATGCCGAAGATGAAAGTCGACCCGGAGAGATATGTGAGTTCCCTTCACGGCGCTTTAAACACCGCGTGACGTGCAGTGGGATGCATGCTGACTTTCAACCAGATCGTGGAAGCCGATGGAGTGGAGATGAAGGCTGAGCCTGCCTTGACGCTACCTTTGAGCCAAAGCTACTTCATCTATTAGGAAACAGATCCGTGACACCAGCCTTCGCACCTCAGTCTCGAAATTACCGTGGACAGTAGAGGACTTGTGACAGACACAGCCCCATGGATTCGTTTGGTTGCTACCGCACGCCAAGCCTACTCTGGGCTACTACCTAAATCTTGGTGCTTTCCCGAAGGATATACTGCACAATGATAGTCCGCTGGTGAGAATACATCAAGCTAACTCGGCAGGACTACGAGCCATTTCCTGCACTTCGAAGTGCGTCGAGCTTCAGTGTCTCCATGCATGCAAGCTTTAGGTACCTCCTCTATGGATTTCCTCGTAGTCCGCACGATTGGAGAGGTCTATCCTCCATTGGGTATTGTCTCGAGCTACTGTGCCAGCTCATTATGGGACTCCGCACGAAGTAAAAAGCCGTTGCGCATGCCAGCCATCTATGTACTCTCGCGTAATGGCCCCATTCTCGCAACGCAAGGTCTCGATCGGGCGCTTCTTCTGTAGTACGACTTTCGATCTGTAGCTACCTCATGCCAGATGAAGTCCTCGTTACGCTCTGCCAGTTCTTTCATCCAGGTGTAGCCACCGCAGCAGGTTGCGGCTAATTCTAAGGACGCGTCGATGAGGACCTGAAGTTTTTTGTTACGCACCTCAATCTCAATGCGTCTGCCAAATCCAGATAAGTTATAACGCTCCGTTACGGCATTACTATCCGAGTAGGGCTTATACGCACTTCCGGATACAGCAGAGCACCCTAGTCACTGTATATGATATCGATGGTTTTGATCCTAAACGTCCTAGAGATACACTTTGAGGTCTTGGCAGTGATATAAGCCATATACATCTGTAATGTACCAAAAAACTTATCCACATGGGGCCACTTTGGGACACGGTCGCCAAGGAAAACGACGAAATCCCCATCACACTCAATTACTTCAAATTCTAGTTCAAAGTCTTCGCCGTCTCGCCGCCTTCCATTGCCCTCTTTCACGAACGCTTAACCAAATTCCGTCTCGCCGGAAATAATATCCTGCCCGCCCGACTGCTAAGGTCAGGTACTGCTGCCGCCGCCACTGGGCATTCAGGTATTGCAACAGCAACAGCAAACAGCAACAGCAGCAACAAGATGGCCACCTTGCCGTCGACGATGCATATCGAAGTCGACACGGCCAAATTCGTGGAAACGCGCAACGCGGTGAGTCTTGATTTGCATGCACTCGCCTCCCAAGCAGCCTGCGAGACGCGACAAACAATGCGACGCGACGCGCCTCACAGCAACAGCACAGCACAGCACAGCACAGCAGAGCAGAGCATAGCAACAACCGAGACTCGGCTACCTCCTAGCAACGACTGACGCCTGTCCAGCTCACCAGCGCATACATTGGCCTCAGCAGCTCCATCGACAACGCCATCAAAGCCTACATTGCCCACACCGATGTCGTGCTGCAAGGCGCCGGCTCCTTCGACATCAGCCAGCTCATCCTGCCCTTCCAAGGTGTCGCTGGCGCTGCGCAACTTGCAGAGCAGGCCATTCAAAATGGCTTGCTTCAGGTCGCATCGCACTCGTTTGATGCTCACACCCCCGCTGTCGACGCCAAGAAGAAAGAGAAGCGCCCTTACAAGCCTCGAGATCCGAATGCGCCCAAGCGCCCGCTCACTGCCTACTTCCGCTACCTGAGAGAGGTGCGGCCCTTCATCGCGCAGGAAGTGGCCAAGTCTCCCCCGAGCGAAGGCACCAAGGCCGGAGATATCAGCAAGATCGCGACGGAGCGATGGAAGGCCATGACCGACGCCCAGCGCCAGCCATATCACCTAGCATACCAAGGCGAGATGGGCGCGTACGCCGAAGCGACTAGGGCATACAAGGCTGTGGGAGGCCACATAGAGGACGATGCTGAGTCGCCCGATATCGAAGCCGAGTCCCCTTCTGCTCTCCCTGTCAACGGTGTGACGCCTGTCGCAGAAGAGGAAGAGAGTGACGGCTCATCTACATCCGATGACGACAGTTCTAGCGAGGAGGATTCTGACGAGGAAGAAGCCGCCCCTGCGAAGCTGCCGACGCCTCCTCCCCCACCCGTAAAAATGGAGAAGAAGACTCCGAAGCCGAAGAAAGTCAAGGCCGCTGCTGACGCTGCCCCAGTGGTGCCGTTCAATAACATTACCGCCAACCACAATATTGATCCCCAGCTGACTGACCCCGTCCCTGTTGCGACCCCCGGGCCCCGCACAGCTCCAGCTGCCTCGCAGCAGCCATCGACCGCGTCTAAGAAGCGTAAGGCTGCTGCAGAGACGCCAGGCACTACCGACGGAGGCGAGAAGAAGAAGCGAGGGAGACCCAGCAAGGAAGACGTTGCTAAGCAAGCCGCCATTGCCCCTGCACCACAACAGCATCAGCCTGTTCCCGTGTCAAGCCAAGCGGAGACGGCGAGCGGAACAGAGAAGAAGAAGAAGAGGAAGAGAAAGAGTGAGGCCGCGGCTGCTGCGTAGGAGACAAAACGCTCTCAGGCCAAACCTTTCGTATGCTTCCTTCCTGTCCTGTCACCCATACGTCCGCAATTGTCATCTGGCATGAGGGCTGGAATTCGTCTGGCAGGATCTACATGTGCGACTCAGCCAGTCCCGGGGAGGTGAAAGGGGCGGTGACTGGCATGACCACAATGCTGTTGATTAAAACGAAGATAGACAACTTTATTGCGTGTTGCAAGCCTGTTCATTCCAGTAGATATCACTACTATGATACCAGGTCATTTAAACATGTTCAAAGGAGCCGAAGCAGCTGTATATTGCGCAGCGAAAAGTCCTACTACTCCTATCCTACAATCCTCTCTCTCTCTTTCTCTAGAGAGAGAGGGGAACAATTAATTCAGGAATTCATATCTCATCAAATCATTTCGGGGGGGCCCAGCCCATTTCCATGCCATTGCCATTGCCATGCATTCATGCATTGATGCGGCAGGCAGGCAGTACACTTGATTAATTCTTTTTCTTTCTTCTCATCGACGCAACAAGCTCGTTTGTGACACCTCTGTCGTTTTGTAGATACAGGTATGTGCTGGTGTGGGTCGTGTCAGTCGTTCTTGACTATCACTTCTCGCGGGTGATTCCAGATCGTCTCCTCCCCAGTTCCCGTCATCGCCCGGGTCTCGCGCGGCGGCCGTCACTGCCACGGTGTAGCGTTTGGGGTCGACCTGGAAAAGTCCATTCTCTTCGTCGTCGTCGTCGTCCATGCGATTCGAGCGTGAGGGTCGTTGTGGTCGTGGCGGAGACTTGGATTTGGAGGTTTCTCCACCACCACCACCGGAGATGTTGGACATGTCGAGTAAACTGATGCCCGCGCGGAATTTGAAATTTCCTCGTCGTTGGTCATTGTTGTTGTGCCGATGGTGAGAGCCTGAGGAGGAGGAGTTGTTGGCAACGGTGCGATCGTTGGAGCCCCACGAGTGACTGAAGACGCTTTTGGTGCTCGCGAGGATCTTGGCAAATAGTGGTCGTAGTCCTGGTAAGGATGCCGCGGTGATGCCCACGCAGAGCTCAATCATGTTCCAGACGTTGAAGGAATTGTGCCAAAGCGGATCCGTCTCGTCGAAGAAGGTAGCCTGCTTTACTGCTTTCACGATTCCGGCCGCACAGGCAAAATACCCCACGCTGAGAATGAGAGCCAATGTCATCTTGGTGCGCTTGTTGACATGGAGTCGAATGATCACAGGGACAGGAAGAGTGGCGAGCAGGAAATCGGTCGCACAGTTGATGGAGGTGTTGGTCAGGCCGATCGCAGCGAAGGTGGCGTTGGAGAAGCAATGCTCAAACTGAAATGTCCAGACTGCTGAGATCGGCCAACACTGGAAGACTAAGGTACCAGTGCAAGCGAGCATAAAGCACACGAGAAACACTGCATTTCGTGTCAGCATTCCAGGCCCTCTCTCTATCATATGTCAGAGAGCGTGGAGCATACCGATAGTGGCCCAGAGAAAGACTTTCCAGTTCCTCCCTGGTGGTACGAGCCGCATCAGGAATAATGCAATCGAAATCTTGACCAAGATGACACCCCACATGACCACGAGTGAATGCACATATTGCCACTTCGCAAACAACTGGTGTTGGCTTGGAGTAATACTGGGAGGAAGTGTTAATGCCGATAAGCGTAGAGCTCAGGCACGAGATACCAACTTACCATGGAAAGTGTCTTCCGACCGCATTCGCATGATTCACCTCGCCCACGAAGCATATAAACGTTGCAATTGCACAGAGCAGAGCTGCCATCATGATGTGATCGTCGGCGCCGTAAGACTTCATCATTGTCGCTCGAACGATAAATCTCGCCCCACAGGTGACAAGAGCCATGGCCATCATGGCGCCCGTCACTCCCAGTATCTCGGTGGCATTGCTCTCTGCGCAATACTCCGGATCGGGTGGTGATTCCATGACCTGTCGTCGGGTGAGGATGGAGATGGTCGTGGTCGTCGATCCTGCTCTTCCTCGGTGGCCTGTCGTGCTACCACATCGATACACTGATGGTGCTGCAAGCCGGAGGCGCTTGCCAGCTACATGTATGGTAGCACACTAGAGATGACGATTAATCCGAGGGCTGGGATGAATTGTGTGAAGAGATGTGGAGCACGATCGATCCTGGGTGTGTGATTATGAAGTCTAAGAGTATACTGTACCAGTTGACTTTGTTGCAGGTGTCAAAGGTTGATCCGGGAATACCCACGACACCACGTCTGATGTGACAGCGGGAATAGTATAACGGGAATCAGTGTCGAACGAACACAGCGACAGAATCAACAGGGAGCGCTCATTGTGGCTTATGACTGTGACCGAATCCTGCAAGATCTCATGACAACTCACAGCTGCCCAAGTACGGCCAACTACACATCAGGGCCATCACGGATCAGCCTGGATCAAATGCTTGGCATGGAAAAAGCAAGAGGTACCTACCGAGCAGAATTTTATTAGGTATACAGGATTTGCTCGCGAGCGCAGGAGCCACGAGAGAAGTGCCGTCGTCGAAGTGAAGTCAGTGATGCCGTCTCGCGTCCCTGCCGAGCGCGTTTGGAGAGGAATGGCTTTTCAGTTGGGCCATGATGGCAGCTGGATTGGATTTCCAGTGATACATGTACCTGAGTACCTCACGCAAGTAGCGAAAGCATATGCCGGACACAGGAAGTGCATCGAGAGCGTTATTGCAGGGGTATCATTATCATGTCGACATCAAATCATCCAGGCCGCTATACCGCTCGAACTTGGTGGTATGGCCCGTGGGGGAGTGCGGACCGCATTCATCGCTGCCTGCTTGATGTTGTGCTCGGGCTGCAAATATGTCGTGCGTCGTGGGGGGCGTCATCTTATTATTGTGCTGCGTGCGAGAGAATGGGAGAGACGTGGAAGGGAATGGTTGTTCTGGTCGAAACATGCCAAGACTATAATTTAGTGCGGGTAGATCACGGAGGGAGCCGAGCCGCTGGACCGTTTCCGCCGTTCAACAGGCGGCGAGGCGGAGGCACTTCGCTTAGGCATACATGTGCCTCCTAGTTGTTGGTGAGTCGAAGAAGAGACATCCAAGACATGAGAACACAATAATGATGAAGATGGATAATAACGCCTCCAACTCCTACTCACTGGACAAGAAACAGACCCGATTGCCGACTTCCCGAAGATGGAATAAATCAAGGCAGATCACGGTATATGTCGGATTCGGGTGCTGCCGAGGCGGTGTCGCAACGGAATTAGCGAGGGGGGCACTACATGTACCTCTGAGTCGTGTATCCAAGAAAAATGAGATTGACAAAGTTCCAATCATGTATCAATCAATCAATCTCTTCCCGGCACATCTTCAGGGACTGCACCTGCGCACGACGAGAAGCTTTTCCATCTTCTCCATATTTTCCATCTCCTGGGCAGCAATAATCCACAAGAATCATAATATGGCCATGAAGGGGGAAGCCATGAAGGGAAAAGGGCTAGAACAGTCCGATTGTGTATATTCACATCTGCGCCCCCGAACCGGCCAAGTTCTGCCTCATTTGCGATGAAATAGGTACAGGTACTCAGTACTGTGGGTAGGTACCTTTTATATGGACTATATTCGCCTGAATCCTACGCCGGCAAGCTTGCCCATCCTTCATCCTTCAGAGCATCCACCGCCTTCGTCACGTTGCCGACGACAGACGCCACACGCGGGTCGCGTGCGCGGAAGATTCATGTCTGCGGCATCTCTTCAGCGCCCAGCGCCCACATGCTGCCGTCGGTGGCCAACTTCTGTTTGACAACTGACTTTGGAGCTAATGAGTGTATTCCCTTCATACACCGCTCGCAGTCTCAGCTAGGAAGTAGCTCACAGTACAGCCAGACATCCTTACGACACGAACACCTTACCACGTGTGTCTCCAATCACTCGGGCCTCCATCATGCGAATCGCACCGGGCATCATCGCCGCGCTCCCAGTCCTCAATGCAATTGCCGCATTTGTGCCTGCTGATACATCTGCTACCGATCAACTTGCACGCCAAGCACTGGACAACGTGCGCCGGAGAGCTTCTCGTCGACATGCGAGCTTCAGTGAACAGCCTCTGACTACACTCGTATCAGAACGCGGACCAACGCTTGCATATGGCCGCCATCGTCTCCCACGCTCTCATCCCTCATACACAGGACCCTCAGACGCAGAACAGAAGCCAAAATGTACCATGGAGACAGCCTCGGTCCGGAGGGAATGGGACTCGCTCACGCGAGACGAGAAGAGAGCTTACATCGACGCCGTCCTCTGCTTGATGCACAAACCACCCATCAGCGGTGACCTCGTACCGGGAGCACGCAGCAGGTTCGACGACTTCTTCGGAACGCATGTCAACCAAACCCTCTCCATCCACGGCACGGGGAACTTTCTCTCATGGCATCGCTACTTCACCTGGACCTATGAACAAGCTCTTCGCCACGAGTGTGGCTACACCGGTGAGTATCACTCCTTCACGTCGAGAAGGTGTCGGGAAAAGAAAGAAAAAAAAAGAAGAAAAGAACATGTCCTCATTTCCTCTTAGGTCCATTTCCCTATTTCAACTGGGGCCGCTACGCCCTCGATCTTCTCAATGCCCCGGCCTTCGACGGCTCCGACACCTCCCTATCCGGCAACGGCGTCCCCGACTCTCGCAACAACGGCACCAACATCCCTTCCAACGCCATGCCCTTCATCGTCCTCCCCCCAGGTCAAGGCGGAGGATGTGTCGCCACCGGCCCTTTCTCCAACTACACCGTCAACCTGGGCCCCGTGACTCCCGCCCTCTCCTTCATCGCCCCCAACCCGGCGCCCAACGGACTCGCGTACAACCCACGCTGTTTCCGCCGCGACCTGGGCGCCTACTCTGCAAAAATCTGGTCCAAAGACTCCGACTGCTACGCCCTCATCACACAATCCCCGCACATTGGCGCCTTCCAAACGACCATGCAAGGAGATTTCGCTTCGGGATTTTTAGGCATCCACACCAGTGGCCATTTCATCACGGGAGGAGATCCCGGAGGAGATTTATTCGCTTCGGTCGGAGATCCGTATTTTTATCTTCAACATGCCCAAATTGATCGCGTGTGGTGGATTTGGCAACATTATGATGATGATGATTGTGAAGAAGAAGAGGAGAATGAGAGAATTTATGTCATTGCGAATACGACTACGGTGAATAATGTGCCTCCGAGTCGGAATGCGACGTTGGATGATGTGATTCAGTTGGGTGTGAATGATTTATATGGATCGCAGGGAATCAAGATTCGAGATGCCGTCGATACCATGGCGGGGCCGTTTTGTTATTATTATGATTGAGCATCATCATCATCATCATCATCACTAGGTTACGGGTAGCGGGTAGCGGGTAGCGGGTTTGGCATCTCACGAGGATATGTATGGTCAGACGAGGTGGCATCCAAGTAAGAAGACTTTATGATAGAGACAGACAGACAGACAGATAGCGGACAGACAGTGCATCATCATAATAATCGTCATTCAGTAACGTGTCATAAAAAACAACAAAAATGAAAAAGAAAATGAAAAAGAAAAAGAAATGAAAAAGAAATACAAGATTTCAACATATTTCAAGGGCGGCCGTCGCAATATGTCCAAAAAGACAAAGATGGTGTCATATCTCTCTCTCGCGCACATAAAATCAAGTGAGATCTCTCACAGCCATCTTCCGGTCATGTGCCAGTATATCTCGCAAGTGCAACTTCGTCGCCGCAACGCCTCGCTCACATCTATAACAACAATCAACCAAAACAAACAAAACTCGCCGCCACCATCATTGCTCTGCCAATGCGAATTCCGTCGAAACGAGGGCCAGAGGCAGGCAGCATTGCTACCTTAGTCTCGGTTAGTACGAGTTCCGCTGCACAGCTCTCCAGGATCCATCAGCTACCGTGTCAAACCGCACGTTCCTTCCCATGGGGGGACCATTGACGCGCATGATGCCACCATGCTCCAGCCACGGCCGCAAGTTCTTACATTGGCTGACATCAAACTTTTCCAGGTATCGACATCCTTCGACCACCGCTTCCACACCTTGTCCCGTGACTCGGACACAGCCTCGGACACTGAGATATCGGAGCTCGAGCAGATGAAGGCCAATGCAGCGAAGACTATTATCACTGACAGCGGAGCCACAGAATGCCATGTCCAGCCTACGGAGAGCGGGGAGACCAAGCGCCAGGACTTCCGTGGCCGTGTCGGACAGAGCGCAGCAGAAGGAAAGGTCCAGTTCCCGTAATGCTCTACAACCACCCACAACGCCTACGATAGCTTGGTCACTGAGGTACGTACAGTCTGCAAGAATCAGCCTGTGAAGATTGCGGAAATCGTAGATACTCCAAGAGTGAAATCCATTGTCTGAAATGCTCGTGCACCTGGTGAGATCCAAGCTTTCGAGGCGGTCTGCTGCGTGCGCTGCAATGTGTGCCATGCTACGATCTTGTACATGCTTGCAGTACGAGAGTGTCAGACGCTTCAGGTTCGGTGCTCCGATAATCGTCCCGGGCGGAGGCTGCGGGTGAGTGGGCTCTTGAAGCTGCTTCACATTTCCGTGCCTTCGTATGGGGCCCTTTCTGCCATTGAGCGGATGTGGAGGCGGAGGTAGATGTTGTGGTCCTTGTTTCTGCTCGGGCACGACCCAGCCCACCACTCTTGCAAGCAAGGTATCGCCCACCTTTCGACAATTACTCAGGTCAATCTCTTCCAGGCCTTTTGCTTTGTCAACCAATCCAAGTACTGCACCTGCAGTCACATCCCAGACAGATTTCATCTTCCAGATCTTCACGACAGGGGCACACGCGTCAACGAGAGCCTTGAAGCCTTCATCTGTGACATGGTAACAATTGGAAAGGTCTACTTTGCGTACTCGAGATCCGATCAGCGGCACGATGATGTCTCGGAGCACCTCGTCGGTAACGTATCTGTTGTACATTGCCAGGTTGAGTTCGTGCAACACATCCGGCGAGTTCTGTATCAGGTGCGCCCAATGCATGCTGACCTGTCGACAGCGCATCACACTGAGCAGGTCTAGATGCCCGTATATGTGCGTCAAGATCTGGTCTGGCAGTCTCCCTTTCCCGATATTGGATGGCTTCCTGACTAAACTCGGTCTCCTGGTTGTAGTGGGACTCAATCGTCTGGGTGAACTGGGAGAGCCTGGACTGGGCGAGGCCACTGGTGACAATCGGTGCATGGGTATTGGCTTTAACGGAGAAGAATTTGTGATGCGCACTAATGGTGGACTAGGCGTCCGATACTCCTGCAGCGCGGTGATCTGTCCGTCTGCAGCAGGCAGTGGTGGCGCCAATGACGATCTTCTCGATTTCGCGCGCATGTTGTCCAAGTTTTCGTTAAATAATGGGTCTGGGTCCACAGGTCCCATGTTCGGTGGCAGTCCTGGTGAAGTATGCTCGTTTCCCACTAGGGGCAATGGCTGATCGAACTTCACCGTTGGCAAATCTTTACGCCAGTCGTGTGCGCCTAATTCCACGTCCAATGCACTCGAAGCTCCTGTCATGCCAACGTTTGCACCGACAGCATCTGACATGACCACATCATCGTCTCGTTTCGCGGATGCTCTGAGTCTCCGTCGAGCTTCAGCCTCCACTTGTTGGCGAAGTTCCGAGCTACACCGCTGCCACAGTTCATCTAGCACTTCACCAGTGATGAGGAGACACTCGACGTAATTCACGCTTCGCACTGTTGCAGTCCGTCGGGGAGCAAGGCTGAGACTTGTCACCTCACCAAAGTATTGGCCAGCACCAAGTCGAGCTCGCACCTGCTGATCTGCCGAGTGCGCATTTCCATTGATGTAGCCGTTGGTGCTTAGATGCTTTTCCGACTTCTGCACCTCGACTGGACTCGTTAGAACTTCGACGTCTCCCTTGACAATGAAGTAGACTTCTCGGCCGCTGGTTTCCTGCTTGACAATCTCGGTAAATGGCGGGTAGGACACTGGTTGAGCGTTGACGCCCAGAAAGTGCAGAATGTCCGAAGGAAGGCCGGAGAATAATGGCAACTCCTTCAGTAATTGCCGTACCGTGAGAGGCGATGTGCCCAAGGCACTGGAGGCAGACACTTCTGCTATACTGGGCGAAGGAGACTTCCGCTTCTTGTTGCTTGTCACCTCTCCATTCTCCAGCGACCCTGCCTCGCCCATCTCCACATCCCCAGCCATCCAGTCACGAGAGCGTTTCCGGGGCGCAGCTGGCGGTCTCATGCTACCTTCTTCGCCAGTGTGAACTGGGAGGCATCGTTCCTTCTTCTTGCGTTCCAATATGGCCAATCTTTCCAGGGCTTCATCTCGTATGGCTCGCTCCACTTCTGGGTACGAGGGCAGCTCTTTCTGCAGATCTTCCTTATTCAACCTGACAACCAAGCTCCGTATACTGGCCACGATACTTGCAGTCCGTGGCATGTCCATGAGGATGCCAATCTCGCCAAAGAAAGCACCTGGCTTGAGCTCCGCATAGGTGCTCTCGCCATCTCTACTCGTGACACGAACAGAGCCGCGCACCAGCCAATACATGGCTTTCGCATCTTCGCCCTCACGAATAATCTCTTGCGCAGGCTGGAAGATGTTGGGTCGCAGACTTCGCCCAATGGACAGCAGGAAGGATTCTGGGGCGCTCTGAAAGAGTGGGAAGGCCTTGAGGCGGTCAAGGAGCTCCAATGGCAGACCGGTGTCGACAGAGACGCCCAGAGCGGAGGATTTGACGGGTCGAGAAGGGTTGAGGGCGGAATCGTAGCTCTGGATCAAGGACAAGGCATCGGGAGGCGCGGCGGTGCGCAAGGCGGACGAGCCTCGCAGTGGGTGTCGGCGCATCTTTTCTCAGCGAGGCTTCCTCGCGCCCGCGCCGGTGATCCGCACGCGATGTCCTCGCATGTGCTTCCTCCTACGCCACTTTCGCTCTGTGGCAGGAGCAACGGGGCAGTCTCGTTCGGTGGTAGTAAAGAAGCGGAATTCTGTCAGATGTGAAGATGTGGTGGGCGAGCACGAGCAGCGCGAAGTTCGGCAAGAATATCGTGCTGTCTCAGATGCAGCGTGGATGTGGTTTGGCAAGGCGCGAGCTCCGAAGCGGAAGCGGTTCGTGTCGATGTCGCTTACTACTGACTGACAGTAGTAGACCACGCGATGGAACAACAACCATGCGACGTCACGCCGCTGTCGCGTGTGCAGAGGGTGGGAGACGTGATGTGTACCGAGAGTAAGGTAAGGTGGGATAGGATAGCTGATGGTGCAACTGGACTCAGAGAATGAACAGACAGATGTACAGCACGTGTGCGTGTCATAACAATATCCACCAGGTACATGTAGGTAACCCGTAAGAGGTAGTAGTCGTACCGTGACGACAGCGGGCAAAGCTCCAGGAAAGAGCTCCCGCACTACTCTTCCATCCACTTTTCTGTGTTTCTAGCGCCAACCCAGATTGCGCCTGCCGAATCGTGCCCTTGGAACCTACTACTACCTACCTTACCTAATAATAAGGTACTGATTGTGCCTCAGGTGTCCAGAGGGCACTCTCTGCAAGTCCTCCTCGACATCTAGACACTCCATCATCATATATACCTACCGGTACCTTATCTTACATACATAAATACCTAAGGTACTACTACTTCTGCTCGCACACTTCTATGCATACGCTTGTAGCAAACAGCTCTAGCTAAGAAATGCTCCCAACGAAGACTCTGAACAGGCATTAGCAAAAGGACACCGAAGCATACATGGCCTATGCCCTGCTGGTACATAGCTAGTACTACATTACCTCCTAGTACAGTCACTACCTCAGTATTACAAAGTCGCGCGGCTGAGTGCGGTATCATCGCCAAGACCCTATAGGAAACTCCCGTCTGTACCCCTGCGCATACAAGTACATAGAAGATAAGATCAAGAGATGCAGTAGTCTGTTCGTAGACTGACTGGTTGTGCCCGAACGGGTTGAGAGTGTAAGACTGACTCGTTTCCCGAAAGCTACTCCAATCATGTGCCGAATACATAAAATCATACCTCCGACAGCTAGGAGGTAGGTAGGTGTAGGTGCAAGTACCTTAACTCCTAACATACATGTACCTTTTTATACCTGAACCAGGCAAGCAGTAAGCAGTGACTCGGATGCCTCCGATACATATATGTACCTACCTATGCACACACTCGTATCCGTAAATCGTGAACTACATATACCTTATATAGGTATACCTACAACCTACATTAGATATTCTAACCCAATTAGTAGAGAGCTGAGCCCGGTTTTACGAAGGAGAGGGGAGAGGGGAGGGGATGTGTTCCACAACGCAGCACCTGCATGTAAGATCAGATATGTAAGAGGTAGGTATGCATGCATGTGCCCCTCAATACGTATTGCTTCCTCGTACGGCATCAAATAGGCACACTCTACGTGTAGGTACCTACCTAACCTACCAACTACCTTACCTGTATGTCGCTCAAAAATCAAAATCCCCATGCCTTTCAGTCGATGAAAAGTCATGCCCCAAAACGGAGCGCCGACGTCTAGCCTAATGCATACTGGTCTGTGTGACGACCTGTTGCTCGTGCAGAAGCTCCCGTCTCACGCCTCGTCCGCTCTCTCACACTCACAGCAGTAAATGAACCATGAACTTGCTCAATACAGTGAGGTACGCAAAAGGAAAAGAACGAAACATCAGTCAATCGCTCGTGCTCATTGGGGGTATCTTCGCTATCAAGTGTACAAGAACGAGTACAGAACTCGCCACGCCCACAGCCATCCACCCAAGTCAACTCCCCCTTCCGCGCGTCTAAGGCCGGGGGCATGTTACCAAGTGGTGCTGTCCATAAGGTATCTCTCACACGATCCTGTTTGTCCCACCATGCCGCTTATGCCCAAACGCTGCAAAGAAAGCAAAACAAAACAATCCCATAACGCCTTCGCTTGCAATGCAGCAACCTGAACCTCTCGCTCGTCTCAAGCGTGATCATACACAGAAGCCGCCCCTCCAACAGCCGTCCAGCCAAGTCAACTCACCCTTGCGGGGGTCCAAAGCCGGCGGCACGTTACAAAGTGGTGCTTTCCGTCCAATCTCAATCTTGACACGATCCTGTCGTCGCTCAACGCCGTCTTTTCCCAAACGCTGCAAACCTCCCATAGCACTTTTTTCGCTTGCAACCCATCCTGAACATCTCAGTCGTCTCAATCGTAATAGTACCGATGCCGCCCCTCCAACAGCCATCCAGCCAAGTCAACTCACCCTTGCGGGGGTCCAAAGCCGGCGGCACGTTGCAAAGTGGTGCTTTCCGTCCATTGTCAATTTTTACACGATCCTGTCGTTGCTCAAACGTCGCCTTTTCCCAAACGCTGCAAAATTCCAATAACACCGTCGCTTTCAATGTAGCATCGTCGTTGCACTCGTCTCAATCGTGAACTCTGTCGTAATGCCATCGCAGACTCCACTCGAAGAGTCCAGTCACCAAAAATCAAGCACCTCTCCAGTCAACTTGTAATGCTCCAATCCGTACGCAAACTTTGCGCCCAGGTACTTGTTGTCGCCTTTGTTGACAACGCCAGGTGGGTTTCTGCCACAATCCGGGAAGTCAAAGACCATTGGAGGCGACTCAGGGACTGCTGGTTCGAGGGCTGCTGGTTCAGGGGCTGCTGGTTTGAGAGCTGCTGATTTGAGAGCTGCTGATTTGAGAGCTGCTGGTTCAGGGGCTGCTGGTTTGAGAGCTGCTGGTTCAGGGGCTGCTGGTTTGAGAGCTGCTGGTTTGAGAGCTGCTGATTTGAGAGCTGCCTCGTCAGGAACGGCCTGGTCGAGAGCTACTTGCATGGATGCTGCTTGAGCAGGAGCCGCTTGCACCGTTGTCGCCTGTCTCGGGGCTGGCGGTGTTGTTTGAACAGTCGCAGCAGGTGTCTCTTCTGTCCCATTTGGTGTCTGCTCAAAGATGTTGCTGTGTGTCTCCTCGTCGGCATCGACAAGCATCTCGTCATCAGAGTCAATGTCAGGTACTGCAAATGTGCCATCCGGATCGCCTGGCTGCTTGTGTGGGATACTGTGCATTCTGTCCACCTTAACGCGCTTCGTCGGGCGCTCGATGAGCTCCTGAATCCCACGCTCTTGTTCCATTGCTTGAACCTTATTCTTGTAGTATTCGTACATTCGCACTTGCTCCAGACGTCGGTCGGCGTTTGGTTCTTTTGGCGGTGGTGGCGCATTCCAGGATCGAAGCGGACGTGCGGTGAGCCGGGACGGTGTCTGCATGCCACGGCGGACAGAGGTGATCGTGCGTCGTCTCATTGCGGAAGGGTTCCCGTCAGCCATGCTTGACTCGCTCGACTCTGTATGCTCTGTGATGGTGTCAAGAGACGTCTCCTGTAGTGGGTTTTTGGCCGAAGGCGCAGTGAAAGCCCGAGCGTTCTTTTGTGCGCTGTAGCTAGCCGATGGTCGTAGCGTTGGGTTCTTCATTCCTTGCTCACGCACCGGCGTCGAAATGAGAGGTGTCGGTCCCTGTGAGCGGGTGTATGTTCCTGACTCTTCTTCTTCTTGAGGCGCTTGGCGCTTTCGGAACATCGGTAGCTCTTCTGCAGGCGCTGAGCGCTTGCGAGATGCCGGCAGCTCTCCCAAACTCTGTTGTGGGCTCTGCTGCTTTGGAGGGGTTCTCTCTTGCGACTTTGAGCGCGAGGTGAATGGCGTCGAAAGGGTTCTCAGTAACGTGCCCAAAAACGATGCCTTCGGTGTCGCGTCGCCGTCAGGAGTGTGCTGTGCCTGAGGTGCTTTGAGGAGGGGTGCTGGCGTGCCAGTGATGAGGTTTGACGAAAATTCGACCGACTCGTCAGTGTCGCGTGTCTCGGAGGCGACAGCTGCTAACTGTGCCTCATTGGCGGCGCAACGAGCTTCGCGAATGCGGTCGTGGAACATCAGGTCGCGAATTGGGTTACTGCCCTGGCGGGCTCTCAAGTTGTCACGTTCCTCCGTGGCAGCGTCAAATTTGTGCTGGAGGTCGGCGCTGTGGTCGGCAAGCTGAATAATCAGCAAGTCTTTTTGCTTGCTGGTCAGCTTCTTGTGTGCAGCGCGATTTCCGTCTAGTAGCTTTGCGTAAACAAGAGACAGCGACGAACCAGCGTTGTCGTCGGCGACGACGGAAGCTGCGCGCGACGGCGCGGTGGATTTTTTGATACGCGTGCTGCGACGCGGTTCGGCGGTGGAGGAGGGAGGGAGGGGGTGGGAGGGGGTGGATGACCGAGTGCGCGCCATTGTGTTTGAAGACGTTACTCGGAAAAGATTTGGGGTTTGTTGTCGAGGAAGAAGTGTTGAAGTTTGGTTTCCGAAGGAAGTGCACTTTTAGCTCCCAGCGGCAAGAGCCGCAGCTTCCCCGGACTTTTCAGCAGAACTGATCAAGGTTAACAATCAGCGTAACTATAACAACAATGCAAGAATCAACGTGACAATAATAACAATAGACAATCTACAATACAATCAACAGTCAACAATCACAACCTGCGAGGCTCGAAAAGATCGACAATTGCGTCTGCACGCCGACTCTTCTTCTAGCTGTCTAGTGCCTACAACAGTTGTAGAGAGACAAAGCACAGACCTTCCGTTCCCCTCTAGATGCGGTCCGCCGGCCCGGGCTCGGATGGGGCCCGCGGCGGTATACATAGAACTGGGAATGCCAGGAGGCAGCTCAGAACCTACCAGGTACGCTCTCCATCATTCGGAACACACCAAGCCTTCATAGGTGAAGGAAGTGCGCGGCGACAATCTGACTCCCGTACAGAGCTGGGGGAGAAGACCCACTCACTGTGCTTCACGGGAATCCACATGCTTTGATGCCTATGGATCGTTACTAAAGGTGGTAAAAATTATAAGCAGTTATACAGCAACATACATCCTCCCGGTACAAATTGATATTAGCGTGCCCTTCTGTCATCTCAACATGGGACATCCAATGTGCCATCTTTGCGCATGTGGTCCCTAAGGTGGTGCCACTTCCCTCAAAGTCGCCACCTGGGTAGGGGCAGAGACCGAATGGGAACGGACTAGGAGCGTTGTGGCGTGTCTCTGCATTGGCAAGATAGGTGTTCTGAAGGGGTCTGTTATGTTGATCTGATGAGACCCAGGCTCTGGAAATCAAAGCTCTCTGCAAAATTGGACAACGGCGCCAAATTACGCTGTTCTTACAAGAGTTGCCCTTGTCGTACACCTCCATTCTTCGCGATCTTCTGCTTTCAAGCACATCCATTATAGAGTTCCATAACAATCATGGGTAGAAAATTGAAATGACCTGCCTCTTTTGGATATATCCGACGAGCAAATTATGATAGCCAAGATAGCCTATTCAAGGCCCTGCACGACGTGGCTCAGTCTCACAGTTTCAATGCCCTTGGTTTGCGGTGGCAAAATTGAGGCTTTCATGCAACGGAGCCTTGAGATTCTGCCATATTCCAGGGCAGTGAAATCCGCGTAATCAGGGTTCTCGTCCACGACTTATCATAAATTCATCACTATACTCCCGATGCGCAACAGGTTGCCAACGCTGAATGACCAGTATCCCCCGGGATGGACGGTGCAGCCAGATCTCTGCCAAGAAAGGACACTCTCGTTGCAGTCCAGCAAGAGTGAGTGGGTGATCGCATGCAAAACGAGCGGCGGATCGCTGTGTCCGGCCTATCGTACGGCGATTGATTCGATACCGCCAGAACTAAGCTCATTCCAGATAGCCCATCTCGTCGTCGATGATGCTTTTTAGTGTCTTAGGCTGCCTCATATAGCCTGCGTTTGGTGGAGGCCAAGATCTCGTTCGTACTCTCAGTTGCTCGGCCTCATTGAGTGCCGGTGCCAACCCGCCTAGACTCCCATGTACCACGTACTCCTGTTCTGCGAGGGCCTCAGCCAGCTCAACCTGATGGTTGTCCAAAAGCTCTTCATTGGGCACCACGATCAGCGGAACTTGTATCCGAAGTGCATCGAGAATCGTGCCAGAGCCTAGTGAGATAAAGTCAATATATTCCTACGGTATGAGATACAGAGCCCCACCACTCACCGGCATGACTGATCACAACCCCCTCTTGATTTCCATTCCCACCTTTGGCTTGCTTCATATACTTCGCCAATCCAGCCTTGTCGATTGTGAAACCCGCAATTCGCAGAAAACTTCCACTCTCACTGTTCTTCGCGGCGGTGATGCATGAGTCGAAGAGCTCTTGACCGTCTTTGCCGTATTGCACTAACAGGTCTGTGTAGCCTTGTTTCTCCAGCGCTTCGAGGAAGTCGTGCTGTAACACCCCTCGCACTAGGCCACCGAACGATGCTGTTGCACCTATAGTGACGAAGCAGGTCTTCGATGGCATGCTGGGCGACTGTATGTGTCATGTACATGCTATAAAGACTGGAGGCGAAGTGCGAACTCGTGTCCCGCGGCATGTGACGATGGCGTAGAGGTAGGAGGTAAGGTATCCAATGCTTCCTACTTGGCAAACTAGTCCCCATTCGGAAGCTTACCGCAGGAAGCTACTATTGGCCATAGCCGCTATACCTTACTCACAACGACTGCGGCCTGCGGCGATGGCGGAGGTAAGGTCTTGGCAAGGCAAGTGAACTCCATTCATCACTTCGACTTCCGTCCTGTGCATCATTCACAAGCCCCCATCGTGATGGCAGCACCACTGAACCGAGTGTACCGACAGGCGACACAGTCAGCCTCTCGATATGCACATTCTGCGCCATGGAGCGTATCGATTGCACGTAACGCACAATGGCAACAACAACGCAGCCTTCACTACGCTTCGCGTGTAATGGCTCAGCAGGAGTTGGTGGAGAATGACCTGGACACATACCTTGAGGCTCTGGACGAAAACCTGCCCTCCGAAGCCGAACTCTCCTCCACCGCCCACGCCGAACTTGACCAGCATCGTGAACTGCGAAAATTGGTCCGTCTCGCAGCATGGGAAATGCCCTTTCTCGCCCAACACGCAAAACCCTACGTACCACCCCCAAAAACGGCAAAGACTCCCCTCCGCTGGCGCTATACTACATACTTCTCTGAATCACATCCGGCGTCGCGTAAAGTCGTGGTGGAGTTCAAAGTGGCCCATCTGAACCTGGGAAGGAGACAGACGGAGAAGCTCAAGAAGCTGGCAGGAAGCAGATACAATCCCGAACGAGAACTCGTCAAGATGAGCTGCGAGAGTTTTGAGACCATTGCTCAGAACAAACGATATCTGGCAGATACAGTTAACAAACTCATTGCTGAGGCGAAAGATCTAAAGACCGACTCATTTGAGGATATCCCATTGGATACAAGGCATCATAAGTTCAAGAAGCGTTTGCAATTCCCAGAGGAGTGGCATATGACAGAGAGCAGAAGGGCAGAGTTAGATGCCGAAAGAAAGAGACTGTTGCTGCAAGAGGGCATGAAGGTGGAGCAAGGCCGAATTGTTTCTGGGACTGCGGCTATCGAGGTTGACAGACAGATTAAGCTGAAGCAGGCTGAAGAGGCCGTGGCGCAGGAGGCGAGGAGACCGGTGTCTGCAGGAACGACGGGTAAGCGACAGATGGGCCAGCGGGGACGGTAGATGAACTGCAAATGAGGGCACGGAACGTGTAGGCAATGTACAGCTAAAGGATAATCCCCCATGAGAAATCGCCATGCTATTGCTCTACTCACTCGACCCAAAGCTGCGCCTCATGCCTGGCACCCTTCATCCTCGAGCTGTCAGGTATACTTAGCAGTTCCCGGGAATCCACAATCCGATGGGTTGCAACACATCATCCTTCCTGGAATCTCTCTCATTGGCGATCTCTCCCAGACTGGATCCATAGATGTAACCCACTGGCACTCGCCAGTGTCAACCTCCTGGGCTATTTGTAACCGTGCAATCTGTCCCCCGAGTGACTTCCGGACGTCTGCGATTCTCCCATTGAGAGATACATGTACGACTGCTGTCACTACTTGCGCTGCTCCAGAGCCAAAGTTCTTTACTGTCAGCATTTGAAGTTGGAATTTACTTCCCAATCCAATGGGGATATGTACCCAAGTCGTTTAGCGTGGCCGAGAATCAAGCAGACAGCGCCCCGAAAGACTTCCACGAACTGTGAGCTTTGACCGTTCGAAGCGGCGAAACGCCCTGTTGACGCATAGCCATTCTGTACGGCTCAAGATAGCAAGATGCATTCAGCTTGGTAGCAGTGCACCTGAGGCTTCTCGGCGGCAGACCAGCTTTTCAGGTCGCCGCGTTGATATAGAACTAAAGCTGGACGACGTCAGCTTCAGACCAATGACAGGCATGGAAGTCTCCCAAGTGAAGCGAAATTACAGGTGCGTGAGATGTACAGCGTTATGGTAGACTACATGTACATGTCTTGGTTTCCTCATGTCTCATATCTCCTAGCACCAGGGATTCTGGTGCGGACAAACATGCAGTACGGACGGAGAGGTATGACAAAACCAAATAGACAGCCATTGTGCGGCGAAGCCGATGGCTGCCTTGAGCGCAAATACAAACACAAGCAGTTCTCACGTCTCCCTCTATTTAGTCACCTCTGACTGCACCTCGACATCGACATTGACCTGCTATCCCAGTATCACTTTGCCGAAGACTGTCCTGGTGGAGCTAGCAAGATGCCTTCCACGCCATTCCAGCTCATCGTCACCGGCAAAGCAGAGGTCGCACATCTAGCAGAGCTCGCTATCATCAACGTCTCAGTCTCCAGCTCCGGCATCAACGAAGCCTCCGTCTCAGACAAAGTCATCACGACCGCCAAACACATCGAATCCCTCTTGGGCCCTCTATCCCCACAAGATGACACAGCAAAAGCCAAAAAAGCGGCACCTATAGCCCACTGGTCCAAAACCTCCCTCTCATCCACCAGCCACGGACTGTACCATCACCAAGATCCCGACCAGCCACCGATCAGACAATACAACGTAGCCATCAGCTTCGACATCAGCTTCAGGGACTTCCAAGCCCTGAGATCTTTCGGAACCAAGCTCTCCAGCATCAGTCACGTCGAAGTGCAAAACATCTCCTGGATACTCACTGACGCGACTCTGAAATCCTTCGAGACCGAACTTCGCGAAAAAGCCGCGCAAGACGCTCTGGAGAAAGCGTGCGACTACTGCGACGTTTTGGCGTACAAAGCGAACGTCCGACCGGTGGAATTGCAGGAAGGTGATGCGAGGAGTATGATGAGTGCTGGATTTGGAGGAGGAGGAAGAGGGGCCGGAAATGGAATATTTGGTGGCGGTGGATATCATGGAGAGAGCGGTGTTGCTGCAAAATACGCGCAGACAGCAACGGTGAGTCGCTCGATGCAACAGGCGAAAATAGGGATAGGAAATGGTGAGTATGCGAGGACTGAGGGTCTCAGGTTTGATGCACAAAAAGTGAAAATGGCGATAGAGGTCACTGTGAAATTTGAGGCGGATTATGATGTCTGAGGAATGGAGAGAAGGTGCTTTCCCTTTTGCGGATCAAGGCGAGAGGCGATTTTTTCAGTGCTTGCTGAGGGGGAATCAAGGGAGGCATGAAATAGCAGATTCGGCGAGTGAACGTGATGATGCGTTATGTAAGGTACTTTCAGAACTGGATATACAAAAGTACCTACTCTCGTTGCCTTGCTGTTATGTATAATGAGTCGCAGACTCTCTTTTTTCTCTCTCTCCCTCTCCATTCTATTTGCGCCAGTTCTTGTTCGTAATTTAGCACGATGCGCCATCAGGCACGCCCTTGCACTTGGAGCTCTTTTGGCCACCAGTGATGCTAACGCCACTCCATTTCCAGTTGCTGCACGAAGCGCAGAGAATGTAAATCTCTTCCGCGTCATCTGCCACTGTTCCAGAGACATTCTCCACGGTAATGTCCGTGATCGGGACGCCACTCGTTGGGGTTCCTGTGGGCGAGCCGTTCTGGTAATCCTGTTCAATGACAATGCCATAGTCGGTAATGTTGGAGAGTTTGATATTGGAATAGGTGATGTTCTTGACAGATCCTTCGGCGTCGTACACAGTCTTGATGCGAATCCCGTTGGCAGAGTCAGAGACGGTGCAGTTGGCAATGTTGACGTTGGACACTTCATTGTTGGTGCGTCCACCGACAGAGCCCATCGAGATACCATGGCCGCCAGAGCAGTTACAGTCAGTGAAGCTGATGTCACTTCCAGAGTTGACAGCAAGGCAATCATCTTGGTTCTTGACATTCGCACCGGAGATGTGTACACCGGTTGAAGACCCAACATCAAAGGCATCGGAGTTGTGACCAAGGGGCTTTCCATCGGAGCCGAGCTCGTCTCCAGCAGAGTTGTCAATGGTGATGTCCTTGACGATGAGGTTCTGCGCTTGGTTGATCGAGAAGCATTGTACGGGGTAGTTTTGAATGTTGAGGCCGGAGATGGTGGAGTCGATGAGCTTGTGGGCAGCAAAGAATTTTGGCTTGGTCTTCCCGCCGTTGCTGCCTTGACCATCCCACCAGGCTTTGCCGTTACCATCGATAACGTGGCCAGACGCGCCGGTAATGGTAATGTTCTTGCCAGAGAAGCTGAGCAAGGGACCCGCCCACTCAGAATACTCAAAAGTCGTGTTACCCTCGAAAGTAACCTAGCAGAAGTCAGCTTCCAATTAAGGAGTACAAAGGGCTCGTAAAAGTGCGAAGGGCTGACTAACGGTTGTGCCATCGGCCAGGTCCTCCATGTCCAGAGTCTTCCCGGCTGGAACAGTAATGTCCTTGAGGACGATATTCGGGCATGAAGCCTTGGAAGCCATAGCTTTCTCAATATCGGTAAAGGTGCATTCACTACCGGCAGTGCCATTTCCGGTGTCCTTGGCAGTATAGCCGGTCGGCTTCTTTGTGGAGGCAGATTTGCTTGAAGACTTCTTCACAATTGTTCCACCGGCCACTGGTGCAGGGAAGGTAGGGGAGGAGAATCGATCGGTGAAATGATCCAGACTGGAATCTTGGGCGGACCAAGGCGCCGGCCGAGCAGCAGCAAGACCAGCTCCAACCGCCAGGGCAATAAGGGTCCTTTGATAGATCATCTTGGATGTATGAAAACCGCCGGGGTCTGTGAAGAGGGCAATAAAGGAGTGGATTTGCAATGATGCAGAAGGAACGAACTAACTGGATTGGCCCCAATGGACTCTGGACTGTGAGAAGGAGTGAAGATGGGTCGGCGAATGCTTGATAGACTTGGCTTTATATACTGAGCGAGCTTGTAATATATTCATTGTCACGTCGGAGGGTCTCCGAAGCGCTATAAGCTACTATGCCCAATATCCAGCAAGCGTTGCGTCCATAGTGGCCCTAATATGCAATACGAAGCAAGAGAGAACGCGTAAGGTCGTGTTCGATGGTTAGGTCATAGAGTCGCAGTGGGGGCGACTTGTCTGCCTTGAGAAAGGAGACCGTGATTGATGGCAGAAATGGAGCCCTCCATAAGCACAGCGAAGAATGTCTCGGATGCACCGTGCCTATGCAGTAACCCGTTTTCTAGATGAAACGAATATACAGGATGTGGACCAGGTGGATCTGTAACATTGAGGCCGGAGGATATCCGGGGCGGAGCTCCGAAGTCGCTAGGGTCCCACATATCAATGGATTTCCTACTCTTCTCATTCACCATTGCGTCGCACGTAACGTCTTCCACGGTGAAAATTGGTGAGTTGTGTACTCGGCAAGGAGGGGCGTTACCTGGTTCATAGCCGCAACACATCGTGTCAAGCTAGCCGACAGCAAGTGGCGCTGCCGACAAACTAAGCGACCAGCTTCGTTGTGAAAGACGTTGGGGAGATCTGATAGCAAGGACTGGCGCCAGTCTCTGATATATTGTCCACCTCTGGTCGACAGCCGATTGATAATGCATGGAGGTACTTAGGTACCTTGGGAAGGATGAAACCAGCTGCGAGGTGTGGTTGTAGCGAACACGGAATTCGTGTCATTGGCACGGGGAACTCGTGTCATTGGAACGGCCGTCGAACGAATGTATCATCCTCTCCACAAGCGAGAAACAAGCCGACGGGCCGGGACCACGAGGCCGCCACGTGATATGCATGAACCCAAAATCCCCCGTGCCACAATCCACATATTTGAAATGCTGCAATTGCGCAACCTCAAAAGCGGCAAAGCCGAGTTGAGACACCAGCAATCCATGGATGTGCGTGGATGTGCGCAGTAACGCAGAGGTGGAATTGCAACCGCCGGCTAGCCTTGCGGTCTCACTTGCCACTGAAGAAGCTGGTTATTTTAGCATTGGCACCTTTATCAGGTGTCTTCAGGATGGTGTTGTTTGAGGTAGCACTTCTTGTTGACCTTCTTTCGCTTCTGCTTGGAGGGCTTTTGAGCGAAGAAGGCGTTGGATGCTCGATCTTGACGGCCTTCTTGACAGGGCTCTCAGCAGCCATTATTGATGCTGCACAATCGACCTCAGATATCTCACGTTTGATCCCCTTATCAACATATTCATCAGCCGCTTCGATCTGGCCCGCATCATCAACTTCCGCTCTCCCAGCTCGCACTTTCTGCGACAAGTCCTCTTCAACTTCGTCCTGAGGTTTCGGTAATGGTGCGTTGTCTTCTGTGCTCTCCACATTTGACGTGGTTACACGGTTCTCATCTCCATGCTTAGCAACTTCTGCCTTTTGATCACACCGAGCAGCTTCATTCTTAGCCGCCACTTCCTTGGCAGTCGCTCTCTGCTGTCCAAAAAAGTTGGCGATATTGCTCTTGTTCTCTGTACTGTTCACAGGAATGAGGAATTGCGGGCTATTGTTGCCAACCTTGCCGACAGCCTTGTCAACAGGATAGCATTCAAGCTCGCCTTGGTATGGCTTTAGCATACTCTGCAGATCTCTGTTCCATCCAACGAGATTTGGATCCAACCACGTCTTCATCTCGTCACTGCCGGCTTCCAAGATTACTGGCATACGGTCGTGCAGAAACTTGAGCTGTTTGTTCGAGTCTGTGGTGATGATGGTGAACGTATACAGCATGTCCTCGCTGCCTTCATATTGCACCATGTCCCACAAGCCAGCGAAACACATTAGCTGACCATCTGCACGCTTTGTGAAATGCGGTATCTTCTCCTTGCCATTGTTCTTCTTGAGCCATTCGTAGAAACCTTCAGCCACTACGATGCAGCGTTTTCTCTGCTTCATCGTGTTCCACATTCCCCGGTCCTCGATCAAGCTATCATCCCTGCAATTGATGGTCCTCATCTGACTGCCGTAGTCGGGTTGTCGTTTCGTCCAAAAAGGCACAAGGCCCCATTTCGCCACCTGCAGCTTGTACTTGGTCTCCTTAGTGACGACACTTTCACCAATGGGATGAGACCGCTTAGAAACAGTGGGAGAGAATTCGGCATCCTCGTGCTCCCGTTCTCCGTCTTCACAGCTATTCCCATTGCTATTGCCATTGACATTGCCATTGCCATTGCTATTGCCATTGACATTGCCATTGCCATTGTCATTGCCATTGCCATTGCCATTGCTATTGCGGCCTGCAGTATGAGCCCGGTAGATCAAGCCGTGGTAGCCGGGCGCGAAATTGTATGATTGTCTCAAAGGCTCGGCATCGTCGTCGGGGGCTTCATCTACAGCCATGTTCTGGCCCACAAGACGAGAGCGCACTTGTGAAGGCCGTAAGGACAGCGCATATCGGCCACACATGTTGATGGTCCTCACGCCATGATATTCAGACGAGAAGGAGGAGGAGAAGGAGCAGGAGGAGGTTGAGAAGACATTGCACGTGGTTTGGAGAGGGAGACGCGAACTTGGACAGTTGACATCATCGCCTGACCTGCGCGCGTCGTCGCTTGAGCCTGAGGCAAAATCTCTACCTATGCATGCACAAACTACATACCTGCCCCGAGAACTTAGGTACATGTATCTTCCAACCACCAGCACCACCCGATTATTGAACATGTCCGGACGACCAATAGCCAGTTTGCCCCTGCGGCCACTGCTAAGACAGCTCCATCGTCCATCCCGCAGCATGCACAATGCGTCGTCGCTATCATCGTATCGACCGCAGCAAGCTCTGCGCCGAGCACCTGTCGCCCACCTGACGCCGCGATGCCCGAGACGACACGCGAGCTCGTTTGTGGAAAATGCGAAAAGCCTCGCGAAGCAGAACCCCGTGTCCGTCGCCCTGGCCGCGTTCGTCATCCTCGCAGGAGCTGGCAGTTTGGCGTACGCCAACTACATCTACCAGTCCTACATCTTGGCTGCGTTCCACAAGTACCCGGAGCCTGTTGCGAAGAAGCTGCGGAGAGCGCTATACTTTACAAATGTAGACTTGCAGCCCAAGGAAGCTCTGAAGTACTACAAGCAGGCTCTGAAGGAGGCCGAAGAGGTTCAGATGGATCCGTTTTCGGATGAAATCATCGGCGTCAAGGTCCAGGTCGCAAAGCTGCTCGAAGACATCTCGCAGTGGGCAAAGGCCATTGAGGTCTTGGAAAGGACGCGATCGGACAATCTAGAGTGGCTCAAACAGTTCGGTTCCCTCGATCACAACAAGGTGCGCAGGACCAGTGTTTTGGCGAAGACAGTCGGCATCTCCGTGAAGCTCGGTGAGCTGTATGGCCACCCAGCCATCTATGACCGAGACATCGCACAGGAAAGGCTTTTATGGGCGGTTGAGACAGTACTCAAGGAGCAGCAGAGAAGGACGAGCGAAAAAGTCAAGGATGAGGAGGAGGGCGAGTGGATGGGCAACGACCAGATTGGCGCTGCATTGGAAGCTCTCGCCCACAGTTATGAAGCGAAGAACCAGCACTACCTCGCTACACCCCTCTTCTTGCAAGCTCTCAGCTTGTACCCAACCAGAGACTGCCACTCAGTCGTCCTGATGAACAACCTGGCCTCCAGTCTGGCTCAGCAATCCCCTGCTGCAGCACGTATAGCGCAGGCGTATGCCACTTCACAGAGCATTACCGATCGACCGACCGGCCCGGCAGCTTCCAGAGAGGCCATGGTAGAGAATGCGAAGCAGTGGGCACAAAAGGCATTAGATGTGGCAGCTACAATCCAGCCCCCAGAGAGGAACGAAGAGTGCGACATTGGTTGTGCTGTCGCTACGCATAATCTGGGAGAATTCGCTGAAATGAATCAGCAGATCACCCTGGCGAAGCAGAAGTATAAAGAGGCCATCAGCTTGGCACGAGCGATAGATTTTGAAGAAGGCGTCGAAATGAGCAGCGCACGATTGCGAGACCTTGCAAAAGCTGGTTGAGTAGACTCCACTGCTCAGATGTGCTATCAGACATCATATTGCAGGACAGCGTCCGCAGGTACTCCACTCTCAGCATGAGCTGATGCAGCACGACTTCTCCACACATGGATAATTCCGTGTACAGCTTGGCTACCACATCCCAGGCACGAAGTACAGGCGCATGCATCGCAAAAGGTCACTTCAGTGTTGCGGCTTTTTCTTCACACCAGCAAGCGCAAAGCTGCCCGACAGCAGTAGGAAGACGGGCAGGATTCCGGTATGTCGACAATTTGACATGGACAAAAAAGAGTCAACGTCAGAGCTGTGTAGCCGAAGTGAGCATAAAATACGCGCCGTGGCGTGCAGAATGCAGGGAAAGTGCCGCTTCGCAGCAGAAGCTCACTCTGCAGTCTGCACTGTCTGCAGAGACTGCAGCGACGAATAGCAAAGTGCATAAACAAGTGAATTAAGAAAAGTCAGGGTGTGAGCCTTGCATATGCGGGTGTCATTGCATGGATGGATGTCGAAGGAGCTTAGTAGGAGGTAGGTCCAAAGGCTATTGGATGTACGAGACGACACTAGAGTCTAGAACTACCTAGCTCTCTAGCGAATGCACACTGCTTGCAGTATCCTGGTGCGGTGCCGAGTGCTGCAGTTGCTCTCTTGCACGTGGGTCTGAGATCCAACAAGATGATGTGTGTGTGTGTGTGTACTAGGTGGTAGATGTAGCTGGTACAGTAGATTAATTTCCCCGAGTCCTCAGTCGGGGCGACTTGCGAAGGGTGCGGCTTGGCAGAGCAACAGATGGACATGGTATCTACAGAAGATGTACCTATGCAATCGACATGATTATTGTGGATGCTCGAGACACATGACAGCGAGACCATGCGAAGCTGGGGCATTTAGCGCAGGCGAGGGCATCATCATCACCATCATCTGATTCTGCTTCTTCTGAGGTGATCTATCATTATTCGTGTCGGATTTGATGACTTGCTTCGCAGCTGCATGCACACCTCACTCCGCCTCTTACCGATCGCAGATCTGCTGGCTTGGTCGCAGTGACTAGGTAGGGTGAGCTGGTTGAATGCGTTATGCATGCAGCAGTCAGTCTGTACTCTGTAGGTACCCTCAGATGGCACACTCCTGTCAGCGGAAAACCTTTCCCTTAGTTAATTTTCGTAGGCCAGTAGTTCGCAGGCGTGTTTCTTTTTTATGGTTTTTTATGTTTTTTTTTATGTTTTTTTATATTTTTGGCTTCGAGGTTCACACATGCCCTGCCCTCTCATCAAGATGTCCAGTCTGTGCCGTCTTGGTACCCAGAATGGGCAATAAAATGCCCATATTGGCATATTCCATCGATGATTCCTACCGAACACGCAATTATTCGCTACCTACCTAGACGAGCTTCGTATGGATCCGCTCGTTCCCAATGCTAGTATGTTAGTCTCACACCATCCGTAGACACGTGGTACATCCTAGGCTGGTATGTGTGCGCTAAAAGGACTTCAAAAAGGACGGCGGGCTTTGGCAGCTAGCAGCGGAAGTGCACGTACACTCGCACACACCGCACACACGCACGCACCGCACGCACATGTTCAGCTGAATCAGCTCTTCATGTCGGTGTGGTGCGGTTTTGCCATGCCGCAGCTGAGAAGGAGGACGCATGCGCTTCGCTTGGCCTCGCCCCGCCTCCTCTCCGCAGGCTGACTGCCGCTCGCATTATTATTCCCTCAGATCACGCGAGGTTGGAAGACACTCATTGTCACTCGGGCGTCGGCAGGACGACAGGAAAGGGGAAAGTTATGTGCCAGGCGTCGCTGGGTAGGCATGTAGGAACTAGGAACTACAAAAATTGCCCAAAACAGCAAAAAAAGAAAAGAAACTGCCAGGCTCTACCGATCCAGGAGGCAGTCAGTAGGAGGTAATGAACTCTCGAGGCAATGCCGCATCTCTTTTCAGCTCGTGCCCATCGTTCTCCCGCTGCGGCGCTGCCTGCCCCGTCGCGGCTCTGTGCCTCCCCTCGAGCTTCTGGAGAAAGCAAAAAAAGGCACAAAAAGCACGTCCAACGGGGCGCCGGCGACGCGGCCCAGAGCGTGTATCTGCAACGACGGCGGCCGTCGGCGCCTGATGCACTCGTTCCTGTCCAGCAAGTGGCCGGCATCCTTGCCAGACATCCGGAGAGCCCACACGGGCCGTTTGGCAAAGAGATCGCCTGGAGGTACCTAGCTAGGTACTAGCAGGAAGTGGAAGGGAAGGGGAGAGGGAGGCAAGGGGAAAAGGGAATGGACTACTGTACGTGCTGCGTCCGCCAAGGCTCCACGCACAGCTGGAGGTACCTTAGGTACTTGTGAAAAAGGCATCGAACTAAGCTCCCATTGGCGGGCACAGTCGAGAGTAGAGTGGTTGTAGGTTGGACGGCGACGCTGCCATCCTCCTCCTCCTCCTCCTCCTCCCCCCGGCACGAAGAAGTGGCGGGATCGGGCAGAGAACGGTGGTGGTAGTGGTAGTGGTGGTGGTGATGATGATGCTGGTGCTGGTGCTGGTACTGGTAGTGGTGGACGTACCATGGACGAACACTGCAATTAATAGAACTACGCTGTGCAGCGCCAGACGACTGCCGACTATAAACCTCGTGCACTCTGCGACCCATGGCTGGACCCGTTTCGCCTTTCGCCAACCCGACCTACTACACCTCTGCATCCTTGTACGCTTCTTGTCATAAGAGACCCAGACTGCTGGTACTCCGACGTTGCATGAGCTGCGAGATGCAGTGGCTCTGGTTGTCCGTCCGGCTGATTGCTCGAGAGAGAAATTTCATCTGATAGCAATTATCCTGTTCCGTTTGCTCCATAAGTTCCAGTCGAATCTGCATCTGGCTAGCACCTATGCTTTGAGCACTATTTGGCATATGGTCACTTCCATTGCCTTCTGCTCTCCCCGTTGACCGAGTGCTGACTCGAAACCCCAGAAGGCACTCGCGGGACCAGTAAATCATGTCGTTCCTCTCTGCTCTGCTGTCTCAGCAAACGCCCAACTTGCAGACCAGGAAGGGGTTGATCGTGGTGGGCCTTCAGAATGATTTCATTCTTCCAGACGGCAAGCTACCTGTCAAAGACGCCGCCTTTGTGAATCGCATCGGAAGCCTGGTTCCCGCCTTCCGCGAGCATGGTGAAATAATATGGGTACGATCAGAATTTCAGCAGACCAGACCAGTGAATGGCGACGACACGCCGGGAGACAGAGTGATTGCAGCTGGTTCGTTGGGCACTGGGCTTGACCGCCAGCGCTCGGGAGATGTGCCAGCGGCGAACAAGAAATACAAGGTAAGTGCCACTGGGCCAGCTCAAAGAGAGGGAGAGGGAGAGAGAGAGGGAGACAGAGAATACAGCTAACATGAACGAGTTCTCAGCATCATTTGAAAAGCCGGAAGCTGGGAAGGAGGAAGGCGATGACGAAGAACTCTTCCTGTCCAGGACATCCAAAAGAGAGCCATGTTGCATCAAAGGCAGCCATGGCGCCGACTTTTCTGACCGCATCAAGCCCTTGATACAGCGAAAGGACCTACAGGTCGTCAAATCGCATTACTCGGCGTTTGCTGGAACCTCACTCCTCATGACACTCCGCTCCAAGCTGATCACGGATGTCTACATCTGTGGCTGTATGACGAATCTCTCAGTCTATGCCACAGCCATGGACGCAGCACGGTATGGGATCGAGATTACCCTTGTTGAAGACTGTCTGGGCTACCGAAGGTTCGATCGACACCAAATGGCAGTTCAACAGCTCAATCACTTCATGAGCGCAAATTTTTGGAAATCTGCGAGAGTTCTCGCGCAGCTACTTGACCCCAGTCTGGAGTTTCCCAGCTCCGATTCAGGAGCAATAGAAGTAGTAGTAGAAGAGGAAGATGATGACGATGACGATGATGATGATGATGAAGACGAAGACGAAGAAGAACAAACAGAAGAACAGCAACATAAAGGAGAAGAAGAAAAACAAGAAAAAGAAGCGACAGAAGGGAGTACAGTGATGGGCGACAGGCGTTCCACGTTACTCCAGGCTCAAGCGGATGTGCTCGAAGTGGATAGTGACGAGCACAGCGACGAAGAGGTGTCCTTGCCCACCGTAGGTCTTCCCAGAAGGCTGCTTGATCGAATTTCCGAGCGAAGCTTTGCGACACGACTATCGAGCAAATACTCACCACGTGCAGCGCGACGACCCCGCATCACTACCACTCAGTATGCGACACCTGAAAGCCCTCGATCTGACCCGCGGCACAACGACCCAGGACACGAGAGTGAAAAAGGTGCCATTGAATTTGGCAAACTCAAGTTCGCCACAGCCTCCGGTCACAGCCGCCTAATCTCTACCCATAGTGGCTCATCCAGGCAAGTATCCAGACTCCCATGGCTCGATATTATTCCGCCCAACTATAAATCATCGCAAGACATCGGTCCGCCGGCATCATCTCATCAACAAGGCAGTCCATGTGCACCCTCCCAGTCGACTGCTTCGCCTCCGTCATCTGGTGGGAAGAAGCCGAAAGCCATGTCTACGTGTTCCCAGAAGAGTAGGCCCCTCTTCGGCGAGGACAAGGTGGCGGAAAGCGCTGGATCTCGTATTCTGCATGGACTCTTACCAGAGGATGCAGCCGAGACTGCCTTTGAGGATGTTCAAAGTGAGGTGAAGTGGCAGAGCATGTTTCATCAGACTGGCCCCGTCCCACGTCTCGTGAGCTGCCAGGCCACGATATGCGATGACGGTAGCGTACCACTGTATCGACATCCGTCTGATCAGACTCCAGAAGTGCATGCATGGACGCCAACAGTGGACCGGATCCGAAAGGCAGCAGAACAGGTGGCTGGCCACCGTCTCAATCATGCACTCATTCAATTGTACCGCGATGGCAACGACTTCATTTCGGAGCATTCCGACAAGACGTTGGACATTGCTCCCGACAGCAACATTGTGAATGTCTCGATGGGTGCGCAAAGGACGATGCGCATTCGAACGAAACGTGGAGCGGGAACAGGTAGTGGCAATACTGCTGAAGCTCGCACGACATATCGTGTGCCTCTTCCACACAACAGCATGGTCACCATGTCGCTACAAACGAACGCCGAATACCTACATGCCATCCCTTGGGACCGAAGACCCCCCTGCGAGCTTGTCGAAGCAGAGAAAGCATTCGGAGGCCAGCGCATCAGCTTGACGTTCCGATGCATTGCCACCTTCTTGAGCCAGGACCGCACCATGATTTGGGGTCAAGGCGCAGTGGGCAAATCCAAGGATACCGCGCGACGCGTCGTCCACGGCGATCCGGAAGAAAGCCAGAAGTTGGTTGATGCGTTCGGCAAGGAGAATGCGGCTTCGAGCATTGAGTGGAAGGAGATATACGGGAGTGGTAGCGATGTGCTGCATTTGAAGCAGCAGCAATAACACCAACATTGAAGCAAGCCTAGGAGGCACCTAGGCAAGGTAGGTAAGGTATTAAACTAGTCTCACCGACAGAAGACTTATTACGTCGCAATAATAATATATCAACGAATGCAATCTCCCATCACACTCTTTCTGAGACTACTACCGACTTATGATTGCACAACGCACTTTTTTTCCGCTGTGCGACTTTCGGGTAAGTGGAGGACTGTATACTGTAGATGAAATTGCTGCTCGTCGGGAATGCTCGGGTCACGCGTGTGTATACTGACTGACACAGTCGACGCGCGCGCTCGCTCCCTCTGCTCTCTCTCTCTCTCTCTCTCGTTTGCCCTCTCTCTCTCTCTCTGTGCTCTATGTCTCTCTCACTTTTTCTCTCTCACTCAGACTAGAACTCTATATTCATCAGGTCGCGGACCGTCGCGCACATCATCATCATCATCAAGAAGGAAGAGAGAACGAAACATCTCCTTCTCCTCCCCCCTTCCTCTCCTACGACTCATCATTATCGTCATCATCATCATCACTCCATCCTCGACTGCTTCGGTCTCCGACCCTTCGGTCTCTCTCCGCTCACTATCGATTTGAAACCTTCTGCAATTGCTATAGAGAGAGAAAAAAAAAGGAAAATATCAGCATCATCACCCCCAATCGCGCTACCTCAACGAACGAACGTACTGATCATGACCAAAGCAATCAAATATTGCACCATTTGCGCAACCCATTTGACAGGACCCCACAGTTTGTGGTCGGGATCATTGACGGTCCCGGCTGATCGCATGAATTCTGAGGCGCGAGATTGTTTGCTTATTGGTTGTTGTTGGTCGGCCATGGTGATTGCTTTTTTTCGTTATTTCGTTGAAATTGGTGTTCTTGACGGAATTGGGGGTTGTTGATGGTGCGTTCGTTGTGGTGAGAAATGTGGTTTGGCTACCTCCTACATGTACCGACAGAGTGGTCCTACATACATGTGTTGCGGACGCGCGCGTCGCCGTCATCGACGCCACTCAAAGAATGAAAGAAGAAAGTCCTTTTGTCATCGCACTTTTCTTGCTACCGGTAGGTGTTTATTCAGTTCAATTCTATTTACTTCACTTACAGTAACTCGTGTATTCACTCACTGATATACTTAATTGTCACCGGCAAGAGTAGACCTCCCTCCCCTCGCCGGTATGCTTGGCCGGATCAATATAGATGTCTTCAATACCACCTTGGCACCTACCACCGATATCGGATAGGTATCTCAAAGATATAGCAGCTTTGCCTTGTAAGACCTCCTTGCCCGAGCTCTCATCGGCCATTCGGCCTATTGAACCTCTCGCCTACAGCTCAGCTCAGCCTAGGTACACTGGGACTGTACATCATCTCCAACAGACACGTCGGTATGGATACCTAGGTATATAATACCATAGGTAGGTCGCCTACCTATACCGCCAGCCTGACCTGCCACCTCCACCACCACCACCACTACCACTACCACTACCACTACCACCACCACCATGCCTCTTCACAGTGCAGGCATCTTTCCCGCCAAAGACACCGACTTCGCAAGCTTTCCCTCTCGTCGATCCGTCGTCCACAGCACCAAAGGCATCGTTGCATGCACACAGCCTCTCGCGGCCAAATGTGGCATCGAAATCTTACAAAAGGGCGGCAATGCTGCCGATGCTGCCGTGGCGGTCGCCGCAGGCCTGAACATGACGGAGCCAGGCAGTACGGGCATCGGAGGTGACATGTTCTGCCTCTTCTACAATGCGAAGACGAAAAAGGTGCACTCTCTGAATGGCTCTGGGCGATCGGGCAAGAACCAGACGCTGGCGAGGGTGAGGCAGAGCCTGGGCATCAAGGATGGAGAGGTTGGAAAGATCCCCATGACGAGTGTGCATGCCGTTAGCATACCGGGCGCGGCGGCGGGCTGGGTGGACACGGTGGAGAAGTTGGGGAGTGGCAGAGTCAGTCTGGAAGAGGTTCTGGAGCCCGCTGCGAAGTTGGGTGCGGAGGGTTTCCCCGTCAGCGAGCTCATGTCTTCTTGGGTGAGGCGCGACAGATTCCGGTGCCGGTGAGTGTAGTCTGTCATGGCTAACAGCGATATACAGTGGGAGAGCTCCGAGGAACGGATTCGAAAGGCATCACCAAACTTCCGAGAAATGCTCAAGAAGGACCCAGCGGCACCAAATGGCTGCAGAGCTCCGCGACCGGGCGAGATCATGAAGAACCCCACGCTGGCGGAAACGTTCAGGACGGTGGGCAAGCAGAAGAAAGCAGGCTTCTACCAGGGCCGCATTGCAGAAGAGATCGTAAAGGTGGTGCAGGATCTGGGCGGGCACTTGACATTGGAAGACTTGAAGAATCACGCGGATATCGGCACCGAGGAGACAGAGGCCATCAGTTTGAAGTTCAAGGCCCAGGATGTGGCCCAGTCTCACGGCCAGCATATGCATGACAAGAGTTCCGAAGGCGTAGAGTTGTGGGAACATCCCCCCAATGGACAGGGAATCGTGGCGCTGATGGCACTGGGAATCATCGAGCAGCTGGAGACCAGTGGTAAGATCTCGAAATTCACTCCGGAAGACCACAATTCCGCGGCATACGTGCATGCCGTCGTCGAGGCGCTGCGTATCGCGTTTGCAGATGGGAACTGGTGGATAGCCGATCCCAAGGTCGCGAAGGTGCCTACCAAAGAGCTCATCAGCCCCGAATATCTTGCTGAGAGAGCAAAACTCTTCAGCCCTGACAAGGCGAGCCAGATGCTGGACCACGGCTCGCCCGCCCACAACCATTCCGACACCGTCTACTTCTGCGTGACAGACAGCGAAGGCAACGGCATCTCGTTCATCAACAGCAACTACGGAGGTTTTGGCACATGCATCATTCCGCAAGGCTGCGGTTTCACGCTGCAAAACCGAGCAGCCAACTTTGCACTGCAACCCGAGAACCATCCCAACATCCTCGCACCCAACAAGAGACCCTACCACACCATTATCCCAGCGCTGGTGACCAACGTCTCAGATCAGAGCTTGCACAGCGTCTACGGCGTCATGGGCGGCTTCATGCAACCGCAAGGACACGTGCAAGTCCTCCTCAACCAGCTCGTTTTTGGCTACACGCCCCAAGCGGCTCTCGACGCGCCGCGAATTTGCATCGGCGCGGGCATGCCCGATTCGGGCGATGTCATGGACCGGACCGTCTATCTCGAAGAGGGCATCCCTGCCAGCACGGTCGAGGGACTGCGCAAGTTGGGCCACAAAGTCGAAGTGGTTTGTGGACATGACAGAGGCTTGTTTGGACGAGGACAAGTCATTCGATGGGCTTTGGATCCCGTGGAACAGCAGGGCGTCTGGAGCGCTGGGAGCGATCCGAGAGGTGATGGCCATGCTGTTCCGTGCTAGGCGGGCGACGTTTGAGATGATGAATTTTTGTTGCGTATTTTTTAAAGACTTGTGTGCGAGAGACAGATTCAACCTCGAAAGTACGTTCAGCTGCTTGTTTGGGGAAAGCTATATTTATGAACATGATTTTCTGTTTTTTTTTCCGGACCAAATGCAAGACTCTCACATGAACACTACGAGGTACCAGCCTTGCCTTGGTCATTATATTCCTTTTTGATCCACATGAAAAAGAAACGAAAAGAAACGAAAAAAACTGTCTGATAATTTCTCTTCTGTTGTCTGATTACCTTATTGTTCCTCTGTCGCAGCAAGCAGATCATTACCCCCTTTACCCCATCATATTCAACCCTGAAAAGAAGAGTATGTACACTCACTCCCAAAACATCCTCCCCCCAATCCCCAATCCCCCTCCTCTATTCTGTACCCTATATCCCATAAATCACTCTCAACTCAACTCACTCAAACGCAGGAAACGCAGCACTAAAAATCGACAAGCGCGAATATCCTCCACACACCTCGCCCAAATTGCCCGGACAAGGCAAGCGACAAGCGCCATCGACAATCAAGACCGCACTCTGACCACTCAAGGCATTTCCACAAAAACACTGCGTTCCATTCTGCAGACCGGCAATCGCGAACCCGGAGCCTTGACATCCGCTCGTGCACCCTTCGATGCTATTGCCCGTGTTGTCGTACAATAATGTCGGGAGCGCGAGAGGCGTCAGAGGGGCTTGATTGGTCCAACAGCCTTGATAGGTCCAGCCGTTCCAGTTGCCGGTGATGGTGTGTCCGCTGGTGCCGGCGAACGCCGGGTTGGGATAGGGGTCGTCGCCGGCTTGGGCGCGCGGATAGCCGAAATCGTAGGCGCGCGTGCGGTCGCCGTAGAAGTTGTCGGTGAAGAGACGGGCGATTCCGGCGGGGGATTGGAACATTTGGCCGTTGTCGTGCGAGGCGTTGACGAGGTCGACTGTGTCGCAGTTGGACGAGGCCGGGTCGGGACAGGAAGGGGGGAAGGCGGAGATGTAGAAGAAGAAACGCTCGTGACGATCGGCTCCCGTGGCGGTGGGTGCGCATGCTGCGCTGCGGTCTCCGTGGTCGAGAAGGGCGCGGGCGTAGGCGATTTGTTTGGTGTTGAAGTTGGCGAGGATGGCTTCGCGACCTGCTGCGACGAGGGATGAGCCGTATTGCAGTCCACCGGCGTAGGAGTCGTAGTTGGTGTAGCCGGCACGGTAGTGGTCATAGTCCGGGCAACCGACGGTGCTCAAGGGACGGTCTGTGGACAGCCATGCGTATGAATCGGGGTTTCCGATCCAGTATGTCACGGGCTTGGTGAAGGACGCCGTGCTCACCGCGGCATAGCGTTGCAACATTTGTCCGCCCAGGCTGTGCCCTGCCAAGACGATCTGTTTCATGTTGGGGAAAACAGTAGTGTCGTCAAAGTACGAGATCAACTGGTCCAGGACCTCAAAGGACGAAATGTTCGTGCTGCTGCTGGGATATTGGTTCGTGGCCCCTCCTGCCCACTGAGATCCGGACCAGACAAGTGCATTGCTCTGGGAGCCTTGCCCCGCTGGCAGGCCATCGGTCCAAGGATACATGTAGTTCTTATCGTTGCCGTTCGGAAAACACGTCGTCATGACGGCTACCGAATCTACGTTGATGTTTGCATCGGCAGCCGTAGCGAGCTTGAGAGCATTGAGCATCTGTTCACGATCAGCGTATGCTCTCCAGTCGGATATATCGGTCAGGGAGAATGCAAGGATTGTGCTCAGATTGTCACGATATGTAATCATTCCCGCCGAAGCAGGTCAGACTCTTCCTATCATATGATTATATCTTGTGGTTCATCGTGGCATACCATCTGCATGATTGTGTCTTTCGTCCCGCACGTGTTCTTTTCGCTTCACTTACATCGTTCTCATAATTGTTGCAGTCTCTTAGCAGGCCAGGGATGACGATGACCACTCTCTGGATCTTGCTTTCCACGATTCGATTGCCGTCGGTCCCATGGCTATAGTAATTCACCAGTGTCAACTCGTCGTTGAAGCCCGATGGATCTGCAATCTTGAAGAAGGCTACTTCTGCTCCAGGCACAACAGGCAGGGCGCCAGCGATAGAGTTACCTTGATATTGTTGGGCAACCACAGCAGTTGCACAGAGGGCAAGGCCCCAAGGGATATAGTGCATCGTGCTGCTGGTCCGTCGCGGTCGCCGTGAAGAAGAAGAAAAAATCCCCAAAAAACGAGTGTGATGGTATTCGATACGAACGAACGGACGACCCTTGATCAGGGCTAGGATAATAGATCTATCTAGCTGAGAAGTCAGTATGTGTAGAAGAGAGTGATATCGTTCACAAAGGATGCAGCTGCGGTACCAGGTCAATCCACGGTAGCGATATGGTATTCGGATGAGGGTGCCTGCATCGACGACTGCTGTGCCACACACAGCATCAGCTGCGTGCTGTTGTGTCGTAGGAAGCGGAAGTGTAAGAGACTTGATCCGGTTGAATCTCGCCATTGATCCTCCAGGTGGATCTGCAAGGATGGTTCTGACTGACGCACGACTCCGGAATCAGATAGTGAGAGCGCGCGTGCGTCGTTCAGCTCATTTCCACGCTTGACGAGTGGTCTTGGTACAATACCGGTTACGTTCGCTGCCATGGACAAGTTCATGGCATAGCGGAGATGTAATATAATTTAGGCACGATGCCGTCGCCCCTTTTAGCTGAGTAGGATTCCGAATATACAGCCCGCCAGCATAGTCTGATGATATTCATACTATGGCATGATGCTGCTGCCCACTCCGATGCATCAGGCGGGCGTCCATATGCCGACGGCGGATCCACTGACTGCGGCCTGCGGTCTCTCTGTCCCAAGCGAGGCTTCGTATCTGGGCCGTACTACTCTACAGGATCTGCGCGCCCTACGCTTGGGACCTCCCATAGGCGGTAGTCTGGTAGATGGTCTCCGCTTCGCCACACCAAGCGACGCCATCGCTCTGCTCTGTATACTGGTGTCTAGGCAGTGTGCTACATATGGATTGCAGCCGTCAGTCTAGACTCGTTCTACTGCCATCTAGCGTAGTCCCGGTTTCAGAGCTGAAGACTTTGCAGACAGTCCGATTTGGCTAGCTACATGTAGTATCGTGGACGTGGATTTTCATCTTCGCATAGCCGGAGATTTTGCTGGAGCCAGATGAGAGGTTTGTCTTAGTAGGAGCCCGATGTCAACTAGTGCAGCATGTGACAGTGTCGAAAATGGGAGGTGGTGGCTGGTCGAATAAATAGAAGCGCCCAGAGAACTGGAGAGAAGACACCTTGTTCTTCTTCGGATCGGTATGGAATAACTATTCTCCACTCCCGAGGAATTTGCTCACGTGCTAGCGCGGTCCAGCCAGCTTTCACTTGCGAGCGACAGCGACAACAACACGTCGAGTTTCGTTATACAGATAGTAGCATCACAACAGGCAAGTGATCAAAGACTCGATTCCCGTTGAATATCTCTAATTTCGCGCGTGCTGTGTTTGGGAATGCATTACTTAACTCCGCTTATTCGAGGATTATTGTGCACCAGCACAGTATTATCAGTACCTTAGTACTGCATCCATCCATCACAGAGCACGTAACAGGACGAAGCGCTTCCAAAGTTGATGAGTGATATTGGTGGTCGAGGATGATAACATGAATACCAGCCAGCTACATAGATAGGTAGGGAGGTGGTGTGCTGTGGAATGCGGGCGACCTGTTGAACCACGTCAGCTGGAGCATTCATTCATTCATGCTCTCGCCATCATGTTCTCCCTGGCGCCTCCTCCATTCTCTGAACAGCCTCCACCATTCAGCACATCAGTATATCAGAAGATGCAGTCGCCTCATCATCGACGCGTAAATCATACAATCAGCGAGTTCTTCCAGACTTCAAACGACTCAATACCATGGCTCCACTCTCGTGCTTCTCCACTCTCTATGTCTGCACATTCCTCGTGGCGTCGGTCTCGACAAGGCACATCCACCGTCCACAAGTCCACCAGCATCAATACCGTCAAGCTGTCCCGGTCACCATTACAGCTGTTGAAACTTCGTCGCTCACAACGGCGGTGACTGCTGCTGCTGCTGCCTCTTTCGCCGCTGGCAACGATGCCATTGCAGACATTGAAAAGATACAAGCAGGGTTATCGGATCTGCCAGCCGATTTGCTCTCACTCGTACAATCAGTCGAGGCCCGTCTCGAATATATGGAGAGTGTGCTGCAGGAGTTAGTCGGGTCGACGTCGACTTCTGTTTCCTCAGCATTGCCTGTCTCGCCCACGCTGCTCCCACAACCCTCAACACTCATCCGGTCGACGACTGTAACAACCCCTACCACAGCATCCTCGTCGCTTGTCCCTTCTCTGCCAGCACTTTCCTCCAGGAACAGCTCTTCCACCTCGAGGATATCCTACAACACCACCACTCGAACGTCTCGTATTACATCCACCAGAATACAAACTATCACAGTGCCCCGAGCAACATCTACCTTACCTGCTTCGTGGATATCTCGAGGCCTTCCCAGCGGCACGTTTACAAGTTCGGGCAATTGGACGCTACCTTTTTCTACGAGTGGCAAACCTGCTGTGGCTTCTTCTTCTTCTTCGTCTTCTTCCTCTTCTTCTGCTGCTGGAACGCGAACAATCATGCTGCTACCTCCAGCGCCAACCGCGTGGGAGCAACGATGAAGATGAGTATGCCGACCCCATGCTCTTTACCCGCCTAGCCGCGGGAATTCATGATCGCAGATCTTCTCACCACAGCGCAGGCGACGTGAGTTTGGCGAGCATCGGAAGTTGCGTGCGAGGATTTTTGTGGACGGGATCGAAAAGACAGAGTGAAATGATGCGAATATGCAGCATCGTGTCCGGTTGCCGCAATGGAAATGATGACTACTACCTATACATAGAATGAATGAATGAATGATGAATGATGATTGCAACACAGGTACCTATTCAAGGTTACCTATGCGTGGCGTTTTCTGTTGTTCACGTGGGTGCGTGTGAAATGTCGTAGAGATTTGATTACCTGACCAATCAAAATGCAAGGAACTTCCGACTTGTCAATTCTCAATGCGGCAATCCATCGCGACCTTGTTCCCTAGAACAATCGTCGAGATCTCGTTTTCTCATTCTCTTCCCTTTCCGAAATGCAAGTGAGGTGCAAGCATACGATCTCACCCCCGCCTCACTCAACTTACTCATTCACTCACTCATTCACTGCACTTACTGCTGTGAATGTCCTTTGCTATGCGTCCTTTTCAATTCCTACTACCTACCTAGATTAGAATAATGCCGCCATCTTCTAGGAACCTGCTTTAACCTCTATCTATCCACCTCACATGCAAGACGAAACCAGAATTCTACCTATCTTTATCAGATATCATTTCCACGAGCAGCGGCTCTGAGGATCCATACCCAGAAGACGACGTACTATCTTATCTATCATCTTTACAAATGATTTATTAGCACGACGTAAAGAAAAAATAAGAGACCGATCATGTTTACATGGCTCTTCGGCTCCGGCGACAAGCCTCCCATCTTTCTACAATTCCGGAGCAGCAAAACTTTCATCATCATCGTGGTCGCCTCTGCAGTGTTTACGGACATTTTCGCTTATGGAATCGGTACGTTTTTTTTTCTCTCTTCTCTCCAATCCTCTCCTCTCCTCTTGAAAAACTCAGGACGGATACGTAACATGCCATTATCATCACCATGATGCTAAATTAACCTTTTTTTTATACAGTGGTCCCCGTCTTCCCATTCGCCTTGACAGAACGAGCAGACATCCACGAAGACGACGTCCAAACATGGGTCAGCATTTTTCTCGCCGTGTACGGCGCGGCATTGCTGGTCGCTTCGCCCATTTGTGGATGGCTCGCCGATCGAATGCAATCGCGCCAAGCATCGTTCCTGCTGGGACTGTTGGCTCTGGGAGGCTCTACGGCGCTGCTGTGTGCGGGCTCCAGCATTGCCATGTTCGCGGCCGGTAGAGTGCTGCAGGGGGTCAGTGCTGCCGTGGTATGGGTCACGGGGCTGGCTCTGCTGGTCGATACTGTCGGTCCGGATGAGATTGGGTCGGCCATGGGCTATATTGGATTGTCTATGAGCTTGGCGATTCTCCTGGCACCGCTGCTCGGCGGAGTCGTCTTTGCTGAGGCGGGATATTACTCGGTTTATGCAATGGCTTTTGGGTTGATCGTTCTCGATCTGTTTCTAAGATTTGCTATGGTGGAGCGAAAAGTCGCCAAGAAATGGTTGCCTGACCTGGTCATCGCCAGTAGCGAGAAAGGAATGCTTTCTAATGAGCAGCAACAACATGACAAAGAGCCAGAAAGCAGCGGTCGAGTAAGCCACAGCGACTGTGTCGAGCTACCAGAGAAGTTCGATTCGCGGCATTCCAGCGACCACAGCGACAGCTCTCCAGCACCCATCTCGAGTCACCTGTCGCTCACACAACGAGTGGTCGCGCGATTACCACCGGTCGTTTTCCTGTTTGGATCACGCAGGATCTTGGCTGTGCTGTGGGCCTGTACCATGCAGGCATCTCTTCTCACATCCTTCGACGCAACCCTACCACTCTTCGTCAAGAGTACCTTTGGCTGGGACTCGATAGGTGCCGGCCTGATTTTCCTTCCGGTGGTGCTAGCGTCCTTCATTGGGCCCGTCATTGGAAAGCTATCCGATAAATATGGCCCTCGGTGGCTCGCGACCTCGGGGTTCATCTTGGCGTGTCCCTTCTTGATCTTACTCCGGCTGGTCAACGAGAACAGTATCAATCACAAAGTGATGCTGTGCGCACTCCTTGCATTGATAGGGTTAGGCTTGACGTTAGCGCTCACTCCCATCATGGCAGAGATCTCGTATGCTGTCGATGCCAAAGCGAAGCGACGGCCCCCAGGCTTCTTTGGTAAGAACGGTGCCTATGCGCAAGCATATGGCCTCTTCAATATGGCGTGGGCATGCGGCAGTATGATAGGGCCTCTTCTCGGCGGTCTTGTCAATAGCTCGGAAGGGTGGCCGACAGCGACACTCATTCTGGGCTGCGTGAGCATTTTCACGGCGCTGCCGACAGTCATTTGGACGGGAGGGAGCATATTCAAGCTCAGAAGAAAGCAGCAACAGGCTCCTGCGGACGAATCACATCTTGCTTGAGTTGGTCCGTAGCTATCATATACTGACTCCTGTATGCTGTATCAATTGCATTAGATCTTACATTTCACTTCACTGAGGACTGGTTTGCCAAGCAGGAAGAATGAGAGCTGCGAGTAGATCATCCCGCCATCGCGATAAAGGTCGTTGTCGACGTGAGCTTTGATCCCACCGCTCGACTACAGGTGTACGAGAAGATGGGGAGTTTTCATAACGTCGTCTCCCGTAGCGAATGACAATGCCATCGGCACTGTTGTCGTGCAATTTCGAGCGTCGACGGGGCTGCTGCCAGTAAAGAGATTGCAGGCCATGAGACCAATGGAGATGATGTTGCCGGGCGGCGATGCTCTTTGCTGTATACTGGAGTGCAGAAAGCCATCTTCTTGAAAGCATACCGTAGGTGGTACCTGGTAAGCAAGGAGATTTTAGAGTTCAAGTTCGGAGGTCTCGGCGCTCCGGAGAAGGAAAACGCTCTAACTTAATATGCTGACAACTTGAGAGGACGACTTTTTTCGAGGACCGACGTTCGTTGTATCTCTTCTAGACATATCAACATCACAGCGCACAAATGGCGACAGTACCAGCACTCCATGAAGTGCTCGCCGACTTCGAGAACGCAACGAATGCCGCGGTCAACGGTCTTCCCACGTCGGACTCGCTTCTCCCACCCGAAAATGGCATCACACTACTCGACACCAAAAATGAAATCTTCCTCGCATACCTGCAAGCTCTTGCCTTGCGCAACCTCAGCGTGATCAGAAGCATCAAATCAGGAAGCGACGTCGATCAGGCGCAGAGACTGAGCAACGATATCACGAAAAGTTTGGTTGAGCAAAGAGTATACCTGGAGCGAGGTGTAGGGCCGTTGGAGAAGCAGCTCAAATATCAAGTCGATCGTATCGTCAGGGCCGCAGATGACGAAGAGCGGAAGGTCAAGCTGAAGCTGCAACAGGCAGTCAAAGCGAATGGTCATGCGGAGAAGAATGAAGCAGAGGGAAGCAACGAATCAGACTCGGATTCAGAACTGGATAGTGATGCCGAGCTTGACGCAGATTCCACGGCGTATGCACCAAAAGCTGCGTTGATGGGCAATTCAGCACAAAGCAGCGCTGTCTCGTCAGCTCGCGAGAAAAGTGCCTCAGATGGCGTGTACCGCCCACCTCGCATATCTGCCACATCTATGCCTACGACTGAAAGGAGAGAGAAGAAGGACCGCGGACCAGGTCGCTCAGCCACACTGGACGAATATGTCTCGACGGAACTCTCTGCTGCGCCGCTTGCTCAGCCCAGCATTGGCTCCAACCTTGCTGCTGGAGGCAGAACAAGCAAGAACGCACGACAGCTGAAGGAGGAGGCGGAAAGGAGAGATTACGAAGAGACGCATCTGACCAGACTGCCATTGATGAGCAAGAAAGAGCGCGCGAAGAAAGGATTGCGAAGACCCCAGGACGGTGGCTTTGGGGGTGAGGAGTGGAGTAATTTGGGTGCTAGCCTCGATCGCATTGGCGACTTGACCAAGCGCAAGAGCAAGGACAGCGCCTTGGACAAGAGCCGGAAGAGGAGGGCTGTGGAGGATGGTCCTCGAGGTGACGGCATTGGAGCCAGCTTCGACACGAAGAAGAGGAGACTAGCGAAGAAAGGCAGATTGTGAATGATCATCTGTCACCATGAACAGTCTGAGAGATGGTAGCAGGGACATCATACATGTAGACATAACAGGTCTTTCAGTCTGCTTGACCATGTAACTCGCAACATCTCCAGACATCATGTACGCCTCAAATCGTCCCGCTTCTAGATGCACTCTCCCAGCTCGATAGCAGGCTTGACTTGCTCCGTGTTTCGTGAGTCTTCCAATACGCCTTGGCATGGCATATGTACCTATGCAAGTAAGGCATATATATATACGGCATGCAAAGGCACCTATGTATACAGTTACCTCCTAATGTATCTTGACAGAGTCTTTATGCTGTGCCATGATCCTTGTCGGGTGCGGCCCGCACAATAAGCTTTAGAAAAGTCGCAGCTGTGCACTGTGCGCAGCTTCACCTTTGCAGTCATACCAAGCGCTCTCTGACGCATAGTACAGCACAACACAGTAAGACAGCGAGGGACGGAACAACCTCACAACATACTGGACAACATCCCACCTCACTACACGTTCTAGTCCGAGAGAGGGGCTATACTTTGGCTAAGCACGTCTTTCCTTAAAACCCCCACCCTTCACAATGGTCGGCACTCGAGGCCCAGTGCCAGTGCCAATAGGGCAGGCCAATGGCACCGGACAGGACCTCACGCTGGATCTCCTGGAAAAGCTCGAGCACAACGATCCGCTCCAGACCGATGTCGCCTACCCTGATGTTGCCCAGGCTCAACTCAAAGCCGCTCTGGACAGACTGGCCAGCAGAGCAATGCTGGAGTACGACACGAACGATACCGAGCGTGTGGTGCTGACCGCCGAAGGACAACAAATTGCCGACGAGGGCAGTCATGAGTACAAAGTGTGGGAGGCCGTCAAAGCGGCGGGCAAGCTCGCCGTCAAAGATCAGTCATTGGCAACACCGAATGCCAAGGTGGGTCTGGGCAGCGCCATGAAGTTCAAATGGGTGAAAAAGGATGGGGATGCGCTCGTGCCATTGGAAGAGAGCGTCAAAGATCAGACGAGGGAGATATTGCAGTACGCTGCACAGACCGGCAGCTTCCCAGACGCGAAGCAGCAGAAGGAGTTTCAAAAGCGAAAACTGGTCACGACGAAAAAGCTCATTACATATGAAGTACGAAAGGGACCGCGATGGGCAAAGGATATTCCGGTAGAGGTTACAGATTTGACCGCAGAGATGATTGAGGATGGAAGCTGGAAAACAGCAACCTTCAAGCCATATAATTTCAAGGCGTTGGGTACGAACCAGAACGCCGGCACGTTACATCCTCTGAACAAGGTGCGAGAGGAATTCCGCAAAATCTTTTTCAACTGGGACTTCATTGAGATGCCCACAGCTCGGTACGTCCACTTGACTCTATCTTTACTGACTTCGTGCTGACTGGATCATGGTAGCTTCGTGGACACGGGCTTCTGGAACTTCGACGCTCTCTTCGTGCCTCAGCAACACCCTGCCCGTGATTTGCAGGATACTTTCTACGTATCAGATCCAGCAGAGTCTGGACTCCCAGGACCCGATCCGATCGCAGACGCTGCCTTGAACAAAATGGAAGCCGACTCTCGCCTCTTTGCCACAGGCACATCGCAAGAGGTAAAGTCTCTTGACTACAAGAAGTACTCCGAGGACGTCCGCGCATGTCATCAAGAAGGAAAGTTCGGCTCTATCGGCTATCGCGCACCCTACGCCGATTCAGAGACTACGCGACTTGTCCTCCGGACGCACACGACCGCCGTCTCGACATACTGTCTGCATCGCCTTGCGGCCAACCCACGACCAGCACGATACTTTTCCATCGATCGTGTCTTCCGTAATGAAACCGTCGATGCCACTCACTTGGCAGAGTTCCACCAAATCGAAGGTGTCATCGCAGACTATGGCCTGACACTTGGTGGGTTGCAAGCTTTCTTGGGCAAGTTCTTCGAACAGCTCGGAATCACCAATCTGCGCTTCAAGCCTGCCTATAACCCTTACACCGAGCCTTCTATGGAGGTCTTTGGTTTCCACAGAGGCCTGAACAAGTGGGTCGAGATTGGAAACTCCGGCATGTTCAGACCCGAGATGCTGTTGCCCATGGGTCTGCCAGAGGATCTACGAGTATACGGCTTTGGTCTCTCGCTGGAACGACCTACAATGATCAAGTATGGTGTGTCGAATATCCGAGAATTGCTGGGGCACAAAGTGGACTTGGGCTTCATCGAAAGCAATGCTGCCGTGCGACTGGATAAGGACTAGAAGCCCCGGCCCTTAGCACTTGGTGCTGAGACTCTCCCGAGTGATGGCGAGACTGATGCAAGCGATGCTTATACGGATGTAAGTGAGGCCGATCGTGATACCGACCCGCGTGATGTGATGGAGATTGATGAGTATGGTGAAAGATATGCTGTGAGCATCGTCGAAATCGACGCTGAGACTATGGACGAGCTGTATGAAGCTTGCGAGGGCTTAGTATTGCGGGTCAGGCGGTCTAGTATCTTCTGATGTGGAGGCGTGGTATGCCCTGACAGATCGATCCCCATAGCTCACGCGCACTGTGTAGCCGTAGATCACCAAACATTCATGTGAAACGACACTTCTGCACGCTCGAATTCTCATGGAACTTGCCCAACTGAAAATTGAAAATAAATTCTCCCCCGTCCCTCTTCCCTTTTACCTGCATGGGCTTAGGTAGCAGGAGGTAGGTAGGTAAGGTATGTAGTAGCGGTAGCTCACAAGAAGAAAAAAAAAGAAAACAAAACACAAAGCTTACTAACTAAGGTAACTAGGTAGGTAAGGTAAGGTAGCAACTAGGTACGTTGGCTCACAATTTGTTCCTCTCTCTCTCTCTCTCTCTCTCTGTGTGTGTGTGTGTATGTGTGTGTGTGTGTGTGTGTGTGTGTGTGTGTGTGTGTGTGTAGTAGTA